CGCGAAGTACATCTTATTAATTTAGGTCCTCTATCATTAAAAATGGAAGTGTAAACCCTTGAAAAGGCTAAGTATAAATTTTCTTCATAAAAATAGCAATGAAATATGCGATCTGCTATAGTATGTTCTTTTAAAAACCTAATAATTTCAGCCTCAGTGTTATTAATCGGGATAAAAACGTCTTTAATTATTGTTCTGGAATTAGTGGATCTATTTTCTACTCTGTAACTAGAACCTGGGGTTGATCTAATATAAAACTGTTTTAATTGCTTGTCAATAGCGTCTGATAAAATGGGAATCCCTTTATTCTCATTGTCTGGTTGAGTGTGATTTGTCGATATCATATCTGTTTCAGCTGTTACTGCGTCACTATCCTTTTCGTTGTTATCTACTACGTCGCTTGTCATTTCAACGTCATCTGTTGCTTCAGTCATTGTTTCTATACCGTCATTATTATTAGTAACGTCATTTCGAGGTTCAGCTGTTTCGTTTTCTAAACGCACATTGTCAAATATTCGGTTTATGATGTTGTCATCGTCATTATCATCTAAGTTAACCGCTAAGGAATCTATACTTTTGTGAAAAATTTTAGCTCTAGACAGAGCGTCTGCGTTTGTATTTTGTTTACCCTTTTTGTATACTATTTTAAAGTCATATTCAGCGAGTTTTAGTTTCCATCTAGTCAGTTTAGAGTTAGGGTCTTTAAGAGACATCAACGGTCTATGATCTGTATAGAGAGTAAACTTACGACCATATAAATAAGGTCTGAAGTACTTTACGGCCCAAACAATACCTAACAGTTCTTTCTCTATTGTAGAGTAACGGGTCTCAGTATCAGAAAGTGTTCTAGATGCAAATGCTACAGGCATATCTGATCCTATATTTCCTTGGGATAGTACGGCGCCTAATGCTACGTCGGAAGCATCTGTAGTTAATATAAAGGGTTCGTCAAAATCGGGATACTGTAGTATTGGGGCGTTTGTAAGGATTTGTTTGCATTTATCTACGGCGTCTAAAAATTCGGGGGTGTGTATTACTTTCGCGTTTTTCTTTAGGCATGCTGTTAATGGCTTAGTCAGTTTGGCAAAGTCTTTGATAAATTTTCTATAATACCCTACTAGGCCCAGAAAAGATTTTATCTCTTTTGGCGTCCGTGGTATTGGAAGGACATTAATATTATTATTTAGTTTATTATGAGCTAATCGCGCCTCCTCTTGTCTAGCCGCTACAATGGCCGCTTCTAGGGTTGCAGGTTTAGCGATACGCACACCTATCGATATATTAAAATCTAAATTATTTGTATATTGTTCAATAACTATATTTTCGTAATATGATTTATCGCTATGCTTCCCTATTGAATTTAGTGTATCTAATATTTCTCTAAGACGCTTACCGAAAGCTTCAGCGTCCTCCTGTTTATTTCGCCGTAAACGACTAAGTTCCTGCATCACCTGAATCTCGTTACGTGTTTCGCCTAGTCGACGTATAAGGACTGTTTTTATTGCATTCCAATCATCTAAGGAATCTTCATACGCAATGGCGTCTATCGCGGTGCCACTTAGCTTACTCTTTAATAAGCACGTGAGTGCTGGGTGTACCCTTATTGGTGGGTCCAATAATAAGAGCACATTTTCTACTTCTCTAATAAAATAGTTTAATGTTTTGGGGTTGCCATCGTAACGCGGTACGAGGTCACCTATGAATTTTAGGTTAGTTAGGTCTTCACCTGATAGTGCCATGATGCGTATAAATTAATAAAAAAAATAAGTAAAAATAAAATTAGTAAAAATAAAAAGAGTGATAGAAGTAAATCCGCGTGCTTAACTATGTATAATACTACTAGTAAGCTATCAATGCGATTTGAGCGTTGTTAAAAAAGGATTTAATATTTATAAGAGTAATACGAGTAAGTCCGCGGGCTTAACTTTGTATAATACTACTAACAAACTATTAATGCGATTTGAGCGTCGTTAATAGCTAGATTTAATATGATACTGATAGTAAGTACCTATAAATAACTCTATAGTGCTATTTCCTACTTTTTAGTAACGCGATTCCTACCTATGGCGATTCTAGCTCACTGATAAGAACACACACTAATTATTATAATAAATATCGACAGGAAATCGAGCAAAGGATACTGGGATAACAATAAGTACTCACCCAAATATTCTCTGCATCTCCAGCCGGGTCTCGTAGAATGTAGCGGGACTCCCAATTCTCCGGAACTCCCACAGGAACACGGTGACCGCCGCCGTACGTAGGTTCTTGATAAGGGATTCGCGAAATTAACGATGAAGACCGTTCACTCTTTAACGAAGAGTTTTATTCGTAACCCTAGTGTCGCGATCCTACCGACTGCGCCAGTTAAGTTTACGACGGCAGTTAATTTATAAAAAAAATATTTATTTATTTTAATTACAAGTTTATTATCTGAATATTCTACAAAGACTGATTTAACTATATTAATAATTTTACAACTAACTTATGCTACATTTGCACTTTACTTGTGACGCACGTTGGTGCGTCCGAATTTGGGTCAGCAGACGATGCAGTTTTGCATCGTTTAACTCTTAGCTAAACAAAATTTTCATTGCAGTCGCAGGGCCTCTTAGATTGCAAATGTTCCACAAAACGATTTCTTGACTGCAATAAGAATTTTGTTTAGCGAAGCCCTAACACAACTTGTTTACATTTTGATTTTTAATTCGATTTTGCCAGTCGTGTTTTTTAATTTTTAATTTATGTGATAAAAATTCATAGTAAAGTGGACCTAAATGAACTTAAATCGCGCGTTTCTCACAGATACACGTAGAAAATTAATGATAAAAGGAACTAACTACGCCCTTGGGCGCGGTGCGGCTTCTAAACTTTATGCAAAAAAAAAAATTAATTATATAATTGTATTACACTCATTAATACTCTATTAATGAGTGAAATACAATTATAAACTTTCTTTCTCGAGGGGTGTGCCTAATGTTTACATACTATACCGTGCTCCCACTTGCAATTTGCAGAGCGTATAATAATCTATGCTTTCTTTCTAGCCAGGTATAGTTTATATTAAAAACGTATTATTGATTTTATCCTTAGATCAACAATACAACTAGGAGCTCTATTTTTTAATCATTCGTCTCGTGTCGCGCACTCTTTTTCTACTGATTTTTGTTCGACATAACAAATTCGCTATTTCTGATTCGCTCGACTGCAACGAGTGGTATGAACCAATCGTTTTTATATGAACCAAACGTTGGCCACGGTGCAGACGGACTATTCAAAAATACTATAAACGGCATCATGCGACTAAAGGCAAGGCAAGGCGATTTTAAACGAGTGGATCAAAAATAGAGCTCTAGATTAGATCAGTCTCAAAGATGCCCCAGACATCACGCCTCACTTCAAAGTGCGGTCTTATTTTGATTTAGTTTGTTTGCGACGGCGTCAACATTATTACAATGTCACAGTGCGTATTAAATCTGCAAATATAACTATTGGAATAAAAATTTATCTGTTGGAATATCATTTTTACGGGTTGTAAATGTAAAGTATTTTCAATAAAATACGAGTTTTGTTTCTGACCCAAGCCACACGCAACACGGCAGTCATTCAAAAATGAACGCGAAATATTCGACATTCTAAGATGGCACATGCATGGAGTTTATTAGTAGTACTAGTATTTTTAGTTAAAAATAAATAATAGTACAAAAAAAAATAGTTCCCGAAATCACACTAGATGTCGCTACGGTACATTTTCTTTATGTATAAAAGTAAATTAATTTTCAAAACTTGATGAACAACTCATATTCTATTTGTACTTTTTCGTATTTGTATTGATATCTAAGTTTCGAACTTTGCAGATATCAGTTTTTTAATATTGGAACGGAAATTAGTATCTTTGGTCCATTCGTTTCTTATATATAAAAAACAACTTTTGCTAGATTTGCCATCTAGTGAGGTGCTGTTTTAGTGCTTTCTTTTTGTTACGGACGCACGTCTCGTCGAGTTGTATATATTAGATGATCTTAAGTAAATTATATATAATAAGTAAGTTTAGTTAAATGAATGTGGTTAAAGCTTAGAATTAAATGATACAACCTATGGGTGTATTTATTCCCCTAGTATTAAGATAATTTAAGTTATAGCAAATTAAATGATTGTGAGGGGTTGGATTTTATTTGCTATGGTTTTCTATAAGGTATTGCCTCGCTAAGGAGGCTTAGGTAGCTCTCTGTATGGTATTGCTTCACTCAAGGAGGCTTATGTGGGTTTTCTATATGGTATTGCCCGAGTCAAGGGAGCTTATGTGGGTTTCTATACGGTATTGCCTCGATACAGGGGTGTTTAAAATGTAAAATGTTCGACTACCTTCATGTTAACAATAAAAATGTATCGGAGCGAGACGGCGCTGGTTTACGCGGGATCTTCCGTCTCGCTCTGACCACATAAATACATCGGGCAAGAGCGCGGCGCGCCTTAGAATGATTATGAGCTTCGACGGCGCGGTCTTGCCCGACACGATACGAGTTATGTAACAATAATATGATGATGTTTTAACGTGATTTATGATGTAAATGTAGAAACAGTAAAACGTAGTAATTAACAATAATGTGATACATAGATGTTAAGGGTGGGGGATGGCTTCGCAAAGTAGGGGTTAGATATGTAATAGGCTAACCAACTGATAATATACGGAGCTAAGTGCGAGCCACCCCAACAAATGTAAGACGGGTCGATTTGAGCGAAATTTGTAAGCTCTCCGGCCCTCAAGATTTAAGAATAAAGAAGAAGTGAAAACCATCGAAGGAAGTTTCAATTATACAGTCCAAGCATCGGCTAGCTACGTGTAAATCTGTTCAAGATCCAGGAAGATCCGCAACACTTTTTTTAAAGACTTCTTCATTGAAGGATTGCCTATAGAGCTAAAGTTACAGATAAGGGCCCTTACGAACCGTGTGTACTACTTATTATCAATATACATTTACTCTTTGGTTTTACTCTACACTCTCTACGGTGAAGCCTCAATCGCCATTTTGAGTCAATTGTTGTTTCCGCATTTTGCTTGCGGTTACCGTTTTGTAAATGCGAATAATGCCAAAAATCTGAGTTAGTTATGAGGACTTATTAATTTGTGGAAAGTTTTATAGATAACAGTGATAATGGGTGACGAATATATGGATGCACAGGACTCTATTATGAGCGAAATGCAAAATCGCGGTAATGAAATAGGCGATCCGCCTGGTGGTGATGTTCCTAAGGAGTTTGCTGATATGATGGGCTACGAGGATGGAGGTTATGAGGACGAAGACGGTAGCTTCAGAGGAAGCAGAGGACGCGGGAATTTCAGGTGAGCAATATGACCTTGACTGTCGAGGTCCTAAATTCATTATTGCGCGCCTAACCGGCTTAGGGCACATTTTCCATCTCATACTTATTACATTGTACAAGGAGTTATTACAAATATTATATTTCTTCAGTACATTATTATTGTATTATATTAGCATGTATGTTTTCGACGTCGGAAGTCCAAAATTCGGAACCCTCCATTAACTCTTTATGTTGTTTGTATGAAGGATTTGAATATATCTGACCAAACATCATCATCAGTTCATGTAACCTTGTTTTTTTACAAGGTTACATGAATGGTGATGTTTACAACAATTACAATAATAATTTAATCTTGGAATTCTGGTTGATTTGCCCAATGATATTGCTGTGCTATACATTGTATGAATAAATTTATTATGTTCATTCATTAAAAGGTGATTTAGGTGTTTAATCATAAAGCGCTATTGTGATTTATAAATACTTTTCAGTATCATTGATATTCTGTGCAAGTAGCTAAAATCTCCATGATCAACAAAGTTACCACATTGTCTGTGTATCTACTATCACTTATCATACTTAAATCTTCATTGACTCATACAGGAATACATAAATGTCTTATAATATTTAACAGTATAATTACAATAATGTTGGTTACTATTACTTCTAAATGCTAAATGCGAATGTTTTGAAGTTTGAAACTGGTTCCCTTGTTAGGCAGAATCTCAGTATTTCTGGTAAATAAAGTTTATGCGATTTGCTATTCTGTGTAATAACAACATTGTAAATATACCTATTTATAGTTTATAACTAGTACTGCTTTAAAAGGGAACATTTGAATAAACTATAAATTGTATTTTCACATAGAAAAATAAATTTCTTGCTGATATTTACATTCTTACATGGTTGCTGTTTATATGTATATTTTTAATGATATATCATGGTTTTTTATGCACACATTGCAGTATATTTTATTATTTACTAGGTAATTTTTTATTATCATTAAAACTTAAGCGTGACTCATCTTCATAAATACATTGACTAATTGAATTTTGTGTATTTTCATTGTAAATACTAATTATATAATGGAAATTATGAACATACATTTTTATGTACATTAAGTTCAAACTAATATGATGGTAATTTTTTGTTTCTTTTAGACTATTAGAGATTTATTAATCTTATTATACATTGAGTCTTTCTAAAAATTTTTTGGTCTATTCTGCAAATCCAATCATTTACCAAGCATCATATGGTGGAACTTGCTTTGGGCAAATAAATAAACTAAAGCAATATCAGATTTTAAACTATAGCCAAACAGAGATAATTTTATACTTTGAATTTTATGTATGCTGATACACATTGTAAACATTTTAGGTTCACTTTACTGTGAAAAATTTGTTTAGATGCATCTGTGCGAGTACAATAGCAATATGTTTGCACATGAGTAAAAAAATAATGTAATGAATTCTCTCTTTGTTTGGTGACTGGACTTTAACAATATTTTTCCACCGAGTATTAAAAATTATAAGAGATTGTAAATTTAATTTATTAACTCTTTATTGATCTGTGTGTATCTTTAAAGGTTTATTGACAGAAAGGGGTTTTCTTAATAACAAATAAATGACTGATTAAATAATGTAATTTTGCCAAAGACAAAAGAAACCCATAGATACTTTTAAAGTCTTCACAAAATAAGAGGTCCCTTTTGACACTTCATTGAGAAAAACAAAAAAATTTGAAAAGATTAAATACAAATCCTTGTCAATTGAAGCAAATGTTTGAAAATATGTATTGATATATTAATTGCTTTTATTTATAATCAGCTTCCCACCAGTAGCTTCAGTAGTTTTGGCTTGCTTGATGGACAAACATCCAAACAGAGAAACAGTCATATTTATAATATTAATAGGTAATATTAATTTTGTGCTCAGACAGGTCACCAGTCACATATTATTTTTACACTACATAATGTTACTCAAATTAGTTTTGCAATTGCAACTGAAACTAACACCATTTTTTTAATTTGGTCGTCGAGTTGCGGAGACGCCCGTTGTAAGAAGAAGAAGAAGAAGAACACCATTTTTAGTAGTGAAAATGAACAAAAATATGCAAAACATTTTAAAAACAATACTGTTGCTAAACATTATGTGTTATTTATTTCTAGCTTAACCTAATAATCCTAATTATTAAGTTTTTTATTTGATGCTAAATAAAAATATTGTTTTACTAGTATTTTAATAAATATATTTATGGTGTGCGATAAATAAAGATATAACTTCAACACAATAAATAACATGAAACACACATGTAGAATAGTATCTTATTTAGAAACACCAAACATTTTTTTCAGAAGTGAAGCATTAATATTGTACCCTATTTGATCTAAAAATGAATAATGTATAAGAAAATATGCGATTAACATGGCCATGACATTGTATTCAGGAAAAAATAAAAAAAAGCATATGTAACATATTATCTTTGTAATCAAATGACTTCATAATAATTTATTTCCATTACGTCTATTACATACAACATTAAGTTCTATCTTCTTTTTGAAGTGTCAAAAGGGACCTCTTATTTTGTGAATACTATAGTTTGAAAATACATTATAAGGATTAGTGTTGAATATACTGTAACTTATAATGTACTTTTTTTATTTCACAAGTTTTAAATACATATATTTGATTATATCAAATGGTTATATCTTCACACATACTTTGTGAGAACAGTCTCAGCTTTGTATTTATTTTATGTAAATGTTTGTTAATAGTACCATAATTAATAAACTATATATTTGTTTCAAATAAATGTCTATTCAACAGATAGTAAAAAGTGAAAGTCCATAAAATAACATGTCATTCATACTATATCAGAAAAATCTTCAATATATCCCTAGATTCTGGTGATGTATGTATTTTCAAAACATTAAATTATAAAAAATATTTAAATTTGAAAACAGCTTTTTCTCTACAAATATGATATTAAAACAACCATAGAAAATATGTACAGAACATCCACAACAATATGTTTCCATCTACAATGGTAGCAAAAAAATATTTTAAATTCTCATAATAAATATTTCCTTATAATGTAATGTTAATAGTAAAAGGAAAAACAAATTTAACATCTTTGCTTTATTCCAGAAGGGGAGGCAGAGGTCCCCCTCCAGCGTGGATGAACGGTCCACCTCCGCCGATGAGGTTCCGAGGGCGCGGCTATGGTCCCGGTGGCCCTCCTATGCGAGGACGGGGCTTTTTTCGAGGCCGTGGTGGACCACGTTTCGGTCCAAACAATGGCCCTAATTTCGATAACAACTGGGGTCCGATGGGTCCTCCTCCACCGGGTATGATGGGAGGACCTCCACCCTTTGGCCCTCCGCCCGGAATGATGCCTCCAGGTGGACCAATGGGACCACCACCTAATATGATGGGACAACCGCCTCCGTTTGGCGGACCACCTGGGATGCCTCCACCAAATATGGTAAGTTTATTTGTTATAAACTTTTATCAAAGGCAACAATAATGGGAGATTAGCGGCCTTTACACACACATACTCTATTGTGCGTTCATCAAAACGTCTAGAATTGCGTGCATGAAAGCGTGCACGCTTACATGCACGCAATATACACACGCGATTATCTTTTTTATGCTTCCTCATTCTTTCGCGCGTGATTACTCGTGTTTGTTTTTCTTAGCTGAATGAGCCCTCGTGTAAATTCTAATCGCGCGGGATATATCGCGCGAAACTGGCGCGTGTTGTTTGGCGCAGTTCGTACAGTTTTACTGAAGAACGCGTTAGTTACGGTGAGAAATAGAAGGTATCATGTGGCCCAAGTTATGATGTTTGCTGAGTATAATTCAACTCAAATAAAGAAGGAACGGGGTTGCTGTCTATATGGGTTAAAAATATAGACAGCAATATTGTCATATGCCTTTGATTGAAGAATTACGAGAAAAGTAATAACGTACATATGTCCGCCATCTTGTGCGTGCGCGAAAGCATAATCAAGTTAAGGCAACTAGAGGAAACACGATTGCGCGCACGACTGATAGCGCGGCGCTCTCTTTCACGCACGATTGCTGTTTAATGCGGGATAGAGTGTGTGTATAGGCCCCTATTGAGAACACGCGCCTAAAACGATAATATTATCTATTACAGCATACTGTTATTATTTTAGTAAATCATTAAATATTAGACATCATATACTTTGCTCAGGTCCCAAAATAAGTAGCTTTAGCTCTTGTTAAGTGTAAATCGGTAACAACTAAGGTACAACAACACCGATACCAGAGTCGATATAAAAAAAAAAACCATATTAACCCGAACGGGAATCTAACACTTGGCCTTAGAGATGGCGACACTTTGAAATCAGCATGCAGACCATTGCCACGAAGATAAACTATGGAAGTTGTCGACACACGTTATTACCGTTATCAGCTGTGCCAATAACACGTACATGTTAGCAAATGTATTAATTTCATACTAAGTTAACACACTATCCTATACCAGTATTTTAACCTATTCTCGTATTGTATTATTTTGAAAGTTATATAACGATTGAAATTTTCTTGAACACATATGTTTACGTATTGAATCTTACAAGTCAATGACATTTCTAAATGTCTGGCACAAATATGTCGCCCTATAAATATACCTAGTTTTTTGTTGTAATAAACTGACTACTGTAAAATACATACTGATCTTTTATGTTGTAAGGTTAGAAAATAGAGAATATTATGAAAATTGATGCGTTGAACTGGCTATAATCGAGCCCTTTATAATTTTTACACTGCTTTAAAAACTATATAATACGAGTAACTTATTTGAAATATCTATTTTTAATATTTTCCCCTAGATTACACAGATTTAAATTTTAACCGTCTACTTAGTCAAACGGCAGCTTCACCAATTTCTTATTTAACTAGTTATCTTTTATATGTTTGCGTGTTAATTATGAAACTCAGTGTTATAATAAACTCAGAGATAAAGTAACATAGAAACTAGAATATCGGAAGATTTGCTAAATTGTAATCTCTGCACTGCATTATATTTTTAACAAACATGGCAATAAAGATTTTAAAATAAATATATCAATTATGTGTGATAATCGGCATCCTTATTGTAGCAGATGGACTGTAAGGAAGGTTTCGCTGTGGTCCCGCTGGTGGCGCTGTTGTCGCGACGTGGCTCGATGTCCTTTACACTTATGTTGTATTTAAGTCCTTCAGTAAATTATATCGTGACGTGACTGAAACAGGCATATGTTAGGCAAAAATGTACCCTTTGTATCGATTTTAATGCTACGACACCAGAGTATTACTACGTAAACATTGAATTTAGACTCAAAAGCGTTCTGTGCCCGTTCGTGCTCGGCACGATTTGTTGTCGGTCGGTCTCCGTGCTCCACACCCTCCGATGTAAGATGGTGACGGTACGAGCTAGGCGTGTCTCTTTTTATTCATTTGGTATAACTCCGTTAAATTGCCTATGCGTTGGAGCTTAGTCGAAATAGAACAAAATGCAATAGATAAACGATTTAATAATAAAGTTTTCCATTTGCGGCCTCGCCCGTGGGGAATTCGGTTACTATATAGCCTTCCGAATTTTCATCCCTTATTTCAACCCCTTTAAGCCTATCCTTACCTAAGATCTAATCTGTCTGTGTACCACGTTACGACAAAACTTAACAATAACAATAGAAAACAACAAGAATTCAATATGCATACTCAGTGCTGCTAAGTGTTAAACATAACTATCAATAAATTTCATCACCAAAATGGGTTATACAAAGAATATGTTTTTGGTGAACTGGTTCTGTTTAGGGATGAGCAGCAGCGGATTTGCTGTTTTCGCCGCCCCTTTTCAACTCTTATAATTCAGGCACTGTACGAAAATTACAGTCTTGACACATGTATTAAAATAAATTCAAATTTATATCATGACGATTCAAGTAGAATTTGTTATTGCTATCATCTGTTGATATAAGTCAATGTAGAATATTCACGCGTAGCCTGCCATTCCTTCCAGTACCTGAACTTGTGGATTTTTAAAGAATTTTCGTTCTTAGATCCAATAGGCCCTTTTGTGTTTTATCATTCACTTGTTGACACGCAACATTTTTTGCCACACTTAATATCTGAGCGCCCTAGGTCCGAGCGTACTGTGACAATAGAATAAATCCCCCACTAGGTATGGGGTCTCGAATTTTCCACTCAATGCTTTAGTCGGTGTAATCCATTGTTTGGTTGTTTTTTTGCTTATAGTAGAAAAATATCCTTTAACCTCTTTAAGTACCTTTGTTTACCTTTTTGCAGCCAGCACCGGAATTATGGGTAGAGACGAAATCTGAAGATGGCAAATCTTACTACTATCACGCGCGTACTCGCGAGACCACATGGACCAGGCCACAGGAGAGTCCCACTGTGAAGGTGATCACTCAAGCTGAGATGGAAGGGATGGCCGCCACAGGTTATTTTACATTTATATACTCATTTTTACCTTAGGTGATTCCTAAATATTTTGGCGACATATTGAGGAACTCCTTTAGTGAAAACAGGCATAAGCAATCGGGTCTTGTTCGTGCATTTTTTAAACAATTAATTTACCTCGACGTTTCGGCTACGTTACAGCAGCCGTGGTCACGAGGAGACTGGAGAACTGGCGGGTGTCGTCTTCTGATTTTAGTTGAGGGTAATCCAGTAATAATGTTTTTAACTGATTTTCAGATGTACCCTCCACTTGAATTTTTATTATGCGTAAAGGTGGCGACACACTGCACTTACGGTATCCGAGAATATTGTTCGTGGTTGTTTGCGATCGCGACACTTATACATTTTTATAACCGGATTCCACGTTGGTGAGAGTTTATATCCACTTTCCCGGTTGAAATTGTTGTGTTTTTTGATTTCAACCGCTTCACGAACAATCCTTGGATAGTAATGTCGTTCAGTGGAAAGGACATGAGGTGTATGTAACTCGATCCAGTGGTTTGATCCAGATGATAATAAGTGCTCTGCAATCGCGGACTTCTCCACTTGACGATTTTTGACCGCTGCTATGTGTTCTCTTACACGTTCGGCGATAGTCCGCTTCGTTTGTCCGATATATGAACTACCGCAGCTGCAGTCAATTTTATAAACGCCAGGTTTTTGGTAAGGAATACTATCCTTTGGTGATCGCAATTGGTGTGACATTTTTGATAAAGGAGTAAAAATGGTGTCTATAGAAAAATTTTTCCTCAAAATGGAACCAATTTTGTCCGTTACCCCCCTTAACATAGCCTAAAAATGCCCGTTGCCTGGGAAACCTTAGGTAGTCTTTCCTTACACCTTCGGATAGGGTATGACCTCCTTGCGCTGTATCCATTTTTCCTTAGCACGTCCTGTACATGGGACAACTCATCTGCTAAGAAGTCAGTATTACTAATGAAAAGAAGAGGATTGATACTTTAACAGATACATGATTAATAAATACAATACTCTCAAATTTTGCACGCGGTTTTAAACCTTAATATATTGTAGGTAGAGTTCAAAATCCATTTCAGAAATGTGATACGTGCAGTTGTGAGTACAAAATAAAAAGTTATTGTTATTATCATTTATTAGGTCAGTTGGGTGGAATGGTAGGAGGTGGGATGCCAATGGGGGCGCCCATGGGAGGGCCAATGGGCGTGATGCCCAACGGGATGCCGCCCTCTCATCCGCCTTTCATGTCGCAACCGCCACCGTGGATCAAAGAACCGCCCAACCTTAACGGTGAGTTGATTATTTTTATATCTCGAATTAGCTTTTTTTTATTATTATTGAAATAAAACCATTTATCTCAGATAGGTTGACAGTTGAAACAAGAGATGTATGTCTTAATTGTGGCAGCAGTGATTGCATTTGGTTGTCATATAAATATATTATGTATTTAAAATTATTAGCTACAATGTTAAATGTTTTTGCAAAAATAATGATTTATTACAAAACTAGACAAGCAGTTACATGCTGTTGTCCTTAAGAAATTTAGCATTTAAATGGATATTTCAACCAATAGACTGTAATTGCTATTTACAAAGTCCATAACTGGCTTGAAAGCTTTATTACTTTCATATAATAATAAAATATTTAATTTACTACTCAAATGTTTCTATGCACAATACCAATATGTAGGTACGTCAAAACACATTAGCGAAGCCCCGCCCTTTCGTTTGTGAATCAAACATCTTAAAATAGTATGAACAAAGTCGCTTCTCATTGTCTATACACAATAGATTTTAATGCGGTTTTCATTATTATACAGAATGATTCAAGAGGAAGATTTATATGTATAATACAGAACTATATATGTCATGAAAGCAGAATAAAAATTTGTTCTAAGTATTAATGTTAAAACTTCTTTGTTGTTATACTAATGTTTATAAAACATGGTGCTCTGTATTATTTAACTTGTTGTTTTGCTTATAGTTCCCCCTCAGAAACAGGATAAGCCGGACGACATGGGACCAGAGACTGATGATATGCCCCCCGGCGAGGCGGCGCCTGCTCAACCCCCCAACGGTGAGTTAGTACTATATGATCGGAAAATAAGTAACCATTTTAACTTATAAATATTTAACAAAATTAATTGATATTACCCTAATTTGGGAAATATTATGCTCTGAAGAGCTATAAATACTTAAATATATATGATTAAATATATTTAAGTATTTATAGATTAAAAAAAAACAATGATCACTTTTACACCCAGTTGCACAAACGTCCATTATAATTTTTATTAGTTTAAAGCAACATTACCATCAACATTAGAGCTTAAAGACATTATTAAGCCATAATGGGCGTTTGTGGAACTGACCATTAAATTATACAACTGTACCAAAATGTCATTTTTTAAAATATAAAAATCAATGAACTTCTTTTTATCATTACGTATTTATCAAGACCTAGGTTAATGATTTTTTGCTTGCGGCCCGCGATACATGAAGAAAAATATTTGTGGTCCTCGTAAAAAAAGGTTGAATACGACTGACATAGGTATATTTTATTTGGCACCGTGCAGGGAACATGATGGGTGGGTTTGGTCCGCCAGGCATGGGTGGTGGCAACGGCCCGGGCTTCCCGCCGGGAGGGTTCCCTCCCGCGTGGGGTGGATGGGGGTGGGGGGCCCCGCCCTTAGGTCACCCGCCCCCTGCCCTACATCCTACTCCAGGACCAGGACCTGGACCAGGCCCCGGTCCAGCACTCACCGCAGGTTAGTAAACAGTAAACTCGTGCTAAAACTCTTCTATTTCTGATCAGAATACTCATACCTGCATACCACCGATAGATACACTGTGTTATGCATTTGGTATAAAATTAAACAGGAATAAAGAATTTTCACAAAGTAAAATTGGCATCATTATGAAATGGGCTTTGATTGCCATCGGTACCTTAAAAATGCATCAATACATGCTATATAGTATAAATAAATGCAATTTGCAAAACAAGTACAATATCTTAATAATACGAGGGTGGATTGAAAAGTTCGCGGCCTCAGCAAGAAAACAATTGAAAATATAAGCAAAAGTAATTTTATTGTTCCTCGTAATCTCCACTTAACTCTATGCACTTCTTACATCTGGTTTCCAACGCCTGTATGCCGGTCATAAAAAAAGTTTCTTCAAGGCCTTCAAAAAAGTCACCCACCGCAGCTTCGACCCATTTGATGAAAATTTTTGACCTCCCAAGGTGTTTTTTTATGAATAAATGAAAGTCTGAAGGTGCCAAATCAGGGAAATAGGCGGGACGAGGCAGTAATTCGAAGCCACAATCACGAATTTGAACCATAAATTCAAAAGACGTGTGAACGCGTGCATTATCCTGATGGAACAAGACTTTCTTGCTGAGTAATCCTGGCTTTTTCTCTTACATTGTTTCGCGCAAGCGACGTAAGAGGGTGCAGTAATAAGCCGAGTTTATAGTTTCACCTTTTGCCAGGTAGTCCACCATAATGACATCCTTAGCATCCCAAAAAACTGACGCCATCATCTTGCCAGCTGACAAAATTGTTTTGGCTTTTTTTGGAGTCGGTTCATCACGTTTTTTCCACTGCTTGGATTGCTGTTTTGACTCTAGGGTGTAGTGGTGTACCCAAGTTTCATCCATTGTTACAAATCTGGATAAAAAATCTTGTGGATCAGCCTCATACATTTCCAAACATTCACGAGAAATCGTGAGGCATATTCGTTTCGACTGAAAGCAATCTGGGTACCCACCGCGCATACCCTTAGAAAATCCAAGTTTATTGACTATGATGTTTTGTGTTCGTTCGTACGAGATGCCAATAGTGTCTGCAATCTCCCTGATGGTTAATTTCCGATCTGTCAATATCAGATTACAGATTTTCCCGATATTTTATTCAGTAGTAGACGTCATAGGCCGCCCAGAGCGAGGTTCATCTTCAATACCCTCTCATCCGCGTTTAAATTCACCAACCCACTTGTTCACAGTCGTATACGACGGAGCAGATTCCTCAATGTTGTTGACATATCTTCGTGAATCTCTTTTGGAGTTAGTTTTTTTTTAAACATGTATTTGATGATCGCGCGTTGCTCAATTTTCTTTAAAAATGCTGCACAAAGGCTCATAAAATTCAGTCTTATTTAAATACAGTTAATTCAATTTGCGGTAGAATTTTACAATTTGACAACCTGAGAGTAAACTAATCGAATGAGGTCAGTTACATTAAAATAGTTTAAGTATTTATGTTGTGCCGCGAACTTTTCAATCCACCCTCATATATTGCAAGCATAATAAACTCGTGAAACTTAAAAGTTTAGTATCGATTTATAATAGAACATATTATGTTTGAAGATTGTTTTTTTTTAACACCCGACTACGGCGAAACGAAAAACGAATAGGTATATTGATTAAAATCTATCATTATACGTCAAGTATAATAGGAATAACATGAAAACCAACGTGTTTATAGACAAATACTAAAATTTGTGAACTGATTTCAAATTTTCCCTTATACAAAAATATTGTAGCGCTAATCTTTTACTTGTGTTTTGTCAGGTGTTCCTACTCAGTTACCGGTGCCTGAAGTATCCGAACCGAGTCTATCTCCGAAACCGGCAGCTACGGTGAGTGCCCTTTATTTTATAAACTACAGCTGTTAATTATAGTCTAAGTTATCAAAGATGACTTCAATGCAATATATTATTATTTTGTGGAAATGAAATAATTTATTAAAAAAGGATTTATATTTATTTAACCATATTAAAAGGATTTATATTTAGATAACCATCAGGTTACAATTAAAACCCGAGAACCTATTTTCTGAGAAGCAACATCACACGCAAGTGACATAAGTTATTATTTTTGTGGGGTAAATCACTGAAAAACAACTAGTCGTATGCAAATAGTTTAGTTTTAAAAAGTATCATACTCATTATAAATAAATAATGTTTCCTGTCAGGTCATTCCACCGGATGTAATAGCTCGTGCAGAGGAATGGACTACCCATAGGGCTCCAGACGGTAGACCTTACTACTACAACGCGGGCAAACAGGAGAGCGTGTGGGAAAAACCAAAACCACTCAAGGAACTCGAGGGTAAGTCATCATCACTTACAGAATGTCTCATTATAACCTTTAATAAGTCGTTGATCCAGATTCGTACAGAATGCTGCAGATTAGGAATATGATAGAGATGAATCTAATATGCAAAAAATTCCGAATATTGATTCAGAAGTTTTACTCTTTATCCAATAACAAAATTTCGAATCGTTCTTGTGATCTTGTTAAAATTATCAGGCAGGTGTCTGGTCCTCCGTTGCCTCATAAATTATCGAAAATATTTATTTTTTTGAGAAACCGCCGTCTCATCTTATCTAGTTATTAATATTATAACTAAAGCAATTTTGCTATTTAGTTTTCAATGTTTAGTAGTCTATCATTAAGAAGGTTTAGCTATAATATATATTTATTTTCAGAGTTTCAAGCCAAAATAGCTGCGGAAAAGGGAGAGAAAATAGATAAGAAGAAAATAGACAAAATCGAGATTGATGAGAGCAAAATCGAAGGTAATTTCTTTCATTTTTATTTTCATATAACAGTAAACTTTTTGTGGTTTTTGGATGGTGGTGAAATGGCTTGTTACACGGACGACTTACTACTCCATTGACTACTCTCCCCATTATCCGATAGTTGTATTGTTAGTTTATAAGAGCTATCAAATTTTTTTTTAGGTTTCTTTTGTGTCCTGTTTAAGTAGGTAGTGCAATAAGATTTTTATTATTATATTTTCGTTCATTCCTTCATTAATTCCTGAAGTTTAAGCGCAATGCGAACCGAGATGTCCTCTTATAATATTTTTGTGTTTGTTCATTTATGAAGTAATAGACGTGGAGGCGCATGCGGAAGCGGTAGCAGCGGCGGAAGCGGAGCGCGAAAGAGAGGCGGAACGCGAGCGTGAACGAGAACAAGAAGCTGAGCGCGAGCGAGAGAGAGAGCGCGCCGAGAAGGAGAAGGCGGATAGGGAGAGAGCGGAGAAGGAGAAGGCGGAGAAAGAGAAGGCTGACAAGGAGAAAGCGAAACAGGACAGAAGCAGACCTATATCCAGTACGCCGATATCCGGCACGCCATGGTAAGTTTTACACGTATTTCAAGGTCTACAGACGTATAAAAATTAATAATTTATTTTTTTTCATAAACTAGCTGTATCGCCTGCTTTGATTAAAGCCAATGTAAATTGCTTATGATGTTGCTTCCCGTACGTGAAAGAATTTTCACGATCGGACCAGTATTTCCAAAGATAACCCCCTACAAACAAAGGTATTTAACCTCTTCATAATTTGCCGAGGAATTGACGAAAACAAATTAAAAACGTACTCGGATACTTCAAGACCAAATTCTACATTTTCAGACCCTCCTTTTCCTTTTGTTTCTTTTTTTAGAAACAGAATCACGCAATGTTTGAAAACAGTCGATTCGGAGTCGATTTAGCGATGGCTCCAGCGGGCTAGATGATCTGACACCTCAACACCTAAAAGATCTAACTGGTAATAATGGTGAAGCTGGTGAAAGTTAAAAATGTTTTCAACTCAACAGATAGGTCCCCACCCATTACACAAATAAAAGGAAAAACACCTTCAAAATTGATTTGTAAAAACCACCTTTTGTCCTCTTCGGTAGGATATCAGTCAACAAGGTAACCAACTTTGGATATTCATCTGATTATTTCAAATCTAAATTCAATGTGTGGTATCTGGATGATAGAACGTTAGGCGATGAAGCCTAATCAGTTTTATCAAATCTAAATTATCTAATCGAAAACTTTAAAAATTGTGGCCTAGAACTAAATTTTAATATACGCTGGGGACAATAGTTAACAAAAAACAAATCAATCAATAAATTTGAATCCATTTTATATTGAAATACAAATATTTATACTAATATTATAAAGATAAATTAGATTGTTTCTTGGCTACATAACTACTGGTCTTATTTTAAAAATTCTTTCACCTACGGATAGCTACATTATACTCGGGTGACAGAGGCTATAATTTACGTGAGGTCGAGAGAAATGACCAAATTTAAATATATGTATTCTGTATAGGTGTGTGGTATGGACGGGTGATGGTCGCGTGTTCTTCTACAATCCTACCGCACATTCGTCTGTTTGGGAACGTCCCGCTCAACTAATAGGACGAGCAGATGTTGATAAAGCTGTATCACATCCGCCCGCCGCGTTGTTGGAGTTACACGTGAGTTACATGATTTCTTATTATCATTTATCCCAATACTAATTGCTTAATTCTGTATTCAATCTCGGTATTTGCGGCTAGTACCGCATATTTTCAATCCCGTATATATAGTACGGGAACGTAAATATTAATATTTATTTCAGGCAAATAAAACGAATTCTTAATCGACATAACTCCAGATTTATTTAAGTTTTACTATTAGCATGTGATTAATCAAATTAGACGTGTTGCGTTTCGTCGCATTTTATATGCAAAACATATTTTTACTAAAGTTTATTTACGTATAACTAAAGTATGTAGATACCATTTTGTTCGATAAGTTTTTGCCTTCTTGTAGGAAGGGACATGACCCCATTGCTATAGAAATTTTGGAGCTTTAATCAAATAACCGCGGCAAGTGGTTTTGGCAGTCCTCGCGTGGTATTAACCTGACACTGCCTAAAGAATTCTGAAGAGACCGAAACCAAATTTGTGCAACTCTAACAGAAACTGCACTAAGTTTCTGTTAGAGTTGCACAAATTTACACTAAGCCTTTTTGCATCGCTGTAACTCACACACAAGAATAAGATTATAGATTTAAGTTCTTTGATTAATATTTAATTGTTTCTTATATTTAATATTGTATCAAAGCATGTAAAGTGATGCAAATAAATGCTATATCTATCTATCTATCTAAGTCAATAAAAGTCTCAATTTTGCATTTTTACTTTATTTTGTAATAAAATTTTAAAATGAATTCAATTTCTTCATTTGATTCAATCATTTTGACAGTAAGAAAAACAAATGAAAGTCGCACATTGTCCTAATTTGAATCTTAATCTTAACTTAATCTTCTTTAAAATTTAAACTTTTATTATACGGAAACCAGCCAGATACAAATGGTATAGCTAGTAAGATTTAATTACAAGTTTATGAATTCTTTTACTACAAGTATATGCAAAAGGTGTTTTCCCCAATCTAATAATTGTGAGAAAAAAATATTCTTCTTTCGCAACTAGTTGTCAAATTCATTTGACATGGCGGCCGAAGGGATTTTTTACATCTAACTTTCTTCGTCAATATAGGATTATGAATGTAGAAGTGATCAAACATATTTTTTTTTTTTTTTTCAAAATAAATTAAATGTAATAATAAATATTTGCAGCGTAAAGAGTCACAAGCTGCCGGTGGTACGGCGACGTCAGGCGGTGGAACTAACGGTGAATTGAAGCGCGCCGCTGATTCTGACTCCGACTCATCAGATGCCGATCCACCAAAGAAGACCAAACAGGATGAAAGTGAGTTATGCTACCATGAAATAGCGTGCCTGATTTACAAAATTTAATTAATGTCCACTATTTCTTAGATAATTTTTTGGCATTTATGTAGACGTAAAATAAAAAAGTTGTGGAAAACTTCAACAACGATTTACTTCAGTAATGATTAACTATTAACGTTTTTTGATTAAACTGTCACCATACTGACAATCAGGCAAACGTCGATTGTTTTGTTATGTACAAACCTTGTCCTAACATTAAGGAAAACATAAAAATAAAAATTCATACAATTTGTTACAGTTATTTGGAAACTGCGCGTACACACATTTCGGTGATTAATTTTTATATCGCTGGCTCAAGCCAGAGGGGACGTATACGTAAAAATAATTAATTTTGTAAATAACGCCATTTTTTTCTAATTTTATTAATTTACAAAACTTTTAAACTTAAAAAGATATAAATAAATAAGACACTGCGAAGTTTATCCTACTCTCATGTATTATTTTCATTTCTCTTGAAAAGTAAGGGTATTGCTTATTTATGGCATTTATGGCTTAAAACACATAATATACAGATTAAACTTACTAACACCGTTTCTTTTACTAGCGAAAACGATTATACTTACAAGGTATATTGTATTTGATGATGATTATAATATTATCATGTAAGTGACGATTGTCTTGATGAGATACAAAGATCTTTAAACCGAAATCTTAATCGTTCATAGGCGCGAGCAAGAAGCTCCCCGCGAGCATAACCGGCGGCAGCGCCGGCATCAGCCTCGGCGCCGAGGCGGCGGTGGAGGCGGAGATGCGCGCGGCCCGCGAGCGCGCCGTCGTGCCGCACGAGCAGCGGCTGCGCGCGTTCCTGATGATGCTCCACGAGAAGGACGTGTCCGCGTTCAGCGCGTGGGAGAAGGAGCTGCACAAGATCGTGTTCGACCCTAGATACTTGATGCTGGACGCGAAGGAGAGGCGGCAGGTGAGGACTATATTATATGTAGCCGCAGAAAATCATGCTAGACGCCGAAGAGACATAAGTTAGACCCGGTGGTCGTCTCGGTAAAGGAGGGTACTCGCAATGGGTCTTACCAAGTAGGCTGGCCTCGCTTAAGCCTGTCCTTTTAAAGACGAGTGCGGTTGCGAAGTGTTGCTAAGGTTGCATTTCCCCTGCGTTAAAAAAGGTGGTACATAATGCTCATAAATTACACTCCAGATACTTGATGTGAAAACCTGTTTTTAGGATAGCTGGATAAACACTAATGTTTCTATGATTAAACAACTCTTGTGAAGGATAGCTGGATAAACGCTAATATTTCTATGATTAAACAACTCTTGTGAAGTAATGTGAACAATGACTCCCAGTAGTTAATCGTTAAATGAATACATAGGTGAACTATTGGGAATGGGCGCAATTTTGCTCGATCTAGTGAAATCCGTGTACGGAATATTTTGTTTTTTTATTTATTTTCAACTAGTAAACCATACCGGTTTTGATTGTTTTATATAAGACTAGACGTAGCGTGGCGCAGAAACGCACGCATTTTTGTCAAATTAAATAAGAAATTCATTTTAAAATTACTATACTGTGTCTGTCCATAAAAGGAAGAGAATGTAGTTATTTCGCTTAAGTTGTTTTTTAGTTGTTTATTTTGACATAACATGACATTAATACTTTATATCAACTGCTACTAATATAAACGTATATTGTGTTAGGTTATTAACGTTAAACGTATGGTGTGTTAGGTGTTCGATCAGTATGTACGTGACCGCGCGGAGGAAGAGCGCAAGGAGATGAAGAATCGTTTGCAACAGAAGAAGACCGCGTTCAGGCAACTCATGGAGGAAGCTAAGCTACACTCAAAGTGAGTATACTCATACTACACTCGTTCGGAAAGTTCGTCCAAACTAATCGTAGATTAACATAAGATTAGTAACAAAAAAGTCTAAATAGAGATTATTACATCAAGCTCGACTTAGATACCAGTACCAATACATACAGTAAACAATGAAACTTCAAGAATTCTCTCCGTTAGAAATGCATAATTTCTTTCATTCTTACAAATTTAATATACAGCAATGATGTATTATTACATAAAATGGCAGTCTTATGTCCTTACTAATAAAAAAGATATAACACAGTTGTTTTGTTATACACTGTTTATTAATTAATAAGACTTAGAGTAATCATAAATTCAAAAAAATATTAATTCCTACTATTTACATTTTTGTTACTTTACTTTCAACTCTCTGTATGATGTTTGACATTAATAAAGAACTCCAATAAGTAGCAGTAATATGTCCTTGGTGAGGAAAAACGAAATGACTGACTGACTGACCTGTATGGCGCTGGTTGCTGATGTTGTATTGAGATTTAGATAACAGCCGTCCTTTCCTGTATCTCGTCTTCCTCCACAATTTCAGATGATAGTACGCGACCGCGACGCTAGTATGACGTGCGTATCACTACTTTTTGGATGATGAATTTGAGACTACGCGGAACCGTGTCTGCTGATTTTCAGTTCTCAGTGTGAGAGTTGACGACGAAGTAATGAATGTCAATAGGTCTAGGGTTTTATGGATAGGAATAGGATAGGCAGGAAAAAGAATGAAAAATTATTACCCTCAAATAAATGAAAAAATACATGTTTCATTCTACGCAAAAACTCATGTGTGAAACGTGAATGTGATAAAAAAAAACGATACAATGACGCACCAGTCCTATTAAAATAAGTTTGGTTTATTACAATAGTTATTGTGTTTGTTATAGATCATCGTTCAATGACTTTTCGTCGAAACACGGAAGAGACGAACGGTTCAAGGCAATAGAGAAGCCTCGTGATAGAACCACTTACTTCAACGAATATCTAGCGGAGGTTCGCAAGCGAGACAAGGAGGAGAAGGAGCGCAAGCGAGAACAGGTGAGCTAGCGTAGCGAGCGAGCCGAGCGAACGACCAACGATGATAGTGATTATCACGCTCATAATGAGAGCTGTGCTAGTTGTACTCACTTTGAGGGCGTATCGCGTAGCAACGACTCGTTTGTAATTTTTGTTAAGATTTGAATGAAATAAGTTAATAAGTTTCAATTTTTTATATTTTTGCATTAGCTAATCATCTAATCAAGGAAGTAGTTCTTTGATCTCTGAAAATATCTGTTTTGTTTCTTACGCTTCTGCTCCACTTGCATTTATATTAGTGTTAATGGCTCCATAATTTTGGCGCTACTTTTAATGCGTTGAGTATAAAAATGTTTTGCTCATAGCAGTTTGTAAGATAATGATTGCTAATATTGTTACTAGGGTTCGATTCCCTAATAGAAGGTCTCTTCATTATTTTCATAGTGTGGTATTTACATTGGAGATTTTTACTATAGGGATTGGTATTATAGGGTTTCATTTTATCCAATGTGTAAATCGGGACCCTATAACTAAGAGTCAGTTGTCTGTTCATCTGTTACCAGGCTGTATCTTATGAACTGATAGTTAGTTGATTTGAATACAAAAAACATATCTATACTAATATTATAAAGAGGAAAATTGTTTTGTTTGCTATGAATAGGCTCCGAAACTACTGGATCAATTTTAAAACTTATTTCACGAACGCAAGCCCGGAAACAGTAAATAAGGCGATGAAAATGGGAGTGGAATTTTGTTTAGGGAATTAAAAAGTTACCATAGTAACCATTGTTTACTATTAAATTTGTCATTGTAACTTTATCCGTGTCATGATATGAATCGATATCCAAATAAACAGTTCTTTAGTGGTCCACGCAGGCGGAAAGGAAAGCTAGTATATAAAATAAATATTTTAGTTGACTCTCCAATAACAAACTCGATTTTTACTGTTTTTAAATATAATGGTACAGAAGCCTTCTCTCGTCCGGTTTTAGTGCTACATGGGCATGTTATGAAAGTAATCGCCTGTTTCATTGCGGGTTCGAATCCCGCCTCTATGCTGCGGTACTTAGTCCGTTTCAAGTAGAAAGTATATATTCACCCCTCAAATAGTACAACTTGACAGCCAAACTATGTTTGTCTTTTATGTGATACTTATAGTGAATTAATTCTGTAGGAGTATTCTTTCAGAAATTTTAATTTCCGTATTACAATTACTAAGGGTTCGATTCCCGCTCGTTGTGGTATTATGACAAATAAAATGATAATAATATATTTTCTATATGTCCGTTTATTATTGTTGAAAAGAAATCAAGAGGAGATTCACATGTTTATATTTCAGAAGTATACATATTTTGTTTCAATATTAATCATATTTTTGTACAGTACCACGTCGAAACCAATTTTTATTGGGTTTGACGCTTGAAATGTGGTTTAATTTTTAAAACTAGTTATACTAGGTTCGATTCCTGGGAAAATCTTTTTGAGGTTTGAAATTAACAATCTATATGAATTTGAAAAGTGCTGTGCGATATTTTATATCTGTTATCTATCAAATGACAATTTTTTTGTACTTAGTATATATTTTGTCCATATGTTTGTCACGTTGTTTTACTTGTTTATCTGTGTTTTTAGATTTTAAAAATTGTACCTGTAATTGTCTGTTTGCAATTCAACAATATTAGATTTTATAATATTTTCTTTTTTCTTTTCAATATAATTTTGTCTTTAATTAGGTGAACGTGTCTCATGGTAGAACCTCTGTTTTAAGTATAAAATATGACTTGTGTCAAATTATTTATCCACATTATTCATATATATATATAACATATTTATTCAGGACTTACTTCCCCTTATCAAGTATGTGAAATTTTCATAGGTACAAATATAGATTCTTTAAATTCGTAATACGCTTCTCTAGTTCGCGAACAAATAATATTTTCATCAATTATTCTATGAATGAAATTGAAAAATTGTCTCTTAACCATTTTAAAACTAAGGTCTCTATATCTGACGGAAGATCTAACGCATATCACCCCCGGTGAAACGTCAGAATTGGTATATTATGTGACTGTCAACAATTGACACTTAATACATGTTCTGTCAAATGAATGTACCTTTACCTTCCGTCAGATATTCACCAACCCTAATGTATTTCTCTAAGTCTAGACTAGTGATTCTTAAATTTTTACCCATTAGTGGCCATTTTTTATCTCGCCGTGGCAGCCCCAGTTGCTCAAGAACAGTGAACTGCCACGTCATACTTTACAAAAATTAAAAATATCCCCACTCGATTTTAAACCTTAAGATATTGAAAAGAGTGACATTATGTGATAACCTGACTTGCAGCCGTGTGTACAAAAAGCCATGGATCCACTTTTTTAACTTGCTGTATCTTTCTCTTGATGAATTTCAGTATTATTATATGTTTAATGTATCTATAAAATATTATATATAGTATGTTATAATTTTAAGAATGCGTCGAGTTAAGAATAACTGGTCTAGACTAAACAAAAACAGGGTTTTTTTTAATTATCTGTACGAATTTTTCTTTTCTATACTGTAAAATATTTGACTTAAATTTAGTTAATATCGCTCCAATAAAATTGCGGTAATATCACGAGACACGTTCACACAAAACTAGTAGCTGAGCTGTATGTCTGTGTGGCTAGCGCGTGGAGGGGGAGCGGCGTGTGGACGACGAGAGACGCGGCGGCAACAAACCCCCATCATTACAACTATTTGATATATATGCCGCGCTAGGGTTACGCGCCATGTCGGGATAGACACGGTGACTATAATCATTTGAATGTGTATAACGTTTACGTTGACGATAATGGCTCGGTGATCGAACCTGGGATGTTGAGGGTAGTCTTTTTCTGTTTTTTTTTTTTGTATAAAAATTATTTCTGTATGCGACGTGCGAGTCTTTGGAGCTGAAAGAAGAAAAGTTTATATAGTTAATAATATATGGGCGTTAGTGAATTAATTTTTTTTCCATTCCATTGAATGCTAGAGCTAGCTAGTAAGCAATAGTCGTATATAATGTGTCATTCTGTTGTCAATCTCGATCTAGCTGAGAGATAAGCTAGCCAAATGAGCTCTTTCGTTTTGGTATGTTTTCACTTATCCCAGACCTAGTAATGGGTATTTATCATTCCACCCTCGTTTTGACTTTCAGGTTCAAGTATTTCCAATTAGAAAGCCCTGCTTTAAGGCAGAAGGTGTATTTCCCCCCGTTAGTAAAAATAGGTATATTTTTACATGTATCAAGTTTTAGCACCTATTTCACACGGTTTACAGTAACATAGTCTTAATATATATAATGACTACCTCTATCCTCGAACAGCGAGATTGCATCATTTTGTTGTAGTTTTTATGCTCCCAATGTATTATTTACCAAATAACTTGTTAGTTCTTATACAAGGGAAGAATGTAGGAAACTGGGAAGGCCATGTAGGAAACATTGACTCAGATTTTTTTTTTTCCTTACTTAGTAATATATAGTATATATATATTTATTTTAATATGAGACCTTGATTATTATGTTGTCCCTTGTCTTTTGGTTGTCTAGCAGATCTTTTACTTAACGAACACTAATGAAAGTTGAAAACCCTTATCAGTTAGTTAAGCTACGGAAGTGGCCCAGAACATTCTGAGAATAAGAGCTATTTTGTTTTCTCCGTTTTGTGTCATACTTGTCGTCCTATTGTCGAATGATTTCAAAACTTCAAGTGTATGAAGTACTTCGAAATCAAATAAATATTCGAAACTTTCTTCGATATTCATTGCCTTGGCGACAGTTACTGCTTGCACGCCTTCACGATTATAGGATTAAACAATGTATTATTTAAAAAAAATACCAAAACTCGCCGTGCGTGTACAGAAATTTTAGTATTGCCTGATCAGATTATTCTAAAACTAATCAGAAATGAAAGAAAGTAAAACTTTTGACGCTTAAAATATGGTCTTTTAGATTATAGCTTTTTTTCTATAAATCGATAGAATCGTCAACTTGATGCCTCAAAGCTAATTAAAATGAGGTCCTTATTTATTACAAGTCAAGCAAGCAAATAAATAATAAGACCATACACAATTCTAACACAATAAAAAACGCATTTCAAGAAAAAATGATTCTTAAATTGCCTGTAATGATAATACAGTGATTCAGTATATATGTTTTTTCTGCCTTCAATATTGCAGTCATTAAAACTATTTAAATACTACAGTTTCTCTAAAAAGATAACTAAAATAAAGCATTTTTTTGAATCGTACAATTATTTTTTGAAGTGCGTGTTCTTATTATAAATGTAGTCGAAGTATTTGTTCTAATAATGATAAAGTTTTGTTTGAAGACATAAATGAACAAATTTCTGAACCCCATAGCTTTTATCAATTTAAAATACTATGCAAAATAAATTTAATTGCATGCTTTTTTTAGTATCGATAGACATTACGCCAATGCTTAAATGAACAATTTAAGGTGAAGGGGGTCTTAAAATGTAATGTAAATAAAGTCTAGAATCATCTGAACAGTACAGATGTGCTCTATAGGTCTAACTTATGACTAATGAAATTTCTCTTTCAGCGTCGTTTTTTATTTCAAATTTTTTTATCTGTTTCCATTCTGAAATTCGCAAAGATTCATTTTTTTATGTCAATGTCATATAAAACTATTATTTTTTCAAAAACTACTGAACCATTTCAAGAGCTATTTTTTCGGTTTTAATCACCAATTCTAATTATTCATTAGTAAAGAAAATAATATACCTATTAATATAGACAAAAACTTTTTTCGTTAACATCGTTGTGGCATCCTGTGAAAATGCAAATATTCCATTAAATATAAGCTATTGGAAGCACTTTTAACTCGTATACCACAATCTAGCATCCACTGTGGATGTGTTTTGCCTGATAGAAGAATTGGTCCAAGAAATTTATGAGCTATATAGTTATTAGTATTAACTTATATTCAATAAGTATAATGTATATAAGGGAGGAGGGAGCAAATGGACAAGGAATAAAATAAATTATAAACTTAAAATAGATCAATGTTTGAGATTGATACATAATAAGTTATCAATATTTTCTAATATTAAAAGAATCTTTGCGAATTAAATATTTAATTAGATATTATACTAAAGAAATGAAAATGTGATATTTGAATATTATTGTAAAGTAGTAGATAATGAAGAATTCAATAATTTTACAATGAAATTTATTGTTTCATAAATATCACAATGGAGAGTAATAAAATGTTATTATGTTGTAATAATAGTACACTTGAAAAAAATAAATTTAGCAAGTGAAACCAACGTTATGGGCGTGACTTAATAAATTATAACTTTTTTAATAAAAAGTAAAATTTATTTTTCAATACAATGTTGTGTAAACATTAAGAAAATCCAATGACTGTTTTAGAGTATATTTAAAATAGTTATTTTCAATCAATTTCGGTTGAATGGTATACTTGTTATAGTTACTAGTGGCCTTTATCAGGTTATCGTCGATACAATGACCGATATAAAACCTATTCTCTCTATCAATTTTTAAAACAATATATTTTATAAGTGGCCTGCCTACCTGGATCAAATTATTTTCAAACCAAATCTATTTAAGCCTAATAACTGGTTTATAGTAATATTCAAGTTAATATTCAAGTGGTGTATAGTACAATTCAAGTTATTGGTCAGCACTTGTATGTGAAAAAAAAATTTTTTTTTTACTATTACCACAATCATTCTCAGATGATGTTTTATTATTAGTTATTATTTTTATTTATGTTATCATCATTAACTGCCGTCAGTTTTGTTATATATGTCTATGGACAAGGAAAAAGACTAACCAGGCCCAGTGAGAATATCTAGGTGTTAACGACTGCAGATACAGTCGGAACCAACGGCATAATCTCGAGTGAATAAATTCTTAGTCTCCCAATTGGTAACTAATATAATAATAAGGCTCAGCCATCTCCGAGGTCCTGGGTTCGATTCCCGGTCAATGTAGAATATAAACTTCCATATATGGTTGCGGGTCTGCGTGTTGTGGTAGTTTCGTTATCTCTGATACTTCATACGATGGCTTTTCGCTACTTATCTTGGAATCTGAGCAATGTATGTGATGTTGTCTAAAAGTTTTGTTTACAAAAAAGTACAGTTCCATCTTTTTTATAAGTAACATGACATAACATGATTTTAACGATTGTAAAGTACAGCTTACTAATATTATCACAAAATATGTCATATTATGCCCTTAACGATGGTTTCTCTTGACAGATAATTATTATAGTTAAAAATGAAACGAATCAATAGGAAACAAAATGGCTGACGGAAGTACAGATAATAAGTAAGAGCAGTTACATAACGACCGCAACAATGTTTTGAATTTTTATTTTTTTTATTCAATAAATTATAAATAGCTTTATATTGTATACGGACTTTGTAATACATATTTTAATTAAAAAATATGCTGGACAAGTTTTTGCTCCGAGCTGACTGATTAATCGGGGTAACGGAATATTGTCCTATGCTTATGCATTTTATGAATTATGTTGATTATTTGTATACTATTTTAAAAGTAATGGCAAATTGCCCTATGTGGTTGGCTAGGTGTTAACGCATGCATATTCAGCCGGGACCAACGGCTTACTTGTATTCGTGCTAGTAAGATTTTTTACACATCCATTGTCTCTGGGAAAGTTGCTTAACTTTTGCAATAACAGTCTGAACGTACTAAGCACAGGCGCCGTCAAGGTTTTTCTTATAAAATTATCATTTTTTTTTTTTGTAACAATTTCTAAGTTACACACTCGTAAATTTAGATCAAAAAGTCTTTGCTTCCGTGGAGTCTTGAACTAATAAACCATCTCTTTCAGGCAATAATGGCTCTTTAGCTCCACAGGCTATTAATTTATAAATCTTTTTTCAGATCTTAATATTCTATTTTCTTTCAGACGCTGAGTAGATGTTACTCGTTATGATTTAGTTAGGCTCGCACCATTTTTTGTTCGACCGTTGTTATGGAGACGAGTTTGCTTTGCGAATACTTATTTAAATGTGATATTTATACGTATTTAATTACTTTGACAGTTTTATATATACGTTTTGTTGTTGATAACGTGAATTTGTAGCTAAAAGAAATACATTTATTTTTGAGCGTTAAAGCAGTTTCAACATGTTTAATTTAGCTTTTGTGCCATCAAAATATTAGAAACAAAATCTTAGAAATTATTTTCTACACAGTTTTCACGGTCTATCCTACAAATGTTATGGAAAGTTCTCCAAAGTAATATTTAACTCTGTGGGACGGAATAAGACCAAACTGTGGCAAAACTAAATTTCGAAGGACCTTTAAAATTAACCAACCCACGCGTTTCAGTCCATTATTATACCAGTTTCGATCCTTCTAATTTCAGTCTGGACTAATGGTTCTATCGTCTCAAGTCTTATATCCGGATATAAATAATTCGATACATATCAAGTAGATCTTCAACTCCCCGACGAAATATATTTCTTAACTGGTGCCCGCGACCCACTCTGTGTACTCTACCTTATTACCAACAGAACATAAGTCTTAATTTTCTGTTCCCTAATTTGAGAATTGGTCTGTTATCCATACAATCTCTTATTACCTTCATTTTTATGATTGTGTAGTGTTGTTTATGGCTTATTTTTAATTTGCACGAGGCAATTGAAAAAGTACTGATGTAGATTAAGGTAATGCAAATTATCAAATAATCCAGTTCTTAAACCACCTATATAGAACTAATGGTTAAGGGCCGACCGCTACGGGAAATATAGATTTTACATATGGCGCTTATATTATGTAATACATACGAGACAGTTTTAACAATACTTTTCACTTTCATATAAATTAAATAATGCGATATGGTATGACGCGGTTTATTTTTTTATTGTGTCGTTCACAAATGCACAATTTACGTATGCCAAATAAGATATTTGCGTCTGATTCAAAAAAAAGATTTAATATATTTTATAACAATAATTTTTGCTTCAAAATAAAGTCTATATAAAGCTTTTTCAAAACTATTTCGTTTGGCCAATAATCGTTAAAAAGTTCAAAAAATGTAGTAAATTCAAAATATTCAAACGCATTACTATTTGTCAGAAATTATGTGATGAAAATGTACACGTGTGTCGTCATAAAAAGTTAATATCGATGCAATAACAGTATTATATCACAAAATAAACAACAGATTATGGTTTAAATGATGTTTTAGTCTTTAGTTTACATTTCACCAATTTGGTAAACCATATGAATATTAAACAGTCGATTATATTAAAAAACGATTAATTGTTAATCGATTTAAGTAATCCATATTATTTTAAAATGTTATATCTTTAGTCGCGTCCATTCACAAGCGCGGCAAAAATTCACCATTTAGTTTTGTTAATCAAATTTAATGATACACATTATCATAATTCCCTATTTATATAAAGACCATGTAGACTTTGGTCACAAACGCAAAATAAAAGATAAAAAAATCTCTTAAAATCAGTAAAGGTATTTCAATATACGCTATTTTAACGTATTTCTAGAAGCAATGCATGCATGCATGAGCAAAAGAATGATGCCCCATTTATTAATGGCCACATTTTTATTGTAATGCCACGCTTCTTTTTCACACAGTCTGTGTCTTATGTATACTTAGTTCTTCCTCTGCCTACATTTAATCAACATACGGATAAAAACAGATTCCTATTACATAGATTACATGTTTCCATACGAGCGGGGAATTAAACTATTTACCACGAATCCAATATTATTAGTGCTATGTTTTCTTCACAAATCAATGATAAATTTATTATTTTGTGATCTAGTAAAGGGTAAGTTAGTCGAAGCGCGATTGACTTTCATAATTAAGATAACATTAGCAGAATTGTACTACTAGATTGCACAGGACAAGATGCCTGAGTGTCCTAAATAATTTACCAATACGTCTCGCATTTCTTTCGTTGTTTTCTATTTTAAAGGCGTCATAAATTGCGCACTCTTGGAAGTTACGGTGGCTAGTTTAAAATTTAACTAACTTTATGGATCCCTTAATTGATGATACTAATTAATTTAAAAAGCTTGTTCCTCATACTTAATTTATCTTAGATATTAGTAATTATCTAATTAAATAAACGTCTAATGTCGCAAAAAACTGCGCAAATGTATTTTTAACTAGATTCTGATATAAAAAATGTTTTCAACAACCTTTTATGCCAGCAAAGAGAAATCGTATCTCAATTGAACTTTTTAAGAAGCATGCATGATTTGTGACATGTGAATTGACAATATAGTTAATATATTATTGTATTATAACATACTTTTAACACTTTTTAAAAAACTTCGTCTTCATCGACGGTCGATCAAAACATATTTCCTCCTAATTAGCGCCTATCTTTTCATCTCTTAATTGAATACTCCGTTCTAGGCAAAGAACGAGTTCATCGCTCTCCTAAAGGAGAAGACTGTGGATAGGCACGCCCGTTGGGCGGACGTCAAGAAGAAAGTGGACTCTGACGCCAGATACAAAGCTGTGGAAAGTAGCACGTTGAGAGAAGACTACTTCAGGGAGTACTGTAAGCTGGTCAAAGAGGAGAGGAAGAAGGAGAAAGATGTAAAGGAGAAAGGTTAGTATTTTTTTTTATGAAACAGGTGAAGTGGTGACCTAATAATTGAACCATTAATGAAAGGTGGTATACTTCTTATTTTATTATTATTCATAAAATAAAAAGTAATTACATCACATGATAAAGGTGTAATATTATACGTTCACAAATATCTAACATACTGCATACAACATATTGCATCACAAATAATGGAAATGCCATGTCTAATAATAAGACTCTAGCAACATCACCATATCAGCTTCTGTAATAGCATAATTTAATGATTCTTACGAGTATAATGATAATTGTGATTAAAAAATCAGCCCAAATCTTTGTCTTACTGATTCTCACTGTATCTATACATCTATAAGGTGAGAATCAGCTAACGGATTGTTATTAATTAATAAATAATTTATTATTGTAGATCGCGAGCGCAGCAGTAAAAAGGACAAGAAAGACAAGGAACGCGACAAAGATAAAGAAAAGGAAAGAGATAAGGATAAGGAAAAGGATAAGGACAGCAAGAAGAAGAAAGAGAAAGGAGAGGTAAGTCCACCTTAAATTTACTTAAATGCTTTCGTTTTGATATACTCAGACCAAAATAGTAGGAGATGATTATCGACCTGTTAAAATTTGTTGTATATACAGTTGCATATTGGGTCACCACAAATTGACATATAACCTTGATCAACTTTGAACATGCAAAATCGCTTGGAGTATCGTGATATAACGTGTTGAAAGCATTCTTTGTTTTAAAAATGGATCTATTTTTCCAATTTCCATAACTATTTGCTATCAGATAGTGATCGGAACTTTACTGCATATTATAATGCTATCATAGTATGGATATGCCTGCGATCCAGGCGTTTGTATATAAACTATTAGTAGAGGGAAAAGAGACTAAAAAAATTTCACTATAACTTTTTTCTTTTTAATTTTTAATGCTCGGTATTCCAAATTTGTATCCATATTAAGATATCCAATTATGATTGAAGTAAATTCTCTATTGACTAAGATCACTGGTTGGTTATGGGAGTCGGAAGGATGATAACGTTAACCTGCTTCGGACTTCGGATGACTTCTTTCCTTTAAGATAATGTATTTTTTTTATTCTAACGAGATAATGTTAATTATTGCATAATACCTAACACCATGACTGTGTCGTTTTATTATATGTTTGAAAATTATAAACCCAAGAGGCATAACATTGAGCTACAATTTAAAACAATGGTTTCTTTCAAATTAAATTTAATTATGAATATAAAACCGTATAGTTTGCAATAGACAAAGTTTAGATATTTTCTGCTTCAAAACTTATATGACCGTCTGTAGTTGATTGTAGTTGAAACTATTTCATGTCATTTTACGATTACATGGCAGAGTCGCAAATACCTTCTTTCGAAATACATGAAGAGTTATTCCAACTTTGATTACGCTATTAAAGATGTCGATTGAAACTTTGTTGTATTTAAAGAAACTTAGTTACTACCCTGAGTTTAACATGTCATATCCACATTAAATGTTTTAAAATTCCTAAAAAATCAGTCTACTTAAAACTAGTGTTCGCTGTAGAAATACCTATTACAGTCTATTGTTATTCGTTTTGTTGAAAAAGTTACTATTCGAAGAATGAGACGAAAATACAAGAAAAAAGGTAAGTTTCGAAGCGATTACAATTGAAGGGTTTTTGTGACAGTGCGCAGCTAATATGATGAAAGCAACGCTACACCCCTTGCAGACCCTTCGTGCTTTACATTTTTATGTCCGTGATACGTTTGCCGGCTGTCATGATCTGCGGGGGGACAAACCCCGGACGTAACGATTACGTGATTTCCGTTTCGCGATCGTTTCATTTTAAAGTTTGACTGTTTGCACCTGAATTTAAAAGTCGGTACTTGATTACACTAATTTTACATAATAAGTGGCGTGAAACTAATGAATATAACTCATCGATCTGAGAATCATAATCAGTAATATCGATAAATGTTCCGTACTTTTATTTTATTATAGTATAATATAGATTGATATATAATATTTCTTTAATTTTATTTTCTTATCACCTTTGTTGTTTAGGGTTACCATAGTGCAAGTGATTTAACTACGACCTCAAAACAGTAATACATAGCAACGCATTAGGTTGCGTCAAAAAGGCAAATAAATATTCTGCAATTACTCAACGCTTAACGGTTTTGAATTAATAAAAAAAATGTCCGATCAGTAAAACCTGATGTACTTTTGGCTGTATATTGTTTCATTATTACAATCGGATAGTACCCTTTTGTTTTTAAATTGACCTGTTAACTGATTGCGTTAAATTATTTTCACGTTTTACCCTAATACTTTCAGCATAATCCTATATAATTTTATCTTGCAAACAGTCAGATTTCGAATATCAAATTGAACTTTCAAAAGATAGTTCGGTATTAATGGCGTAAAAGATGACCTTTATGTGCAGTGTTATGTGTTTTAAAGCTAGTGGAGATTGCGGAGTGAGGAGATGTATACCGATCTCATTTGTATACGAGGGTACACTGCATCGGACGTGAATATCTGTGGGGACCCGTACGTTACTTAGAGAGGGCTTAAACATACGTGTGTGCATCCGTAAAAAAAGTCAGAGTTTAGATTAGGCGATATATTTTCGTATAAACGGTCATTGGTATCTAAGCAACCAAAGTGTCATATTGGTACACAAAGTAATCGAAATATTTGAATTAAAAAAGAAGAAGAAGATCAAAATATCATAGAATTATTTCTTTGAATTTATACACTAACAACTTATTTCGAATCGCCTGGACTGGATGTTGTGATTGTGTCGAGTCCATTCGAATCAAGTTGTTTGTTAGTAGACAAAATTGGAGTGTACCAAGATCAAATGCAAGTTTGATGTTTGCCTATATATAATTCAACTTTTGAATTTCACATCATTTTAATCACTTTGGGCGCTTTGATAATTATGATGATATATAATAATTAAGAACACGTTTTGAACGCCATTTCCTAATTAAAACGTTACTTTCACTTATATGAATCATTTTACTGTCCATACAATTGGGACTGCACAAAAACGTTACCGTCCAATAACCCTCTCTCGGTAACTTACGCAAACCCTTCTACTCCCCGCAGAGAATGACACACGGCCTTAGGATGTCGTAGAACGTTCTAGAAGATGAATGTTAAGGAAAATATTATTGTTTTAGTTGCATTTTTATAAAATATTATAATTTTATGGAGCTTTGTCAAAGTGATAAATAATGTTGACTTGTCGATAAAACTTTTTTGATACTTGTTATCTACTAGAACGTTCTACAGAAGTTAAACGTTTGAATGCATGAGTATATTAACGATTTTAAGTTATTTTTGTCTTGGTAATGTATATAAAAAACATATAAAAATGATTTGATTGTAATTAACCCTGAGGCCGTCCGCGTCCGATGCAGGTTTTGAATAAACGTACAGAGTTTTGAATAATTGAAATAATATGACTTTTTAACTAAGATTCTGTTTTCGATTAATCGTACAATTTCACTTGATCAAAGTAAAACAAAAGAAATCCGTATATCATACAATAATAACGAAATTTCCATTAGATATCTGAAATTACTGTGCTTGTTTACGATATATATTGTTATACAATAAATGCATAGCGACAGTGTTCGCCAGTGGCGCTAATAGGTGAACAAGTAAGCTCTCGTCAATCTTAGTCGATAACTCATTAATTTTCTACTCACCGACTAAATTAACAGAAAGATTAACACCTGCTAATATGGTGCTATTGATATTTCCAGTTTCTGGTAAATATTGCCCCCCATCAAGTCGAGAAATGATGATTCAGTTGTGTTAGCCGGTTTTCTGACTAGACCTTCTTATAGAATCTTAGTTAAAAACTTCTCTGAACATCGGTACCATCTCCCTCCAACTCACTCCGCTTCTCCTACAGAAAACCGAAACCGAAGACGAACGGAAACAGCCGACCCCACCGCCCGATCAGTGGGCGGAGATACTCGGCATACCCGGGGAGGACAAGGACTCTACATCAACGTCCACCAAGTCGAAAAAGTCGCAGGACACTGCCTCGGAAAAGTCGGAGAAGTCGGCACAGTCGAAGTGCACGACGCCCGACAAAGAGCTGTCGCCGAAGCAATTGAGATCCTCGAAAAAGGAACAGCAACCGACACCAGAAAAAAAATCCCCCATAAAATCACCACCAAAGAAACGGAAACAAGAAGAGTTTGCTGTACCTGAAACAGAAAAGAATAAAAAGAAGCGAACGGAGAAGAAGAAAACAGAGAAGACAGAGAAGAAGAAACGAAAGAAAAGCGAAAAGGAATAGTGTTTGCTTCATGTGTTCTTTAAGAGATAAAACGGTTGACAATTTCTTGGTGATTCCAAGTCGCCAAGTCTATTCTACTTAAAAGTGACTATGAAATTAATCGTGTTGAGGTGTTTGGGTATAAATATTGGATATGCAGTGCATACGAGTATAATATTAGAGCTAAAAATTACTGTCATTTTGGCACAAACTATTTTTTACCTTGCATACACTTGAGCAAACTTTAATTTTTGACCAAAATTTCTCCAGATCTGTATATGGACAAATATCCTTTATTTTGAAATTCCTCCTTTGATTCTACAGAGCTATGCAGACGTAGGAATTTTATGTTGTAATTTCAGCAACGAATTTTTTTAACTACAAGCTATTAAAACTGCAGTTACTAGTACTAGTTTCGTTTGTGGGCTGCTTGGAAAAATCTTATATAATAAAAATGTTGTTATTTGCATCATCGAACGTTGTTAAGTCTACACATCGATTTAAAATCTGTGGAAACCCCGGAATATATAAAATAGTTGAAAAACAAGCAACATCGGTAACACACTTATTCATAATAATAGAACCATATTTTTTATTAAATGTAGTTTGCCATGGGAATTTGCATTCTATGTTGATCAGTATACGTACATAATTCGTTTGCGTACTATGTGTTTTTAACATGTGTCTGACGTATGAAGAATCGAACATAAAATTTGCAAATCCTTTTTATAACTTATTTTGTTTATACCGCAGTAGTAATCAAAACAGAGATCCGCCTATTAGATTTACAAAAAAAAAAATTAGTGGAACGTTACTTCACCAAGCTTGTATATGGAATGGCTTCATCGTGGTTTTCTACGGCACCGCGTAGAACATACGGGTTTCATTTGTAGTATTGACGTCGATGAATGGAGCTAGTGTCCTAATTTTTTTATACGATAGTATATTTGTTATAACTACAGTGTATTAATATGAGTGTACAATTATAGATTCGGTAAATTTTATTACTAGGTGGTGAATTTTTAAATATATATCTTTTTTATCTGAATTAAAAAAATACGAACTCAAAAGACATTTGTGGACCCGCGTTGAACTGGCTAAACGTTTTACAGGTAAATTTCGGAATATAGAGTACAGCATAAGAACCTCATCAATTCTATATAATTTACAAAAGATAATAATTATTACATTTGATCCATTTTTGCATTCACAACGATATACAAAAATGCTTAAAAAACCCACTTTGTCCCTGCTACTGTGAGATGGCATCTCAAAGTAAATTTTTAAGCATTTTTCATTAAGAGGGTAATAACCTATTTATAACAGGAAATAAATACATAAATTCAAACAAATGTAATTACAGATGTATGCACTAAAAGTAAACGCTTCACAGTAACTGTGGAGATGTGCTGTATAGTCATACGCGTGTCAGATTACAAGGTCTATATAACCGCGGGTCGACTGTTGTGCCCATAAAAGAAACATTTAGAAAAACATCAAATTAGAACACTACAGGCCATAAATTGAAGTATGAAACTGTGAAAGACGTTCCTAATGTTGAATGTCCATTTTGTACAGCGGAAAAGAGAACTATGATATCAATTTCAATAGTTCTTGCTGACTTTCTCATATATGACAACGTTCACATAGGCGTGTTCAAACGGAATGTTGCCCAAAATGACTTCAGAACTTTTTTTATAAGATTTAAAGTAAAGAAAAAAAAACATCCTTATCGCGATGTAATTATCACAGAAAATTATCGCAATAGATTCTGATCTCTATTTTCTATACATTGAAGTTTATAATCAATTGCATAGTTACACGTTTTTTTATAACATGTTCTGTTGACTGGACATTACTAATGACAGTTTTGAAGAAGCTGCGATGTACATTGATGGAAATGGAAGTATGCATACACTTTATACAATTTGTTAATATATATTAGAAATTCATCCACTATCCTAGAATCTTCCAATACAATCTAATGTATCGGTTGTGAGTTAATAGAATATGAGTTTGATTAAGAAAGGTATAATGTCTTAATTAGATTGTCATCATTACGTGTGATGGCTAAGAATGTGAAAAGTACAAATGTACATTTTTTTTACTATGTTTTATTATTTCTGTGTAGTGGCAGAAGTTACTGTAATAATAGAGCCTTGACTTTTATATTTTTTAACCAAATCCTATATATAGTCGCATGTCTTTTTCTCATTTAGTAATTTAAAATATCGCAAGGATTCTCTAATTATATTTTTCAATATTTTTTAACGCCATCCTTAATTAGTGTTTCATGTTTATTTTTAATGCCCTGTTTCTGTTCATATAGAAAGAAAGAGAAGGTGCCGTGCACTTCGTACACGACAATATTTAATTATATTAATATAATTCGTATTCGTATTCGTTCGGCGCGTGCGCAGTTTGGAATTTGTAAATAGTGAACAAAATTTTGTAAATTTTTGATATAATTAATTAAGTGATTTGTAATGTAGTTCTAATAGTTATGATTGAGTGTTTGTCTTAGTGTCCATAAAAACTAATATGGACACGAAATTGTCATTTATAACAATATGTTTTCCTGTTATATTTTATATGTGTAGTATTCGATTATGTTAATAGTTTTCGTGGATTTTGGGAGATGACGGGAATCTTATTAAAATAATTTTAAAGTAATAAATATATGAAATGTTTTTTATTAATTAGATACTATTATTAGGAGTAAAATTTTCATATAGAAGCCTCATTAGAGATGGACAAAATATATAGACAGTGCCGTATGTACAGGAAGTGTTGGTTAATTACATAAGCAATTTTAAAATATAAAATATCTGATTAAAAATATTAGTTTATTGAGTCGTGATTGGTCGATATCTTCGACAGACGTCACACATCTCTATTGAATGAACTTTTGAAAATATACGCCTACTAATGGTTTCTTGTTACAACTTAGTTACGATTTGCTATCATAATTTTTAATTAAAAGCACAAGCTCTTTTTTATTATTTTCATCAAAAGCAGTATTAAATACTGAGAGAGGTATTTCAAAATTATCGAAACATCAATAGATCAAAACGTTAATAAATAATGAAATATACAAAAATATTTGAACTACTTAGTTCGCATTTAACTTTAGTAGTTTAAATATTAACGAAAGTACATTTTATTTAATAATACGATAAATAAAACATTCTTTTGATTGTCTTCACTAGAATTATATATGTTTGTTAATAGATTGTAGGATTGCTGGATAAGATCCCGAATATAATTTTTCATATAACTATAGGATTTATTTTATACTTATAATGTTCAATATACTATGTTGTCTATAAAAAAAAATGACGATCTTTATAGGAATATCTGTACATATAAAACCACATCCGATTACTATAAAATTCAAAGTGCCAAAATCTAAAGTGATTTTGAACTTAAAAGTCAAACTTCATTTTTGTGCTACCAAAAAACTGTTGTGTAGTAAGATTTTCACAGTTATTGTATCGTTTAATATAGAATTGGGATCTTATTAGTATTCCTATTAATATTATAAAGGCGAAAGTTTGTAAGTATGGATGTATGGATGTTTGTTACTCTTTCACGAAAAAACTACTGGACGGATTTGGATAAAACTTTACAGCAATATAGGTTATACATCAGAATAACACATAGGGTACTTTTTACTGGGAAAACTTCTCACTCCCACGGGATACCGACTTCCACGCGGACGAAGTCGCGGGCGTCCACTAGTTATATATAATTACAGCTGGTTTTTAGGTTTTTGTGTTAGATGATTATATATTTCAGTCCGTTGCTATACCGGTTACCCTTACAATTTAGAAAAATTGAATATATAATAAATTATTGGCAAAAATAACAAAAATATATATGATCTATTTATTTCCTTAATATTGCGAAACAAAAATAATAATAAATTCTTAAAACAAAATTTTGTATATATGTTATTAATTTTATTTTAATATATTTACAGACAACTCTTTCTTGTTCACTCTAATTTATTAAATACTTTACAGATCTTACAACACTGCAGTGGTTGTCGGTCTAAAAATCAATTGACATATACAGGATAATATTTAAAATGTCGATTTCGTTATTTCTAATATGCCTATTTGCTAATTTATGATCGTTCTGTATCTACATGTCACAGTACATAAGGAGTAGGCAGGTCTATTGATTTTTTATGTTACTATAGATACCATTTTTGCTGTGTAATTTTTTTTTTTTACTTTTCAGAATGAAATTAAATACATGTCCAAAAAATACAATAATTATTTACCATATATATGTCCATTTTTTTGTTACAAGCAAATTTGTAATCTATTTTATTGTATTAAAAAAAAAAACATCTGGTATATGGTCAGCACAGCGTTTTTTAACCTAAGACGCGACCCAAAATTAGGTCTAGGTAATATCAGGATGGGTCGCAAAATTATAAGAACTTTATTTACTCTTCTTATTTAATTAATACTAATATATAAATAAATTAATCAAAGTTTCGAACTGCAAATATATTTTTATATTTTGGGTCGCCGTTCAAAAAGGTTGAGAACCACTGGCTTAGAATTTAAACTTTGTTTTGAGTGTTTTGTAAATATTACTCTTTATTATATTGTTTAGTTTGACGATTTTAAATGTGAATAAAAATATATCGTCTGAACTGTATGTCTTATTTAGGTGTCAAATATGGTCATTTGACGCCTACGTGGTTGTGGCCTATGATGTATCATTAGTGGCGTTTCAGGTCAGGTGACATTGACAACAAGATTATTATTTCAAAAGTTTTAAAAATATAGTAAAATCTTTCATCTTTTAGTCTTATTTATTTTTGTATGTGTTATAAGCAGTGGTTTGAATTAGGTAGAGTTATTCATGTACTTACACTGATTTCATACAGCGAAAGAATAATGTGGATATGCCTCAAATCCCGAGATCAAGTTTAAAGAGCAGAAAAAATCCCGTGAATTTTTAAATAAAAAGTTATTTACTTTTACACAATTTAAACTACTGCACGCACGACGTTGCCGAACTTACATCAATGACATCGGATGTCCAAAGATGTCCAAGATTGTCCATTAGAAATCCCGGGAAGGTCCACATTAATATCAACATTTCGATGCAAGTACATAAATAACTCTACCTAATTCCGACCTCTTGTTATAAGTCTAAAGACTTACAGTGCTACTTATAAACAAGGTTTAGCGTCAGTGTAAATTTACGCTAAAATTGCAATTTAAGTATTATTCCATATTCATATTACACAGAGAATAAGCAAATCTACTACCTTCTAGGAGCAAATATTGCTCCCGTAGAACCTCGTTCTAGGTTAACCTTTGTTAAGTCTCTGTTTGATAATATGAATTTTGACTAGTACGAAGAGTAGTCTCAGCGTAAATTTACTCCAACGCTAAACCTTGTTTATAAGTAGCACTGTTAGACGGTTTGTCTATACATCAAATCGTTTTGTTACTAGTCCAAGACCCTATAGATTCTTGTGTGATGGATTGCCGCTTCTTAAAACGCTATGATAGTGTTGAATTTTTTTATTGGTACCAATTCGAATCAATATATTGTCTATATTAAAGTCTGACCACTTTTAGGTCATACATTTATAATATACATACCTGAAAAGATAAACTGTTTAAAAATGATTAGTTATCAAATTCTATTCGAATCAAACGATTCTTGTTGAAATATCAGCAGAATAATCTGATTTTCATAATATTATTCATTTGATCAGGCTGTGAATGAATGAATTAACAATTCATATCATTTAGTATACGCAGCGTGATTCTTAGAGTCAAATCAAACTCAAAATATTGAAGTAGTAAGGTTGTATTTCTAATTACATTCTGGTCTAAATAAAGAAACTAAAGTTTGACAGAAGGACTGTAACATTCAATAATATTTATAGAAATAGTTTTTTGCTATGGTATTGTATAATAGCTGTAGGACTTCAACTTATTTACACCGGCAGTACTTACACTTTATAGTTATTAAATGAATTTATAAACATTTTTTATTAATTCACACTTTACTTCATAGATCACTATAAGATTGCAATAAAAATATTTGTCAATAATTTATAGTGATAAATAAAATCTTCGAATCTAAAGAAAATCGTAAAAAGGTGATAGAAAATGTTACAAATTAAAGATGCTGATAGTCATTACAGGATAAAAATATATAACATTCTTTCCAAAAAACCAATCGAATGTTAGCAGAAGGAACCAGCACCCGTACCCACGGAAGAGACGGAAGAAGCGGAACCAGAAGAATCGGACGCGCAAGAAGAGGAGGCCGCGAGGGAGAAGGAGGCGCGCGCGCAGGCCTCCATCAAGGAGAGGGAGAGAGAAGTCCAGCGGGCACTCGCCACCAGCCTTAGAGATAGAGATAAGGAGAGAGAGTATCATAAAAGAGACGAGGCTGTACAGGTCAGTTGAATATATACTGTTATATGGAGAGGGTAATTTAATATATTCGTATTTATGCTGCGTAATAGTCTCCATAAATCTGATTGGTACTTCCAGAGACTAACCGTCTAATAATTAAACGATTTAAGTTAATACTTTGTTTAAACCATTGGCCGCCTAAAGCAAATTGACAATGACAGAAGAGGAAACGTCAAATTGAGAAGTTTTAACTTCTTTTGCTCAGATAATGGTTCAAACCTGGTACTAAAGTTGGTTTTCGTTATAAAATAAGACTGTAAGAGTTTGTTAAATTACAAGCTTTTGTGTCTGTCTTCTAGTCTATATTGACTCGAAAGAAAATTAAATTAGTTAAAGATTTATTTAAAGGTCAAATAATCGAAGGGTCATACGATACTTTTAACCGAATATTCACATAAGCATAACCATGCTCAGATTATAGTCTGAAATCTTTCTGCTCGTTTGTAAATACGTCACTTTGGGTTTTCGACCTAAACCATAAAGAAAAGAGCATTTTTTTTTATTTATATTCTTTAGTATTCGTAATAAATCAAAAAACCGGACAACGAGTCACGAAATCACTCGCACGCGAATGGTAAACCTATTAAATCTAATACTAAATCTATTAATAAAAAAGCAAAAACAATCATTCTTTGCAAGAATTGCTTGTAGAATTTTTTATAACAGCTGAAAAAAGATTATTTTGAAACGGATCATGGAGTGGAGTAATGTAACAAAGCTTGTGTGAACGCGCTCTAGTTTGTCGAACTAACAACCTGTCAGATTTTCACGGTTTCATTTTTTTCACATATTCTACATATATGAACTTGTTACATGAAAATTGACATTTCGTTGTAATTAACCGATGTTGCAGCATTTTAACGCTCTACTTGCCGATCTGGTGCGCAATCCGGAGTTGGCTTGGCGTGATGCTAAGAAACAACTGCGGAAGGATCATCGATACAGTCTCGCTGAACTACTCACCAAGGAGGACAAGGTTGGTCAACACACAAGAACTAATCGTCGTGTCTTAACGATTGTTTATATAAGATTGTGATGAAAACAGTCAAAATCTAAATGACATTGTCTTTCCCGGTCTACAGCTAGAAATTGATGAAATGTACTCTGATTGATAATAACAGATATTAGTACCATTATAATATGTAATCATAAAAATTTTTAATACATTGCATTTTATATCTATCATACTGCAATTATAAAGTGTAAAAATTAATAATCCTGAATGAAAGCTTCATAACGTTAATTCTAATCTGATGTTATTGGGCCCGTTCTTGACCAAACATTATGATATACTATTATAATATATTTGAAATATATTATAATAGTATATATTTCAAATATATTATTATAATAGTATTATAAAAGTTTGAAATGTTTGTAAATTACTCTTTATTTATTTCTGTTGTGTGTTGTACAATAAAGTGTTTTTATCTTTATCTTATCTTATATTATTATATATTTAATAGTATATCATAATATATATCATAATAAAATAATATATCATAATAATATATTATATTTGATCAATTTTACATTCACAATGCTATATTGAGAAATATTCTTAATAATAATAATCTTTTATTTTTATGCTGTATCATAATCACCAGCCTATTGCTGAAGCTCAGGCCTTTCCTATACATGGAATCGAATAGGGAGATTGGGATTGGATTGAATATTAACGACTACAGATACAGCCGGTACCAACGGCTTAACGCTTAACACAGAGCAGCTCGAGATAATAAATTTTTGATCACTTATCCTATGACCAACCATTGCGAAATTTGCTTGACAAACGTATCGCAGACCACGTACACTAACCACTGCGTCATCAAGCTCTGTATTTTAGTAATTACGAGAAAAAATTACAATTCAGATAGCTTTACTGCCTAAGCTAGCAGTCCGAAGATGATAGTTTCAGTTCATAAAGTAAAGAAATTAATTTATAATATTCAAATCTGCGTTGTTAAAACGCGAATCAACCGCCATGACATGACGTCATTCGGTTTGAAAACAAACAAGAGAAATAAGTTTCAAGCAAGATAAATACGTTTAGAGATTTATTTTTAAATAATTTAATGACGAATTAAATATAAATCCATTTTATTAAAATAATACCATGGAACCATTGTAAATGGAGATCGCACAAATTTACCAATTCTGATCCTCGGAAAGTTTTTCTCTGCAAATTCTGCAATTTTGCTCTACTCTATTACGGAATGTTAAAACATTGATCTAAGTAGTATATTCTTACAACTAATTGAATATGATATAAAATTTAAGAAACCAATAGTTAAGCGTTTACAAAACCACAACTACAAAGTAGTCCAGCATTTTCGTGCAGATTTTGAAAATTCAAAATTTTATGAGCATTACTGACTGAGAAGACTAGTTAAAATAGTTATATTATTTTTCATGGTTTTTTAGAACCTTAGGATTGAATCAAAATACTTTTCAGTAATACCCTATTATCTCAATAAATATATATATATAAACGGTGTGACAGGAACGCTTGTTCGGCCAACACACTTCCTCATTGGCCAGTAAGCGTCGCGATAAACTTCGCTCGTTGTTGAGTACGCTGGGCGTTTCTTGTACCGCCCACTGGAGGGACGTACGCGCACAACTAGAGAAACATCCGAACGCGCCCACCTACACTAGTGTGTCACAGGTATATGTATTATAATTATTTACCTTTATAAATAAAATCTGCATACAATTAAATTGGTGTTTGTGTATAATAATTAAAGTAACAGATTTCAACTAAATTCATATGTATGTATTTACGGTACATATACTAAAATGTCATTATTTTACATTTTTTCGGCTAATCTCTAAAACAGTTGGACCTATTTTGATGGGAATTTCACTAGCAGATAGCGGATTTTATAAATAACTTAGGGTACTTTCCATGCGAACGGAGTCGCCGGTACAGCTAGTTCACTATAATATGTCAATTTAGGCACACTTTCAAGCAAGTAATTTGCTTGTTTAAAGTGTGCCTAAATTGACATATCGGCCTGATACATCCCATTTTAACACATTAAACTATTGTTGCGTAATCAGATGGAGCGCGAGTTCCGTGATTATCAGCGCGACAAACAGAGCGCGGCTAAGACTGCGTTCAGACAGCTGCTGTTAGAGACCAGGTCTATAACACACAAGAGTCACGCGGCCGTTAAAGAAAACGCAGCCGCGCTACAAAATATACACCAGACGCTGAAACACGACGCCAGGTGATTATATTATATGTAGTTTTATTTTTTGGCTTTAGTATATCAAAATCAATTGTTTACAGCTTACATGGTAAATAGTTGGCTACTTGATAGTTGTAACAATAAACTATGAAATATGTTGGATATGGTAACTTATATGTCAACAATAACTAAGTATGTTGCGATTTGTAATCTATGGAATACGAGAACCAAAACAAAATGCGGGAGGCCATGACAAAACATCGCCTGACGTCACATTGCAATAAACAAAACGTCAACGTATTTTACTACTTTTTGATTTTAGACTAATTATGATAATAATTTTGCGTTGTTAAACATCAGGTATCTGGCTTTGGAACATATACCGGAGGAGCGGGAGAGTATGCTGACGTCGTATTTAGAGGAGCTCGACAAGAAGGGCCCTCCCCCGCCCCCCACCGCCACGGAACCGTCGCGACGATCCAAACAGTGACAGGTCACTATGCTATACCTATTTTATATTCACAATGGCACAAGTGACCATCATCAACCTGTTTTATCGCCACTTCTGATGCACAGGTCTTATGCATAAAGTTTGGATAAAATCGAATAAGGAGAACTATTTCAATTGAAAAAATATTGACTAATGAATGTGTATATACTAATATTATATAGAAGAAAGATTTCATTGTTTCTTTGTTTACATCTAATAGATTCCGAAGCTTCTAGACCGATATTTAAAATTCTTTCACCAACGGTTAGCTACATTATACGTGGTTGACATAGGCTACAATTTACGCGTACGAAGTCTCGGGAGAACAGCTAGTAAATTATAAACTTGTCTGGAGATAAGCATTATATTTAGATCATCAAGATGATTGTATTGTTTATCTGATTGTTTCAGGAGCCGTTAATTGACGTAAACCAAATAGGAACTGATTAAGTGTTGCACGCGGTGAACTCTACACACTTACACACACACGCACACACACATATTTTAAATACTTATGTGTAACACTTTTTTGGACAAATTTTTACTTTCAAAAGTTGTCACAGAAAATAGTTTATCATTTTTATAAACGCATTCTTCGAAACGGTGAAAATAAAACTAGTAATTCTGTAGAAGTAGAATCAAAAACGTATATTACTCCAATAACGGAAAAACACAAATACTACAATACATCTCGCCAGATGGCGATACTATATTTGACGTGTTTCTGTTACTTCTTGAACCGGAAATGATGACATCAAAATCTTTTACACGTAATAATAAAAACTAAAATTTAGATGTAAAAAGAAACACGTAAAAAATAGATAAATACTTAGTTATTGAATTTGTAATACTGAAATTTCATCAAGCATTTGAATGTACTAAACTAGTATTCGTAATATTTCTTGGTTCTTTCAATTATTTTCATCCCTTTTTATATTTTTAAATAAACAAGTCTGTTTACTGTTCCAATATAAGTTATTTTTGTATGTCATACTACATAATACTTATTCAGATTGAAAGGCTGTGATTTCTATAGAAAAAATTGCAAATTATGAATTATATGATTACGAAATGAATTACTTTTTCAAGTAAAAGAAAGTTTTATTGTACCATTTTGGTAGTAATACGTGTTTTTCCTACTATGATGTAGATAAAAAATAATAAAATTGTCGAATCATAATTTCCTTAATAAATTTGCTAGGTAGGCTATAATTTGTTGGAGTTGATCATAATTACCTTGCGTGTCTGTGTATAGGGTTATTAGGGTCATTTATGTGGGTAATATTGGTCATAGTGTAATAAGAGATGACCGCGTGTGACGTCAAAATGTATATTTTGAGTCATATTGTGTGTAAGAGTGTGTAAGTTTAGGTATTAATTTTTATGAAATGAGAAATAAAATTCATTGAATCCAATTGAAGTGTTTTATTGTAAAAATATACTACATCTATAGTGATAGGGATATCTATAGTGATCTTTTTTAAAAATCAAAATTATACTTTTATCCTATTAATTTTATTAAGTTTGCCACTTAACCACGAAAATTAGTGGTCTGATTTTGATGCAATTCGGCGTACTGGTAGTTTGAATGCTTGAATTTCGATCTTAGTAGAAGATGAATTTTGTGCTTTTTACATCGCAGCCTACATGTAAAATGACATCAAAAACATGATAATTCTGAATTCTGATGTTTACACCTAACAAATGAATGACGAGCGACAGGAGTTCAGACGATTCCTCGGGTAATGGTATGTGGAGGATTTTATGTCTTCATATAAGGAATTCTAGAATTCGCTTCCTTCAAAGCCGTCGTTGATCACATCATCAACTCGAAAGATTCTTTAGAAAATTTATCAAATTAGTATTATCTGAAGCTTTGTGGTCCGTTTATACATTATGTCGCTAAGAAACACAATTAATGTGAATATTTTATGTAATAGAGAAAAAATTGCGAAAGAATTTCATGGAAAAATAAAGTAAATGTCCAGAATTAACTATTTAGAAACAAATAACATATTCTACAACATTATCTATAGATAATGTTGTAGAACTTTTGCGACCTATAGGTCGCAAAAGAACGGAAGCGATAATTTTCGTTATAGTAATAGGCATTTAATTTTATTATGTAAGTAACCTTCATAGAAACATCAATCAGTACCACGTTGATAAACCCAATCACCATAGTTGAATAATTAATTACTAAATCAAATAACTAATTAATTATTAGAAGTCTAAAGTCACTGGGGAGAAACGCAGGCGTCGTGATGGCAACTCCCAGACTCGAAGCACCGTATCACTGTCTGCCGCTGCTATACGGCATGAACTGCAAAATATATAACAATTAATATTATATAACATTGCTCAAGCTCCAAGATATAAGAGTATCTGAAGTAACGAAGGTACCACAACATCCAGACCCCGAGTCAAAAGTTCATTTTCTAAATTGAGTAATGAATAATTGGCTACTCGGTATAAACTGCAAAAAATTGCATCGAATCCCTTTGTTGTTCCCCGAATTCAGCGTAATTCAAGTAGTTTCAAGCACAGAAAAATGTAGGACGTTGTGGTACTGAATTCATTAAACAAATACGAATCGTATACATCCGTGCCATCACTGACATTCAAAAAGAAAATTAATATCAACTTCTCAACACTATCTCGAGCCTTCGTGGTATAAACGTAAAAATCTCAAAGGGTTATACTAACCCACTCTGGTTGACGGCTATAGCAGTAACCGTTTCGGCGGCAGTGAACCCATCCACCGGCAACAGTCGACCGGCCGCCGCGTCGTACAACCGTACCGGTGACTTGTGACCGGACAAACCCAGCACTAACACACACGGTGTGTGAGGGAGCCACGACATACATGATACTGACACGTCAAGACAAATCACCTAAAAACAAAGTAAAATAAAATAAAAAGACTACACATATCCAATATAAAAATGTATAGAAATGCATTGAATACGTGTGACTCAACAAAAGATCTAAAATGAAATGTTAAAATGTAAAAGTTTAGAGTGTTATGCGTTTCCTTGACATTGTATATAACTATTACTATACGTAATATATATTTTAATACGGCTTAGATTGTAAAGGTAAACGTCCATATGTGAACACGCACGCACCAGCCACACGACATGGATTATATTAAAACTTCCTATGACGACATCAACACAATTCCGATGTGAAATCTGATAGTAGCATTTTTCATAGCATTTAAGAAAAATGAGACTGCAGTGGACGTATGACATCGACAAATCCGTACAAATTAGTTGCGTGTCGTGCGGCCGGTGCGTACGTGCTGAGGCGGTGGATGAGCACCTTAAGTCTCACCTTCAAAGCACTCGTTTGGTTAATATCATAGACGCGTAACTCTGAATCCATAGACACTGAAGCAAAAACCCCTGGTTTTTGAAAACTGAACGCTATGTCCAGTACGCAAGTGCCATGTCCATCTAAAACATCATACACGGGGTCCGCCATTTTGACGTCGGTCATTTGCTGAGCATTCTTCACTCTGCACAAAAACAGGTTCCCTGTTTTCGTTCCCACCACAAAAATATCATCCGCCACTTTCTCATCAAAAGGGCGTAATGGACAACTCTTAATGAAATCGAAGCAGCTTATGTCAGGAGCTGCGAGCTTCTTCGATCCATTTATCGAGTAGCATACCACATTCTCAAAGATTTTAAGATTGGAATTCACTTGCCAAACATTCACCGTACCATCGGAACCAGCAGATATCAAAATTTGATCAGAAGCGCTGCGTCGCTTACCAGTATTTTGTATCTGCATAGTTAAGAACTGGTTAGCTAATGCTGGCTCAGCCCAATGCAGAGCGGAAACCGGTCGGGAGCCATGACATCCCACAGGGGAAGTTAGCTGCGCTCCTTCATTCAAATTCAGCGTATCCCTAAGATTGCACAACACAACTTCCCCAGAAGTTGTCGCATAAGCTAACAACGCCGCTACAGACGGATGGTACTTGAGCACCGTTACGCAATTCTTCTCAGAAATATCCATAGAGTGCACAAATTTGTCTCCTGCAGTACGCTTCATAGTGTAAACTCTTATTAGACCTTCATGTTCGCACCATTTTTCATGTTGCGCCTGTCCAAAGGAAACTGCTAAAGTGTTACCAGCACTACTCCAAGATAAAGATAGGATCGACGCGGTCTTATGGTCACCACTACCTAAGCAAGGTGTGTCTTTATTGACTTCTATCTCTTGTATTAATTTTGCTGTGACTACCTCCTCTTCATCAGAATCTGAAGATTCATATACTTCCTTCTCGGTTTGGTCAAGCTGCTCCAACATGCCTGGAACGACTCTCTTGAGGAAAGCATTTAAACCTGGTGGAGGGTATTCTTTTAAAACATCATCTTCAGCATTCAAGTCCTCAGGCGATACCATAGAACCGCAGTCTTTTGTGAAATTTGTTTGAGAGCCGATCCCGCTTTCACAGAATTCAGAAGTTTGTGTGGAGCAACTAGTTTCGCTTCTCTTGGAACGCGTGACTGATTCGAATCCGATCGCATCACCGTCGTAACCGCTTAAATTAGCCATTTTTAACAACGCACTTGAAATTATTATTGCTAAAAATCGACTTTAAAACGTAGTTTGAATTCTCTTTGAACTACTGTTTATATTTCGTTTGTTTGTTAAGCTAAGTTGCTTAGCAACGCTGCTATTACATGGCAACCTTGTCTGTGATAAACAAAGAGAATTTACTCAGCAGTGCTTCCAAAGAGTACCGATTCGCTTTTTTTATGATGGTGATGATTCGGGTAGGTTATCAAGTTGACTAACGGTGAATTGCTCAAACGTCCATTAGGGTTTAATGAAACCTTTATACTTTAATGCATGTCAAATTTGTATCGGTAATGTCGCTTTTAACTTATGACAATTTTAATGGACGTTCGTGCAACCGGCAGTATATATACTTATGATATGATCACAAGTATTAGTTCTTTTTGACAGATGGTATGATTTCCGGGCGAATAAATCCTGCATTTATTTGTATCGACGAAGATACCACAACACCCAGACACGAGGGAATATAGGAACTCACTTGTCTGTATTCTCTCGTGTGTGTGTTGCGGTACCTTCGTCGGTTCACCACCAGCCCTTTTACGTCCCCACTGCAGGGGCTCAGGCCTTTCTTATGGATGGTTAAGGAGGATGGGCCACGATGGAGGATATTAACGACTGCAAATGCAGCCGGGACCAACGGCTTAACGTGCCTTCCGAAGCACGGAGTAGCTCGAGATAATAATTTTTGGTCACCCATCCCGTGACCGACCCTTGCGAAAGTTGCTTAACGACTACGATCGCAGGCCGCGGCGCTTATCCACTACGCCACCGAGCTACGTCGGTTCAGATTTCCATAACACACGGGCATTAAATTTATTTGGTCTATGTGCAATGATAACATTATTGCACTAACAATAAGCAATCGGCACTAAGAAGTTGAGCGACTTGAGTATTTTTGCTCTCAACAATAGTCATTTATATTTAAATATAAAAATACTTGTGTGTGGTTCAGCAATTGATTTTTACTATGATCTAGGCATAAATATAAATTATTTATTGTGCAGTAATGACAGTATAATTTGTTTTACAGTAATGCGGTTAATGGTGGAATCTTTGCTTGCATAATTAACATAGTCGAATATATTTAATATACATTATTTCGTTAAAAATAAAACGAAATATGTGTTATTTATTACGCTATTATCTTATAGGATGACCATCATTTTTAGGGTGTCACGGTATAGATAACAATTGTGACGATATGGAATAGAAATAAAAGAAGCTTTATTTGTATTATACTTTATTATAATATTCCTGGAAGTCATTGCTGGCATACAAATAAGTTATAGATTAGAATTAAACACGAATGTTCTTAATTAATAAAATAAACATGGTAAAATCCCATAAGTAGGCCACTAATTTAGCTATAGCTATAAAAACGTTTTGTTTTTATCAATGAATCTGTAGATATTCTTTACAATTAAATTATTTTAATATTTAATATAATTTACGATATATTTAATGAAACATTGTAGTTTATTTTTCTTTTCGAAATAGCTTTGTTTATCTTAATTCGACGTTCTGTAAATTTAGTCTAACTTTAATAATTCAGCAAATTAAAACAACCAAATGCATTGTTCAAATATGTAAATATTAATAAATGATTATTGTATAGGAATATTTATATATTCATTGAGAGAATCAATAGAACATTCCTATAGCTAATAAGAAAAAATCTGCTCTTGCCGAGTTTTTTGCTTGCTCTGTCGTCGGTACTAGGTCTCCCGCCGTAGATTTACGAACCGATATTTTCTTAACGACGAACGAAAACGAACAATAAAGAATGACGATTACGGATTTGGTAGCAATATTACTAACATAATAATTTAACCCAAATTTATCCAGCAAAAGACATGTCAAAGTAGTAACATGAAACGAAATATCGTCATAAAATAGTTAAGATGTATCCTACGACTAGAAAGCTCGACAGTCGTATCCCAGATCATGTAATGACCGTCTCAGGGCACGCTACTCCAGTAATCTATTCGTTAGATGTCTTTTCGTCGATCGGTACACAAACGACGGGGGGGTCTGGTCCACTATGATTGTGTACGCGACGCACATGTTTCACCGCGTAATGTCTGCAGCTGTACGCTTGAGTACAAACGCCACATTTATACAACGCCCTCGAGTGACAGGTGAGCTTGTGCATATGTAAGCTGTTGTTGACCTTAAACGTGGCCGGACACTGGTCGCACTGAAATCAAAACATCGCACCATTAGAATTAAGGTGATTTCGTTTGAAATTAGCTATTTTTCGCAATAAAGACTGTTCTTTTCTAAGATCCAATCGGTATACAAAAAAAAATAATTTGGTCACTAGTTTAGGCGTTAAACGTATGACACACAGACAGCATTATCCACCTAGTGTTTTTAGAAAAATTTATAATTTCCTACAATAAACTAAAATATTAGAGGTAATATTTGTATCTAGATATTTCTTTAAACAATTTTTTATTTTAATATGACGAAGTAAGATTCCATACGTAGGTAAGTGCAAGACTAAAATGTAATGGAATAAATGCTCACAAAAAAGTTTTAAAAAATACCTATTTGCCATTTTTTATAAATAAGATTCTCATATAACCTAGCAGCATCTTGTCTGACCAATTACTGAACAGCATAATATCGAAATATTACTAAGAATATGACTGACAATAGGCGCACCCACCAGTATCAGAACATTATTATTAATACTTATATAGTATAACCACATTCAACAGAACTACTACAGTTAATTAACACGAGAATAGTGAACCAGGATAAAAATGGAACGACATATCGACGCTGGAAAGCAAACACGTAGAGAAACCCGCAAACTCAAAATGGATATTTTATTTAGAGTGGAAAATCTTTATATTTTTCCAAAAAATATATCTTATTTCTGTATAAATTGACTGTCTGAGATGTGGGATAACCTTATTTGTTACCCTTACCCATGGACGTTTATAGGAATTAATTATCGTAAATAAGAATTTATCTGCTTTAATAAACAATTTCGGTTTTGCGGATTACTACACGTTAGCTACCCCTCCCTAGCTTCGTTCTATAACATCATATAATTTTATTGTAAGCATGGCAAACGATTGACTATAGTAATCAAAGTCGCCATTCAAAAATCACCCAATTGGTGGGTATTAACGACTGGACGATAGTAGTCCAACCGAAACTGATATACGTTCCCACATTCGACAGTTTTACCGCGATTCAGGAGGGTACAGCGCCATCTGTCATCCGTTAAAGAAATTAAGCCCGGCAACAAATCGTTTACCATTTCAGTTATGTACAAATTAAAAATGGTTCGTCTTTTAAATTATCTTTCATAATAATTTTGTGAAATAGTATGATAGAGTAATAAAATAAACCATATCTATGCATATGTGGAAAATCGGGTCAAAAATATTTGAAACATTAACGTATTTATGACTAGCAAAATTAATTAAACTGTAACACTCCACCAGTATTTAAGTATTATCTATGCATTCCACGCTAATAAATTTAAGACTACAACTATCGAGGAAGCTCATAAGGTTCAACTTGAAAGTGGAAAAATAAAAAAAAGTCACTTCTGTAATAATAAGTTATGCCGTTTTTGTTCATGCGATTTTATTGTTTACTAGCTTTCTGTTCCTTATTTCCCTATTTCATTTATCCCTTATTTCAAACCCTATGACTATTTTTCACGATAAAACTGAATCAAAAGGTCCACTCTGTCTGCATATCAAAATTAATTATAATTGGTTCTGTAGTTTAGTCGTGACAATGTAACGTAAGTTACTTTCGAAATTATAATACGTATGAATTATTAAAAAGCCCTATTAAATTTTAACTGTGGTTTTTGCTTAAAATTGGTCAATTTTGGCGTTCTTGATGACGGAGTTAAAAATATAATATCAATTTATTTGTAAATTATGATTTACTTTTTAATTAAACTCATAATTGTAGAGAAAGATTTTCATTAAATGCGCGATGGCACTTTTTTGAGCTATTGGTCTAAACAAATAAAATTAAAATAAAAAACCAGAATGTTATCTCTTGTATAGACGTATAGTTCGTAGCGGCCTCAAAATTTTGAAACATCAATGATTTAAAATAAAAAAAAAACTATTTTTTTAACCAAATAACCTCGAAAATAGCTGTGTAAATTTCTCCTATTACCAGAATAATTATTACTTCTTAGGAAAATAAGGATTTCATAATTTTAAGCACTTTAGTTATCCTGTTTCGTACTTTCTTTGTATAGACGACATATCGGTGACGAACTTAAATAATCACTATATAGTATAAAACAAAGTCGCTTTCTCTGTCCCTGTATCCCTGTGTATGTTTAATCTTTGAAACTACGCAACGGATTTTAATGCGGTTTTTTATAGATAGGGTGATTCAAAATGAAAGTTTTTATCTATAATATAAGACGTCGCTGCCGGAAAGCTAGTTTTATATAATTTAACTAAAATGTTGTTGGTAAAGCTTAATTATTGAAAGTGCTTAATATGTGTTCTACTCTTATATTGTGCTTTCAAAGCAAGCGTATGAGGCTTAACAGCCTACTATACATAAATTTTGTTTAAATGAATTGCCTTACTTTGTACGTTTCAAGGTATTTCTCTTTTTTGAATCATGACGTCATTAATTACTACAATCAGGAACAGTACACAATATCACTATATACATATTTATTCAAATAACGCTAACAATACTACTTTAACTGAATTTTGCGATTTGCGCCAGTGACTAGTTCTTGTATAACACCTTTATAATATACTTCAAATTCACTCTTTAATTGTATGTTATAGTTAATTAAACTTTTGTTAAAATAATAAAAAACAAAACTTTTGTTGAATTTCTTCATATGCCTTTCTGTGGCTTCAAATGAGTAGCAATCAGTTATTTGGGATGATATTTGCATAGTGTAATAACTAATAAGAGACGCTGCAAGCTTATTGAAAAACATTAAAAATTTGGAATGAAACAGAACAGGGGCATCAACGTGAAAACATCAAATTTACTGTTAAAACAGTAAGATTGGTAACACTGGTAGGCCTTCTACTATGAAGAAGGTCAAAAAAATGGCCAAAATCGTAATCTCTCACTCACTTTGTATTGTTTATCTGTTCGATGTGACTGTTTGTGTTGTGCCAGTAGATACGCCGCGTGGAACTTCGCCCCGCACGCATCGCACACAAAAGGTTTTTCGCCACGATGCCGACGCTCGTGGTTCTAAATAAATAAAAAAATGTTTCACGTCAAAAGAGGCTGCATGACCAGGGGCGGATCTACCGAAGGGCTTAAAGTCCTCATCCGCCAACAAAAATAATTTAACCATACGGTACTTTTACATCAAGTTATTTAAAACAGTTTCTTAACAAAATTGCAATTACTTCAGTAATAGGCTCCTGATTAATAGGTATTAGCCCAGGGTCCCACAAATTCACGATCTATGCTATTTGCCTTTGATTGTGTATATAAATACTCTATGCCTTCCTAATCAGGAAAATAATATAAAAAAATAATTATGAAAGTAATAACGTTTTTGCCACGATCGACACTCTTGGTTCTAAATTTAAATATTGAAAATTTCACGACCTTATAAAAAAACTCATTCAAATAAGCTTATAAATGGTCCAGCATTTTTTAAACAACAGTAAGGCATCTTTTAACTGATTCCATTCTATGCTAAGTTTGAAAATATGGAATTGTTTTCTTGACTTTTTGCCGAATGGGCAAGAAAGCGCCTTTCATTTTAATTAGTTTGTCATTGCAAATGACATGCAAACATAGAATTAATAAGTACTACGTACGTAGTACTTATTAATTCTATGCATGCAAACTTTAGGCGAATCGTTTTTTTTGCCTTATGATTATTAGTCAAAAGAAGCTTATGCCAAGTAAGTAAAAGTCAAGTCACATTTCTTCTGAAATACTTAAAAATATGTACCTAAAAATCATAATAGAAGGACGGAAAGACGAATTCGCGAGTAAGTACAAGATACAGGACTCTATAAAATAAATATATTTTTTAACTAACCCTAATCGCCATCGTTGAAGCGCTTTCGAAGTCGCAGAAGGTGCATTTGAACTTCTGGTAGCCATGTTTAGCCCTATAATGTTCGTTGAGGCGAAATTTGTTGCCGAGACGCTGGCCACAATGCTGTGTACAATATAAAAAATATTTAACTCGTATACGATCGTTAGCTCTTTTATTTGAACTTCATAACTAAATCACTCTTACCATCTAGGTCGGGATATTATATCTTTTTTTTTTCAAAAGTAGAACCTACTTTTCGAAATCAAACTAGAAGTGTAGTGTGTAGATATGTAGATACCTATGGGTTGTGCTATGGATTCCGATTTTCTTTCGATGTAATAAAAGTGTAATAAAAGTCTATTTGTAGCTGTTTGTATGATTGTTTTTTTTTTACATCTATGTTCAGAGTTTTCTTTTATCCCTCAGTGGTTTGAATACTTACCTTGTATAGCGACACAAACATATAATATAGATACTGATGCACCCAAAAAAGGAAAAGAAAGAAATGACATAAATAAAAATTATATAATAGCAGGCTATAACAAAACGAAAGTGTTTCAAATAGAATAAGTTAGGAAGTTAAGAAATGTAATTAAAATACAGAGCAAATGTACTTAAATTAAATAAGATACACTTTGTTGATCGAAAAAGAAACATTAATGTATAAAGTAAGTAGACTAAGATTATGCTCAAAAAATAAGTACTATTAGGTGAAAAGGGCAAACTCGAACCGGGCAAAACGCCATGCCCTGGTATATTTTTATAAAGAAAAGAAAAATATGATAGCAAAGAAAATACCTGCTACAAAGTGGGAAGAACATGTATTAATCATTAAAAAAATAATGTTATTAACTATTTATTTGTGAACGGTACCAGTTGATGGGTTTGTGCGTAACGTCATGGATATATATTTATTATTTTAGTAGTTTTTAACATTCCCTCAACAACTTTAAACAAAAAATAAAAAATCCGAATAACCTGAAATCAAGTTAGTAAATTGGGTCAAAACCTGAATTTAGAAATTTTTCAACTATATTGGCCCATGAATTGGTTGATTTTACATGTGTGATATTGTCTGATGATAATAACTGAAGTCGAAAATCTATTTACCTCACATATAGGTCTTTGTCCGGCGTGTTTGATCAGCTTGTGCATTCTGAGACTTGCCTTTTGCAATTCTTTGTGACATATATCGCATTTCACCATGGTTCGACCCTAGGATAATTATAATTAAAATAAATATATACTTTTTAACACATATTATTGTAGCCGTTGAGTAGTGATTAGTTCCTAGCGATAGGTAGATTCTTATATTCTTAGATCACCAACCACTGCTTTTTTATTAGGTCTAGCTACTTATAGTTTAGTGCACAATAGAGTACTAAACACGCGTACACCACTTACACCAATGCAGTGTAATACGGTGTGTTCTTCACTGATTAATTCTGACATTGCTTATTTTACTATGCGAGTCATACAAAACTATTTGAATTTGAAATGTTTCTTCTACCTAACAAGAGATTACACGCGCGCGGTTAAATTTTTTTATTTGGACCGAGTTTTATATTATTATAATTTTTTGGAAATATTATAGGTGTCAATAAACTATTATTCTATTCTAATAGGTAAACACGCGCATCGCACACATTACCACTTGCGTATCCAATCGGCTCACGCGTACCCTTGCATAGAAGGCTATGTGTTAGAAACCGCATTTTCAAATCTCAATTAGTTATCAAAACCGTTTTACAACGCGAAAGATATAGAAAGGAGACATATTGTACAATCAGATTGATCAGTTATCGGGATTCTCTAAGTTCAGCCCTGCGTTTCGAACTCGAATTCACTCGTGTGTCCGAATTCACGTCATTTGGTGTAGAAATTCTATTGATTCCATTTTTTGTAGAAAAATACAAAACAAAATTGATTGATTATACGTGTCTTAGATATTCTATTGCTATCTCATTTTGATACTCACTTCACTCATGCCACGAAACATTATTACCAATTCAAGGTTGAGGGCATGCTGCTTTTTGGAGTGAATTCGAATTCGGGTTTTGATTTTCACAGAATCGCAGGGCTGGGCTGATTTTAAAAGCAAAAACTGGTAATCTTATTATCTTAATTAAAAATATTAAATACTCGTAACTACAGATAAGCAGATTATTTAATTCATATGTATTGTTAACCTTCTTACCGATTCGTCCACTCTCCTCTTCTTTTTTGAAGTACAACTTTCGACATGCTCTATTAATGATTCCTTACTGTCGAATTCACATTTGCAGTACTGAAAAAAAATTCCAACTCCATTTTGTCGGTATGTAAGATAAGAATATAGTATAATAAAATACCTGTTGAGAAATTATATTATTTCTTAAGGTTTTGTTTTGCCTCAATGCAACAGTTGCAGATGCACTGTATGCGCTGTAAGGGGCCGTTCGAAAATACTTAAGCAATTTGGGGGGGAGTGGGTCTTGTAAAACAATACGATGAGTTACAGGAATGGAAGGGAGATCATACAACGCATTATTACGCAACATCGATTTTTTTTTATTTAACACATAAATAGGGAATTAAAATTCCCAAATTTGGCAAAGAACATTGCTATAGTCAGTATTATGAAAGTGTGTTCATAACTTAATGTCCTCAAAAGAAGATTTGCGTCATATCATCAGTTCCTGGCCTATAAAAATTGTCATGTAGTTAACATCCTATCCAGCGCAACTGTGTCAAATAAATGCCAACTTTTCACTGCTGGCAAACCATTAGATTTGGTCACTTGAGGGTTATGTAGCATTTATAAAGGGGGGAAGCAGTGGCGTAACTACAGACTGGCAAGTTAACAAAATGCCACGGGCCTTCTGCTGGAAGGAACGCCCCCTGCAGGAGAATCCTTACTCCTGACATTTATTTTTATACAATTAGTAAAAAGATACAGAATATTCGATGAATTTGCCACGGACCCTTCAACGGTATAGTTACGCCACTGAGAGAAGTATCAGAAAAACGTTGCGACGCGTTACATGAGGGGAGGGAGGGTAAAAAATCTTCATAGAATGCATTATATAAACCTTTTGTTACATATGATACTATGTTAATAGTTATTAATATAACTTTTCTAAAAATATTGTTTGGGTTTGGGTTGAAATTTGAGCAATCTATGTGTTGTTGTCTTACATTTACTTTATATTTATTTTTGTCTCTGGATTTAGTGGTAATTTAATCTTTATAGTTTCTACATATGTCATACTCTTTTTATAAATATGAGAATATAGTCTATAAATTATTAAAAAGGTTTTGAAACTGCTATAGACCGATTTTAAAAATTCTTTCATGTACGGGTAACTATGTCATATGCAGGTGACATAGGCTTTAATTACACGAGTGATGTCACTTGAAAATAGCTGTATTAATATAATTTGCCAAATACTTACACTGCATCTAACAAACTCTAATCCATGCATCATAACCATATGTCTATTAAGTTTCTTTTTAGAGACTATATGATCACATAATTCACATTTTATCGTTCTATTGTCTGCACCCGGATGACTTCGTGCCATATGCACATCAATACTACGTATCGATAAGTTCTTTTGACACAATTTACAAATAACCCTCTGTTTCTTTGCATTAGCATCTAACACTTCTCTATATGGTAACTCATCATTTTGAAATGTTTCTTTTCCTAGTACTTTAACATTTTCTTTTTCAATTTCTTCATATTTATCATTAGTATGTATGACAGTAGCATCAACTATATCCCCACTGAAACATTTCACTGGTTTATGATCGAGTTCCGATTTAATCTCTGTTGTATCATTATCTTTGTCGGTTTTATTATCTTTCGAAGTCTTATTCACTAAATTTATTAGACATAGCTGAATATTTCTACATTTATTTCTGAATTTAACAGAATTGTTTACAAATACTATGCAACTTGTGCACATATTTTGTGGCAGACCATCACCAATGTTGACCTAAAAAAGTTTTATAAAGAACTTAATGTTTATTTATAAATATAAAAAATTCCTAGTAGCAATAACAAATTGAATTATTTACAACTTAGTTATATTTCTATGAGATATTATATCATTATATCTATGTTATATATATTATCCTCATACTTAAATTGAAATTTCATAAATAAAAATATTAAATGCCTTGAAAATAATACATAATTTTAACTTGTTTAAACTTTTTTTTTTTCAAAGTTTTTCAAGTCTGTTTTTATCCAAAATGTTGCAAGTAGTTTTATAATAAATCTACAAGATTCATTATAATATAATAGTAATATATTTATAGGATATCAACCTTAACACCTGTAGTTGTAAAAATTATATCAGAATAGTTTTTGCATTTCGTAGAATCTAAAAATATTGGATTGAGATTTGTCGCACTGAGACAAGTTCGACACACCGCTGAAAAATCCATATTTCGATTAGAACTTATAGTCAAAATACTGAGTTAAACGTATATTACTTTTATCATAATTATACGATATTGCAAGTAAAGCGGTGTTCACAATCTTAGAACTAGAATATGGGAAATGAAATTGATATAAGGCTATAAATTTGCATAAGTCATTTCCACAACAGAACTTTAAGTTTGAAGGTGTTTTTCAATTTAGAAGGATAATAATACAATTGTTTACAAAACTCCTCCATAGATGGCAGAATATCTGATTATTTTCCATTTAGTTATGTGCTGTGACGTAAGATGGCGTTAAAAAATGTTGGTTACTTTAAAGTTACCAGTATCAAATATGTCTTAATTTTCGGTTAATTCATTAAAACAATAATAAATGTAATGAGATCAAATATAATATAAATATCTTTTGAATAAACTAGTTATTCAAAAGATATTCTCTTAACCTAATCAAATTTTTATTTTACTTATTTATTTCCAAAGAGTGAAATATATCTTGCAAATTAGTGTCATAAAATAATAATTATAGTAAGGAAATGAGCATTGTCGTTTATAAAATGCGGTTAAAAATATAGCTGAAGGTCTCTAAGCAATAATAGATACTTTGATATTGTTTTCAATACTTCATAATAATTTGGGTAACAAGTATTCCAATACTAGCAATATTATATGCAAATGGCCGTCGGTGTTGCTAAGCCTTATCGTCGGTGTTTTGTGTGTTTTATAGTTTATTGATAGCTACATAGCTACGAAGTGCTTTTCCACCTAAGTCCGTTGAGTCGAGCATCTGTTCCTCCGGTCGTGTTGAATTTTGTGCTTGTGCTGTATATAAACTATTACTGAGACAGGACTCTTGTTGCAAACTTGTTATAGTTTGGATTGTTGTTTACCAGAATGTCTAACAAAGTTTGTTGTGTTCCCGGATGTTCTAATAACGCAGGTATATAGCATCTTGATCATATTTTTAAATATGCGTATTCGAGTACGTATACATACATAATAATTTTAAGTAGACACTTTTTGGTCTACTCATCCATCACTCACTGCATATTTCGCTTATTTCAGGATCTAAGGACGTTTTACACAAATTCCCAAATCCTGATAAGGACAAGGAACGTTTTAATACTTGGGTCTATTCTATTAGTGGCGCAATTCTTGGACTCAAAGATGATCATATCTTTAAATATCGGCGAGTATGCCATAAACACTTTGAAGATAAATATTGGTGTCGAAATAACTTACTTAGTAATATTGCAGTACCGACAAAAAACATGCCAGGTTAGTAGAAGTTTTAAATTTCAGCTGCTTTTTTAATTTTTTTTAATGAATTATAATTTGAAGATAACTGTTTAGTTTTATATGATATTTTGCATTTGAAATTTCAGATTTGCCACTGTCAAATTTCACATCTAGTGAAAGAATACCTTTGATGCCAATTCAGAATATTTTAGCAGCATCAACATCAAAAGGTACCACTTTTTTAAGTACATTACACTTTTATGTAGGTTGCACAGATGTGTCATGCAGGGTAGTATATTCTGCAACAAAACTGAATTGTATGGCCAAACACAAATAGTGAAAAAGATGCCAAATGTGGAGTACTAAACAAATACTTGGCTAAGCTTTAAATCTAAATCACAATGTATATGATATTTGTCTACTATTGTGTTAAAGTTATTTGAAGGGGTTCTATATCTACTGAATAATGCATGCTTTAGTTCTTTTGTCACTTCTAGGGTTGACTAGTTAGGAATAGATATTTAATTATGTTATTTCAATAATTTTATTTCTAATAATGATACACAGCCATTTCTTTATGCACAAATATTGTTGTAGGAGTAGTGAATCCAGAGTTCCATAGGGAATGTATGACTGAAGATCAAATAAAGGAAAATAATGGTGAGTAAAACCATTACTATTTTTTACATAATAGTACCCAGATTTTTGAAATTTTACTCATTCTTTTTTGCTCTTAAGACTTTTTTTTTATTGTGTTTTCTCCCCCCAAAATGGTGGAGCCATCTCTGAGATTCCAATTGTACATATTTAAATATATATATATACAAGATTTGCTTGTTTAAAAGTATAAGATGCAACAATAAGTACTGTTATATACTTTAACTAAATTCAATATATATTTTCAGAAAACGTTATTCCTATGCCATATTTAAATGCTATTACTCCAAATGCTATAACGCAAAGTATCAGGAAGGATGGGGACGGACATAGTGACGGTAAGTGTCTAATGTCATTTAATTTTATTTATGTTGTCACATTTTAACTTCAAACAATAAACAAGGATCTCGATTTGTCTGAATATATTTTTATGTAGGTCGAGCATTCATTTCATATGATTATGGACTAATTTAGGTCTTCCTAAGGAAGGATGAAAATCAATACATAGTATAAAACATCTGTCCCTATGTATGCTTAGATCTATAACATTATGCAATGGATTTTAATCAGTTTTTTTTAATAGATAGGGTGATTCAAAAGGAATTTATTATAAGTTAGAAGAAAGATAACTACTATTATTAAGTAATAAGGAGAAATAAAAAAAATGATAAAAAAATAACCCATTTTTTTTTTTAATACTGAAAATGTATGTCTAAATATATGTTGTCTAATTAAATAAAACTACATCGAAAAACATAATATAGTGTCAATATCTTTCGCAACTATGGTCAATAGTTGTTACCTATATCTAGTTTTACAAAAGAGCCATGGGCCGCAACTAGTAAATAATAAATCATGTCATCTGAAATTTACAACACATTCATAGTTATTAATCTATGTGTAATATAATTATAACTATCTAACGAATAATAACCATTAATTTATAGTTACTTATATTTTACATTTTGTGAGGTGGGGTTCTGTTTATTTGTTATTTGAACTCATTTGTTTTTTCTTTATTGCAGAAGTCAACAAAATTGTAAGCAAAGTGGTTGAGAAAAGAAAAATATTTAGGCCTAAATCTAAAATCGAGCAAATATTAAAAGAGAAACTTGTGCGAATTGGCATTAAATTAAGTAAATGTCGAACTAAAGTTAAAAAACAGGATGTCAAGATTAAGGCTTTAAAAAATATTGCTTCAAACCCACAGCTTTGGAAGGGTCTTGAAAATTGGCCAAGTGCTGCCAGAATTCTGACCACTTTGCAGTTCAGAGAGAGAGTTAAAAAAGGTATTAAAGGGCGGCGCTTCACTTTAGATGAAAAAATAATGGCTCTGTCTATTTTCAAGCAAAGCCCAAAGGCATATAGATTTTTAAGGAAAATATTTATCTTGCCGTCATCCCAGACACTAACAAAATTGCTGCATATGGCAGACATCAAACCAGGTATTAATAAAAACATTTTTAAACAATTAAAAATGGCAACTCAAAATATGAAGACGGAAGATCGCCTGTGTGTCTTATTATTTGACGAAATGTCTCTTAGAGCAAACATATCATATAATGAAAGAAAGGACAGAGTAAGTGGATTTGTCACAAATGGGAAAGTAACACAGGTGGAATTTGCAGACCATGCACAAGTTTTTCTAATAAGAGGATTGATAAAAAATTATAAACAACCTGTTACATATACTTTTTCACAAGCTGCTACAAAGGGACCTGAATTAATGGTACAGTTGAAAGAAATAATAAAAAACTTACAAGAAGCAGGCTTAATAGTTGTTGCAACAATCTGTGACCAAGGTACAAATAATGTGCAATGCATAAAATTATTAATGCAAGAAACACGTGCAAATTCTTTAAGAAGAGGAGAAGAATCAAATCATAACGTTTTTATTGTTAATGATCAAGAGATCATACCTTTGTATGATCCTCCACATCTCATCAAAGGTATAAGAAACAATTTAATAACGAAAGATTTAAAACATGACACAAAGACTGCGAAATGGTCACATATATTAAAACTTCACAATGAGAACCCTGGTTATAGAGGCATTAGGTTAGTGCCAAAATTAACAGATTTTCACTGTATTCCCAACAAAATTCCCAGGCAAAAGGTTAAATATGCCTCACAAGTTTTGAGTCAAACTGTTGCAACCAATATGGGTTATCTTGCAGGTGAGCATAAACACAATTTATATTATGAATATTTAAATAGTAGAGAAATCAAGTTGCTTGATGATCTTCACAAAGTACTAAACTACATTCTCGAGTAACAGAGTCAACAACTTTAAGCTATCCAAATAAGTAAGCTATGAAGAATTCACAGGGAGCACTTTCTATAATTTACACTATTAAGGTTTAACTATTTGTTTTTTCTAATATTTATCACAAACTATCCCATTTTGAATTGACAAAAATGAATAAAAATATTCTAGATGAGACTCAATACTCAATGCTCAAACTAACAGTAAATATAATGAATATCAATTCATATATATATATCAATGTTTATATCAAACAGTATATATCAGTGTTTATATCAATCAATATATATCAGTGTTTATATCAATCAATATATATCATGATATATATCTGTTGATATTTATCAGCGAACCCTGTTTTTTAATCCTAAAACTTAAATTATTATGGATATATGTTTGGTTTTAAATATTGTATAAAATATTTCATTTCCTTTTAATTTAATTCATAAGATTAGCTATTTTATATTTAACATGAAGCTCTCATATATTATTTACCTTTTCAGATAAAGGTATTTTACCTTCAGAGTGCAAAGATACGGCAGACATTATAATGTTCTTTGATCGGCTATTTGACTCGGTAAATGGAAGTTTTGCCAAAAAAAAACGGTATGGGAAGCCACTCTTAGGACCTGTAACGCCCACTTCCATACATCACAAAGTTTGGGAAGAATCTGTAAGAATGCTGCGAAATATGCAATATGTGAACCCAAAAACACAGAAATTAGAATATGTGCCAACATTAAAAAACTGGGTGTGGACATTAGAAGGCATACAATTATTAATTAAGAAAATTCGTATCAAATTTGGAGTGAATTCAATATGGCTACGTCATTTGAATCAAGACCCAATTGAAAATTATTTTGGGTCTATTAGGAGTCACGGATGTCGTAATATAAATCCATCAGTGGATAACTTTGAATCGGCATTTACGACATTATTAATAAATAGCCTCTCCAGTGTCCATGCACCAGGAGCAAACTGTGAAAGTGATAATTGCCACAATATTTTAACTAAATTTATCATCACCGAACTAGATTGCAAAGAACAAGATTCTTGTAATATCGACAACATTCCTGACATAAATGTTACACCTCTTGAAGAAAAAAATGATCCTCGACAAATTGGGGGGTTACAATATGTATGTGGATATTTTGTTAAAAATGCAAAAAAAAATATTTTCAAGGGGTGCGAATATTGTAACAAAGTTTTAATAAATAAAGAAGAGGCAGAATACATCAAGTATAGAGAATATACAAATAAAAAATGGCTTTGCACTCCAAGTATTGATCTATTAAATAGTGTATCAAATCTGCAGGATATCAATTACGCATTAATAAAGGAAAATATTGAAAAGCATCAGCTTGGACAGCTAATAAAAACAGTTGCTTTAATGTTTATAGAATTTGATTATATAACTTGTAAAAACCATAAAGAAGAAATAATAGATTATTTATTAAAGATATCCTGCAGATTTTTTATACACAATTATTGCAAAGAAATTAATAAAATATTAAATAATAGGAGAGAAGGTGATGATGATGAAGATTCCTTAAAAATTAAGGCTAGAAAATATTATCATAAATGCATTAAAAGAAAAAATAAATAACTTTGTGCTTGTTTTAAAGTTTGTTTTATTTTACATTCAGCGTTTATTCCAATTTAACACATGCTTACATATTCATTCCAATAAATAGTAAAAATGCTAAACATGTGTTAAATTGAATTAAATGCTTGCGGGAACACTTGCCAGCCTTTTGCTATAAAGTGACCAAGAAGCCAAAGAATATTAATATAGAGGGAAACCAGAAGTTATACAGCTATACAGAAAAAAAAACAACAAAACTCGTGTAGAGATGGCGCTGTTTTGCTGTTACCCATTTTGACGGCAGAGTTATGTCTCTATATTATAAAGTACTCTTTGGTGCTCATCATGCGCTCATTTAGCGGAAAATGCGTAAAACACATAAGCACTAAACACCAATAATTAAAATCAAAACAAAAACTTTTTGATTTTTTAAATCGTAAAGCAAACGAGCATATGTTGATACTGCCATGACAATATTGCGAACTCTATATATCTAAGGGACTGTCCGCATCGGGATTTTTATTTGCGTGGAATGCATTGCCATTAAACTTCCGCGCTATATTTGTCAGTTTTATGTAGCTCCCTGTGGAGACGAACGTCCAAAAAACCGGTCAAGTGCGGTTCCGTAGCGGAAACGAGCAAAAAAAATTACGTCTATTATATGGATTATTTATTTAATCCTGGTTTTTAGTATTTGTGAAAATTTCAACTATTTAAGTTTCGCGGTTCATGAGATAGAGCCTGGTGACAGACAGACTGCTAAACGTTAGTAATAGAGATTCCGTTTTACCTTTTGGGTATAGAACCCTAAAAATGAACTACAGAACAACTTTAATTTGATAATTTATTTGATTCATTTCAATGTATATTTCTTCCTACGTCTTCTTATTTTAAATTAGCAATATAAACATTTCAATATCAATTTCGTCATTTTCGGCAGTCGCCGCGTGTACGGGTGACAAAGACAAACTGCATAACATCTTTACACCGTTAGTGCCGATGCACGATCATTGTGCACGACTGAGCAATCGCGAAAATGTCTAGTTATGTAAAAGCAATTTTTTTCGCAAATGCAGATATTCTGATATGATTTAATGTGTTACAGAATTGCGATAGTATATTCGCGCGAAAAATTGGGATGCGGATAATTCCTAAACTATTTTACGACTAAAGTGTCGCCCAGACGGTTGCTAACCAGCCCTGCGATTCTGTAAAAATCCGAACCCAAATTCGAATTCACTCAGGTGTTCGAATTCATTTCAGAAGCGCCATCCATTCAAACTTGAATTGATAATAACAGTGGCATAGGTGAAGTGAGTTTCGAAATAACATACGTATGAATCAATCAACATTGTTTTGTATATTTATACAAAAATGAAATCAACAGAATTTCTACACTAAATGACGTAAAATCGACCACAAGAGTTCAATTCAGGTTTGGATTTTTATGGAATCGCTCTGTTGAGCTTCAACCAAGGTGTCGTTGTTGGTTGTCAACCGTAAGCTTGGTCGCGGTAAGCAGCCATGTAGATAACCTATTAATAGGGATATTACGTAAAACTTTACATTGATGGAAACTAAGCCAACAATTTTTTTTTTGAACATTTGTCTGATCGAAATAATTTCCTTTCTTCTTGTATCGAATTATGCAACAAAAAAGGTAAAGAAAATATTATAGTGTGACCGGAGTTATTCTGCCTACGACTTGAAGGCTCAAAAGAACAGAAGGCGAAGCCATAAAGATTAGAATTAAAAAATCTAGTTGACATTAACTTTTTTTTTACATAAATCTTCACGTGTTTCTGTTATTGGTTTTGCTCCGATTTCGCTTTAATGAATAATTCTAATATATATACATTAAAAATAACAAAATGACTCTAACAGAAGATGATACCATTGATATATTTGTTGGTACCAATATAGGGTCTTTTAAACGTATGTATTTTAATCATATTTATTGAAAATCTAAGGTCATACATTATGCGTTTTAGCTATAATTTATTAATTTCATCTCGAAAGAAACATTTGTGATAATTAATCGAATATTGAAAGCTATAATAATTAAATATTGCTGTAAAACAAGTCTTTGTAAAAATATTTCCATAAGCAGAATGAGTTTTGGTAATTAATGCTTCACTCAATACTTTTTTCTTACTGGTATTTTTAATTACATTAGAAACCAAGGTATCTCATGAGTGAGGGACTCGTCACTACTAACTTTGAGTAGTATTGCATGTTAGCAATTTATAATTGTATTTCATATAGAAATACAAGTTTTACACCCCTTTTCTTATGTTATAATGTGGGGATATGAGAAATACTGCATATGTGACCAGTTATTTGTTAAATAATCGGAATCACATATTACATATGTGCTATGCTGTTAAAGTATTAAATTATACTAATATTTAAGTTAATATTAATTTAATTTAAATTTTTTAGCTACGTGATAATAATTCTGCAGCCTTTAATGCCTCTTTTGCGGTAGGTAATGGTTCTTCCTCGACTTCCTCTTCTCCATCACTTTCAAGTTAGCCACGTGCCGAACGACGCCGAGAATCACCGACAATTATCGGAAGTGTAAAAAGTCTAGGCGGTCATTATAACCGGAAATAATTTATTAAAAATGGGTCATAATAACCGACATGTCACTATAAGCAAAGTCATTATATCCGACGTTTTTTCAAGAATTTTATATGAAAACCAAACTTTGTTGTGTAATTACGTCATAATAAGCGGTTGGTCACAATAGGCGGTGTCATATTAAACGGATTCGACTGTATATTTTTGTCTGATGATATATTACTATGCAATTTATTATATCAAATGATATATGATTTATTTTTTTATGTTTGACCAGTTAATTTTTTTTTTCAGACATAAAATACCATATAGACTCTGCAAACAATAATAAGAAATGCATAGAAAATCTAGTAGACACAAAGACATTGCAGAAAAATGATGGCATCACTTGCATGGTGTGGGGTAATCCAGGACAAACGGAAATATTGTTGGCAAAAAAAAATCAGCAGGTATTGTTTAGGCTTCTTAATTTATTTCATTATTGCATGTCCTAGGACCAAGAGTTGGCATCCTTATGAAACAAAAGAGCCATAAGCCAAAATTTATAGAATTTCTCAACTACTGAGGAAATGTTTTAATATTTAAATTTCTTTTTGAGATTTCAGTAGTGAGCATATTTCAATCATTGTAGTTTATGTACTTAACTATCTATTGATTTCACAATTAAAAGGATTCAATGGTATAATAATTTTTGAAAATGGAACTTCAGAGTTGCAATTTTACATTGAAGGAGTTGAGGTTACTTATCTCTATTTTAATAGATATTTCAATAAACTTAATTACAGACTTAAACCTTTAATTACAGATTCAAGTATATGACACTTTACAAGGTTTTACCAAATCATACACAGCTGATTTTGGAACAGGTCATGTGGTGGGATTGGGTCGGTTTAAGAGGAAACTAGTGGCTGCATTATCAAGTGGTGTTGTTAAAATATGGAGCAAAAAACAAGAGGACCTCATGCAAGTTGGAAAACTTGACTGTATGAAGTTCTGTGGTGAAGACTCCACACTGTTTGCCACAGGTGATTAAAAATATCAAATTTATGCAATCAATTTAAATATCTACTTTCAATGCTTTAAGATAGATAGATATACACTTTATTGCTCACACACAATTATTAACAATAGATAAACAATACAGGTACTAATGCTAGGGTGGGCAAAGGCGGTCTTATCGCTAAAAGCGATCTCTTCCAGACAACCTTTGATTTGTTTAACATTTTGATGGAAAAACCGGAGGTAGTGTGCCTGTAGTACAATAGAAAAAAAAAAAAAGCCAATAATAATATAATGAGAAAATAAAGTAGTGTGATAATGAAGGTAAATTGAACAAAAATGAGAATTACAAGGTAATCAATATATTATATGTACAAATCCAAAAGATGCTTATGCAATTTAGTTTTGAAAATGGCAACAGATTTTGCATGTCGAATAGCAGACGGCAGCTTATTCCAGAGCACAGCAGCTTTAATGGTAAATGACTCATGGTAGTATCCCGATCTAGCATAAGGAATCTCCAGCACATTATCCGCCCCAGACCGCAGCTCGCGATTATGATTTGCGCCCAGAAATCGGAAACGTTCCCTAAGGTAAGATGGACTACGCGGATCGTAAAGGATCTTAAACAGGAATGTGAGGACATGCTCTTCACGACGCTGTTTTATGGGGAGCCACTCAAGTTTACGTCTAAATTCAGTTATGTGGTCAAATTTACGCAAACCGTATATGAATCTAATACAAAGATTTTGTAAACGCTGTAGCTTGTTGAGCATGTCCTCATTCAGATCAATGAGACAGACATCAGCGTAGTCCAAGATAGGCATAAGTAAAGAATGCGCCAATTCAATTTTAGTTTTTAAAGGAAGCAGATTTTTCCAACGTCTAAGTGCCCCTGTGGTAGCATACACCCTTCGGCTAACTTCAGCAATGTGCGGAGACCAGGAGAGGGAGGGATCAAAGAAAACGCCCAAGTTTTTAACTACACTACTAAGAGATAGAGTGACTCCACTCAAGGTAAGGGGCGGAAGGACCATGTGATTAAGCTTTGCAATCTGTTTCGCACCACCGATGATGATAGCTTGTGATTTATTAGGGTTAACTGTAAGGCCGTAAGCTTGACTCCATTCTTGGATATTCACAAGATCAAGATTAACCTTAGCGATCAGCTCATTGATATCGTCGACTGAGGCCTGAGAAAAAATTTGTACATCATCTGCATATAAATGATATTGACACGAGAGAAGGGGTGTGAGGTGGTTAATAAAAATAGAAAAAAGTAGAGGGGAGAGGACACCACCCTGGGGCACACCAGCTTCCACTTCAGAAAAACAAGACATCCTGTCGTCAACACGGACACATTGTTGTCTTCCAATCAGGAAGCTCCGGCACCAACCTAATACTGTATCCGAATTAAATATAGTTCTGAGCATAGCCAACAGTATATCGCTGTCAACAGTATTGAATGCATTACTGAAGTCCAGGAGAACCAATATAGTCACTTGTTGCTTCGACATACCTTCTCGAATCTTATCAGTCACATCAATCAAAGCCGAAGCCGTGCTATGCCCCGGGCGGAAACCGGATTGCAAAGGACTCAAAAGGTTATGAGAATTAATAAAGGAGCTGATCTGACAGTGAACAAGGCGCTCAAGGACCTTTGAAAGAAAGGGCAGGATGGAAATTGGTCTAAAGTTTGAAGGCAAAGAGGATTTGAGGTTATGAGTTTTAGGAATGGGAATGACTACTGCTTTACGCCAGCAGCAAGGAAATGTTCCGGTATAGAGCGAGAAGTTATAAATGTGGCAGAGAATAGGAACAAGAACCACAGAGCCAAGTGTAATCATCCTGCGACTGATGCCGTCAATGCCTTCGGAGTTCGATTTAATGGCTGAAATGCATGTCTCGACTTCACTCTCAGCCACCCTTCTGAAAGAGAATACAGGTCTTAGGGGATTACAAGAGGAAGAAAGGGATTGCAGAGTAAGCTGTTTTAGATTTGCAGGAATTGGGACAACTGTAGTAAAATGGCGGTTTAACAAATTAAGATCGAGGTCACGGGGAACATCAGACTTAAGTTTGCCAATACCTAGTGAATTAAGGAAAGACCAGACCTTAGCAGGATTACTATTAGACACAGAGTTATGTATATAGCGCCGCTGTGAATCTCTGCACAATCTGCAACAGCGATTCCGCAGAGTCTTATATAGTCGCTGGTTTTCCTCTGAGGGATCATTCCTGTATTTCACCTTGGCTGCGTTACGCTTAGTCATCACTATTTTAATTTCGTTTGTAAGCCATGGAGCTGGAAGATGTTTTAACCGAACCGGCCTAAGGGGAGCATGAACGTCGTAGAGCTGTATAAGAATGGAATTAAAAATTTCCAGTTTCAGGTCAATAGTGGGAGCATTAAAGACAACACTCCAGTCCACATTGCCAAGATCAGTCATAAACCGTTGGGTGTCCATTCCGCTAAAATTACGCTGCATGACTACTCGAGGTTTAGGCTTAGGGTACCGGATTTTGTAGGAAATATAAACCAGGTCGTGATACGAAAATGCTACGGCAGGTAACTGGCCATGAGAGCTAACGCGATCAACAGATGAAACAATACCGAGGTCCAACAAAGAAGGCTGACAGTTTGGAAAATGGTGGGTAGCAGATAAAGGTAGAATGTTGAGGCTGGTGGATTCCACAATCGAACATAAACGGTTAGAACGATAGTCCTTTTTAAGGAGACATGTGTTGAAATCTCCCATTATGATAGAATGATCAACTGTAGGCACGAAAGACTCCACCAGTGTCTCAAAGGTATTAAAATAATCAATATGAAGATTCGGGCTGTAAAACACACCAAGAAGGAGTTTAAGGTGTCCGAAGAAAATCTCTAGAAAAAGATATTCGGAAGACTCGGAATACAGAGAAGGAGAGCTGCTGACTATATTGAAGGGGAGATGACTTCTTAGATAAATAGCTACTCCACCACCGCCCTTACCAGTTCTGTCGTTGCGTATAAGATGGAAATTAGGGAGGGAATAAGAAGAAGAAGGAAGACAAGGCTTAAGGAAAGTTTCCGACACCAAGATTGCATGTATATTCTGATTATTGGAAAACGTAGCCAGTAAGTCCGGGTAATGTGCAGGAATACTTTGAGCATTAATGTGTACTGCATTAAAGTTTTTTGGAAAGGTTGAAAAGCAGCATTCTAGTTGGGACTCCAAAGATAGAGTAGTGCTCTGGAAATTACCGTTAGTAGACGAGGAAAGAGGAAGAAAAACTGTGCCATCAACCGATGCATCTGCATCTGAATCATTCATTGCACGCGACAATGATATTATATATAGTTATATGTTAAAAAGCAAAAAAGGCAATCTATGTCAATAAAAAAAAAAACAATAACAATAATTCGCTATCATCCATTACACGCCAGCAGTATGGAAGAGAAACGCTTGTCGTACATAGACAGTTCATCAGTAAAACTTGATACTACACTCAATCCAGTTAGCAAAAACAAAAATATTTGATTATCATGCAGCTTATAATTATGCAAACATTAAAAGTTCGAATTCCAGCCTTATTACAATAATGTGTGCTATACTCAACTTCACTCTCACACCAATAATGATGCTGTAAAGACATAGATTTCTTTGCAGAACATACATCAATAAAAAGGTGTCCAGTCATTATATTGAATCTATGGTTAGTTCGATGTCAAAACCTTTTTAGTCTGTGATATACTATATAATCTGTGATTAGGATTGACAGTGATAGTGACAGTGAAACAAAAATAAAAATATAAAAAACATAGGCTAAAATACCTTATGAAGTAGTAAAATAGTGAATTTACCCGCATGATAAAAATAGGAACATACGCTATGGGGTGCGGTACTATTGACCTGCTGTGTCGACGAAAGACGATATGGCAGAAAGCTCCGACAGTGTTTCCAACTTGCATCTCTTGCCATCTGAAGTCTTGATATGGATTACACCATCCATCGTCCAACAGTTAGTGATGCCGAACTTTTCTCTAGCGGTCATAAAAACGTCGTGACGAGACTTGGTTAGAAACTCCGAAAGAGTGATCCCAGAGCCTTTGAGGGCGGTCTTATTTTTCCACAAGGCGTTGCGAACAGACGTCTCAACAAACTTGACGACAATAGGCCGTGGCTTACTCTTATTGTTAGCCACTTTCCCCATTCTATAGCTGCCAGCAATGCTTCTCGTTGTGAGAGTGGGAGTCTTGCACTTAACAGCTAAACTGGTGACCACTTTGTCACAAGTATTTTCTCCAGATTGCTCTGGAATACCGTGAACTAGGAGCATTTTGCCTCTGAGACGCATTTCAATACGATCAACACTATTGCGTAGTGTGTCAATTTCAGCTCTCAGCATTGACAGACCACCACAAACAAAGGCTTTAAAATTTACAAACTCGGTATTAAGTGCAGTAATAGTGGGACTCTTACGTGTAGTGCCAGCCGCTTGACTTAACTCAGCCTGGAACTCGGCCATTCTTGTCTCAAACATCTTCGACATGTAGTTTAAGTTTTCTTCCAACTGTGAGTGTTTCGAATTCATTTTGTCTTAGTTGAGAAGTTTAAAGGAGAATCAACACTGCAGGCGAGCAATATAACTTATGCTTTGTAAGATAGCATATAAAAATTAGAATGAAATCAATTATATAAATTTTAATTTAATAAAAACACAGAGCTCAACTTTAAGCTGTTGATTAGGCAACTACCCCCAACGTTTTTTTTTTGTAGTTTAAAATTAATCAAAAACTCATGGCATAAAGCTACTCTCCTGCAAATGGTTAATACTATTAACATTGTTTATTTGTTTTAAAATAAAAAACAACTTAACACTTAAATGTTGTCCTTGTTAGGTACCTTCAAACAATTCTATATTGACTTTTTATTTCATAGGTGTCAAAGACAAATTAGTCTATGACTCGGTAGTCAAAGAGCCTATTCCAAATAAAATTATTTAATACTAGTGGACGCCCGCGACTTCGTCCGCGTGGAAGTCGGTATCCCGTGGGAGTGAGAAGTTTTCCCAGTAAAAAGTACCCTATGTGTTATTCTGATGTATAACCTATATTGCTGTAAAGTTTTATCCAAATCCGTCCAGTAGTTTTTTCGTGAAAGAGTAACAAACATCCATACATCCATACTTACAAACTTTCGCCTTTATAATATTAATAGGATAATCAATATATTACTTACTTAAAAGCAATAATAGTATTTATAATCTGTTATATTTATTATCATATGGGTACTTGTATTAATTTACCATAGATTTACAGAGTTTCCACATTGAAAAGTATGACACAAAACAGGTTTCAAATTTAGAGAGTGAGGATAAAAGGCAAGAGTACAAAATGAAAATCATTATTCCTTGTTGCTAGTTTTCAGTAACAGAACTGAATGTAATGAAATTTATATTCACTGTTTTCAATAGGAGGTGAAGAGAACGACCTGCATGTTTGGCGAGTTGGTGTTAATGAACCGGAGTTTGTTGCTAAGAATTTGCCCCAAGACTGGTTACAGCTGCGTCGTCCTGTGTGGGTGAGCGGACTCACTTTCATGCCAGGCAGTGAAGGTAGACTACTTGCTGCGTGCTCGAGACATGGATATGTTAGGTCAGTTTTTATTTTTTACTCAGAAAACAATATTATGTATATTTCGGAATTGCTATTATGACTCTAAAAAACGCATTTTTTTATCATTTATTATGCAACAGAGGCAGAACATGGCACTACCTCTGATGTATAGATAATCTTCACAGATATGATTTTATCAAATTAAAAGAAAAATTTTAAATTTTTATTAAAGGATAAATAGTATAAGGCCTTTAGGTGTCCTGTTAATTCGAGAGAGTTATAATTTTTGTTTGGTTCAATCCAAATATTTTTTAAATGGCCAAAATTGATTTGTAAGTCAAATAATTGTATTTTCTTCTATTTTTTAATTAATAGCTATTTACCTTAACACCTTGGTGGTCTTTACATGTAAAAATAAATAATTGTGTGTCTGTAAGGATTGATACGAATGTGACGGTAGAAACGTCTCACGAAATTATGCGTTATACTACAACAAATGTTTACTAACAAAGCATTGCTTAGCAACCAGTGACAGACAGATATTAATAACCTTTTTAAACTACATTATATATTTTTTTCGATTTCCAGATATTATTTTATGAAATATTCTGAGCCATTGAGATAGAATTCAGCGATTGAATTTAATAGTAGTATTTAAAAAAATACTTAATCTTTGTAATTTTATGTGCAATGGTCTTAACATAACAAGGAACATATCATGTGTAAACAACAACCAGTGAAAAACCAGTTGTTTTATTTGCGATATATAAATAATGCAATCAGTTCATAATGCTGTTAATGCTATAGACACATTATTATAGGAAATTAAAAAAGAGATGTTTTAAACAGTCGAAAGGGATACTGTACTTTCACATGGCGTTGGCTTACATTATGCGATCGACTTTAAATGAAAATCTAAAGGAACATGTTTTATAATAATTAACTAACTTTATTTAGAAAGTTAGTTTAAAACTGTAAACATGTTTCTAATATCTGAATTCTATAAGTTTTTTTTTTTTTTTTGTCAAAATATTGAAGTTTTATGAGTGTTTCTGGTAATTTATGGCAGTATTTTTATATTACTTTTAAAATTACAGAGTAATGTGGGTCCTAGTGAGAAATAAGACTTTTATATATTTTTTCGTCATCTAAGTTGTGATGACCCTAATTTGCTTTATTTACATTTATTCGTCATCGAATTTGGCTGGAGTATAGCACTTGACTGAATTATAATAGTAATTGCAAGATCAAATGTGATATCATATAATTTGTCAGTTCTGACTTTTCACGACCACCAAGACGCGACGTATCTTTCATCAGATATGCACCGACCCTTATAATTGTGCGAATATTTGCTTCTCATACTTCTATTTCGTATTATTATTAGGTTATATGACAGTCGTGCACAACGCAGGCCTGTAGTTAACGTCGACTTTACCATGGCAGCTACGTGTATCACACCAAGCTTCGATGAAAGGTATTATTAAGAATTTTCATTCCTTTTCACTGTCAATAGGTGAACTCATTTTATTCCTTTCGACTTCCTATAGGTGATGCTAGCGTGCAAATTAGATGTTTTCTTTTAGATTAAATGTTAATGTTATTATTTGTTTATAGTACATACATACATCCGTCTTCATAAATTTTCAATTTATATTATTAATACGATGCTTTGGGCTTGTAAATAACACAACATACTGACGCACGGCACAGCCATCTACTGATTATAAATAACCGTAGTGCTTGGAGTTGCTTTTGCTATACTTTTTGTGGTTATGAACTTAACTACAATTTTCAAAACGACATTGTGAAACAAATTTTAAATGTTCTTTTGCCTAAACTTATTGTGTTTTATTTATCTTTAATCATAAATAGAACTAAATTAAAGAACTGTTCATCATATTTGGACACTAACCCCATGATACTTTTAAAAAAGGGACATTTTTATTGACAAATAAACCTAAAGTCACATCAGCATGTTTATATTTCATGGCGATTATGAATCATATACATGTTATGGACAAAGTGATTAATTGGCAATTATGATAAATGCCCATATTTATCACTTGATCCATCACATACACTGATATCTTCTGACAATTCTCTCTTTTTCATGTTAACCCAATATTTAGACAGGTCCTGGTTGGATTCGGTAGAGGTCAACTCCACCAGGTGGATCTCCGTAACTCGCGTCCAGACAAAGGTTTCAAGGGATGCGCAGGCGCAGTGACCGATATAGAAGCCGTAAAACACAGCAAACTCGTCGTGAGCACCAGTCTCGACAGACATGTGCGCGTTCACAACTACGAAACCAAGGAGCTGGTGTATAAAGTGAGTTGCAACTATGATTTATAACGGAAGGACTAAATTGAAATTTAATATTAACTCATACATTACAATGAATATGAATAAACATGACGCCTGGAGCTCCATTTTTCAATCATTCGCCTCGTGTCGAGCGGTCTTTTCTACTGATTTTTGTTCATAAAAAATTCGCCATTTGTAATTCGCTCGACTGCAACGGGTGGTATGAACCACTCGTTGTTCAGGGAAAGCTATAAAGCTAATTTATAGAATAAACGTCAAAAGAAATGAAGCTTATGGCCGTTTTGTTTACATTCACACTTTTTTTTTGTTTATGTGTGTGGCAACAAATATTTTATATACAATACCAAGAACAAAATACTAAAAAACGGCGTGATGCGACTTACAAGTCGAGCGGTATGGTGATTTAATATGAATGTATCAGAAATAGAGCTCCATTCTATTTCTCCAAAAACTAAAGTTCGTTTATTTTCGAAATGCTAAACAACTCCAAAAAAACGATATTTTTTTTTTATAAATTGATGATGCACTGGAGATTTAAATATACAATGATTAGAAATTTTCCAGTTTTTCATTCAATTGAATAGGCCGTCGGGTGTGTCGTGTTAATTCGTGCGACTTAAATTTTCTTTGTTTTCTTGTACGCCCCTAGATTTAAAAATGAATGAATTGTGCCTTGATTTAAAAATGAAACAAAAATATATTTTTTGTTTTATAGAAGTTCATTAAATTTACATTTCACTAGGAAAATGTATCCTACCCCTATCTAAAAGAATGAACTTTAAGTTGAGTAGTGAATCAGTGTACGTTGTGACGTCGTTTCAGCGTGCACTGTCTATTGGCACAAACATTGTGTGTCAAAATTCAAAATAGTTCTAGGCATAGAGGGGTATTGTTAATTTTCGAATCAAGGGGCATATATGGTTTAATAGAATGCTAAACAAAGTCGCATTTGTTTTCAGCAATATTTAGTATCAAAACTCTCCTGCGTGCTAGTACAAACAGAAACATCGACACCTCTCCAAAAAGAAGCAAAAATTAAAGAAGAAACTGAAGCAGAAGCAAAAGAACAAATACCGGATGATATGGATCAGTTGTTCGACGATATGGAAACTATTGGGTAAGATATTATATATAATAAACAATTAAGACATTACACACATTGCTCAGAGACAGAGTGTAGTTAAAGCCCTAGTATTATGGAGTATCTGAGTCACAAAGGCATCACAACACCCAACATTCCCGAATCGACTGTCCGAGAAAAGAAACCCGGAACCTCAGAGACGGCGACTTGAAACTCGGCTGCAATCTAATAATTGGCACATTCGCGTGTAGAAATTAAGAACTAATGTAATAAGCCAAATATCCATTTTTAAATGTAGGAGGGTGCTGTTGCGTCTAGTCGATTTGGGATTCCTACTTTTCTTCATTTTCCAATACATTATTTATATTGTCTTGCAGGGAGAAATCAAGAAAGAAAAAGTTGCCAGCAGAACATATTGAAGCTAAGAGACAAAAACCATCAACAGATGGCAGCACCGAGCCCGAACAGGAAGACGCCATCTTTAATTTGCTACGAAGCACAGAGAAGCAGAAAAAGAAGCGGGAGAAAAAGAAGAAAGAAAAGAAGGCGAAGAGCGTATTCCATAACGCTTAGAATTAAACCGTATAATAAGGCAATATTGTTGTTTTATTTTTTATATAATGTGAAAGTTGTTTCTATTCTTTTGAGTTTATTTAATATATAGGTATTTACGATGTTTTGGAATATACAAAAATATCGTGTGCTGTGTTATTTGAGTACGGCTGTGAGAGGTGTGCAGAGTAAAGTTCACCAAAGGACTGAAAGAAAAGAACTGTTTTATTATAAGTTTCACATCAGTGTGCTTTGTATTAAAACAAACCAACTTTAACATAGAGAAATATTCTTCTATGAAGCTCATTTTCACTTACAGAATTATGTCCAATTTTGACCTAAAAATTTACTAACGCGTGTGTATGTATAGTGATATATCTCAAAATGTATTTTTTATTTATTTCACATCATGTAATTAAGTCTTAAAATAAAGTCAGGATAAAAATTGCGAGGCTGATTAATATTCTCAAAAAGTTGCCCATATGCAATTTGTAGCCTACAATTACGGTTTGCTACGTTTCATTTCATCTACTACATAAAAATATTCTTTCATCATAAGGTTAAAAAGTCCACTTACAATTACATTTACATATTAATTTAAACAATTACATATTAATTTATTTCCAAATTTATGAGTCAATCTATAAAAAGCTTTTATTTTCAAAGTAGCTTTACAATTATGACAGCTGATATAATCTCAAAATATTATTTAATAATTATGAAACTTCCTGGCCTCCAGATGAAAAGATGCTTAGATATTGTATTGTGTTGTTATTTTAGTAAAAACTAAATTATCAATAATGATAGACACAACCTTTAAAAAGCACATAACAGGTCAATCAATGCGTGGAAAATGGACACGATTCTTTGTACATTTATATAATAGAAACAGAGATGAATACAATGCTTTACATTTCACTTTCGCTTCAACTCTGCGTCATTGATAATTCAACCTGATAATGAAAAAATTAATGCTATAGATGGTCTACTAAATATTATGCGGTGTATTTTCGTCGCCCACTGGTAAAAATATGGACTGTAGTAGCGCCCAAAGCGCCGCATCCGCATTTTTTGAAGGAAACTCGAACGGTTGCAATTGCTTACGATGCTCACTCTTCACATCTGGTTAACAAGCTCAGGAAATAATAAAATATGCTTAATATTTAAATAATATCTTAAAATGCCTGACCAGCTAACATCAAAACTATGTTTATTTCATAGTAAACACTGCCGCATGGCAGGTTACCACTGACATTTCTTTTATCAGGCAAAACGGCAGTATTAATTGTAACACAATGTAAAAAAGGATACAGCCTTTGCAAACATTTTGTGGTGCACTGAAGTCCAGTCTAATGCCCGTCAACTCTTTGGCAAGTTGATACATCTCCCTAGAAGCAAAATTAACATTATATTCATACATAAATAAGGGACAGGTGCAAATCAAATGCAATAAGTGCAATTGAGTGACTTATGGTCATCTTTAGAAATTATTGAAATTGTCACACTGTACACTAATGAATATATTGTAATTTACCAATGAGTCAAGCTCATCTTTCGTGTGGGTATGTAATATACTCCGCTAGTTGAATGTAGACAATACACAAAAACATGAAACTTTTACAAAATGCAACCAGTGTCATTCAAGGTTTTCTGTGAATACTGGAATTTAAGAGTGGCTCAATAGAATTATTAATATAGTAATTTTTATTCAATAATTGTACTCAATAAAGTAGGACTGAGAAAGGTATATTTATAAATGTTATCACTGAGTTTGTTTCTCAAAACATCCTACTTTTTTTGAAGCAACTTATAGTGTTGAGGATGTAAATTTCTACTCACTTTGCATTATCGAGTCTGTTCCGGTCACTATCTGCAATGGTGAGGCGAGATTCAAAAGCAGCACATACTCTGTCCAGCTCACTACTGCGACGTGATAGCTCAGCTAAACGTTCTGTTAGCTCATGCTGTAGATAAAGCGTTCATATAGAAAACACTGATGTTGTGTGGTAGGATTAAGAAAACTATTAAAATACTCAAATAACTAAGTTCTTATTATCTTTTTTATCTTAAACTTAGTAAAAATACTCACGTTCAACTTTAATTCGTGGGCCAATTTCATCTCTAATTCAGTTTGTTTCTTACTAGCTTTCAATTGTTGCTGCTCCTTTTCGATTTTTTCTGTAAAGTGAGCACAATAATATTAGTTTCAAGTACAATTTACTCTCCAACAACGTCAAATTGTTTCTTACCGTCCACGCTCGTGTAAAATGCCTCCAATTGGTCTGTAACTGATGAGAGCCATTGTTCTTTAATGTTTACACTCATTATAATTTTATTGTTATTTACTATATTTCTGTAACACGTTCAAATATTTATTAACTTGAGAAGATATACAAACAACAAAACACTTGTTGCAACGAATGAAAATTTAAAATTCGTTCATTTCTTTTGAATTCTGTCACCCTCACCTGTCACTCACAATAGTTAATGATGTGCGGAATCGATTACCATCAAGCTACTAATCGGTTTTAAAAATAATAAGTTACCTTGATAAGGTTTCCAAATCGAAAATTAACAGTCGATTATTTCTTAAAACCTTAGAAACAGGAATAGTTTAAAACGTTAGTATAGTACCTACCTACTTACTTTACTTCAATGGCTCAGCTATCCTTAGCGGATCGCGAGTGTGAATATGATTAGTAGATTTTCTATTACTTAGTATGGCAACCCTGGACGCACTCGCACGAACAAATAGGTAACTTTACTCTTTGGCCGGGGAACTCCTTAATAAACTTATTGGATAAAAATATTTAATAATCATCGACATGAATCGATTTTCTTTTGTTAGACGATTACGAGTATTACCATAACCAATTAATCGATGTGTATAATAATCGAATCGGCACATCACAAGTTCTAGTGGATCGACTTGAGTTTTTACTCGAGTCTATCAATTGATTTTTTGTTAGTCTCTATGCTCAGGTCTATTCGGCGCATCGAGTTGATTCTCTTGTTACTAGATGTCATTACTCTACTCTAATTTATTAATCTATGCTGCCTATTTTTTGACGTGGATACGTCTATGTTTTCGTTCTACAGGGGGTCATTCTGTGAGCAGGAGCTTATGCACTAACGCCATCTATTGGCGTATAAGTGAACTATGCTTGCTCTGCAGGGGGATGGGCATTCTGTCAGCAGGAGTATATGCACTAACGCCATCTATTGGCGCTAGTGAATACTTTTTCATTCAACAAATGAACGCAACGAATATTTATTTATTTAGTGTTTAGTGTCTTCAATTTGTTTATTTATTTATTTTTTATCAATTAGTCATATATCCATTCATACAAAGACGTATCGACGCATAAAAAAATATGGCTGTATCAATGATACAGCCAACCAGGGATTTTTTTTTTTTTCTTGGTTACATAAATAAACATTATGTCAAAACTATTTTAATGTGTATTTTATTTATGTTATGTATTTATTTGTTTAAAATTACTAAGAGATATCTCACTCGAGTAGCACGTTTGAATTATTTTTATTCGTTCACTCGAAAACTCAAGTATGTCTCGTGTCACAAAATCCTACTCGAGTAGGATCATTAGTCAGTTCCTAACTACAATCAAAATTAATAAATGAAACTACAAAATTTTATGTTACTAGATGGCAGCACAAATGTAGGATTTAAATGTCAATTCATGACGTTGTACCAAAAAGAATAGATTTGTCAGTGTTGTATGGATCTGATAACTAGTATTAATATCGAGTTGAAATTCAATGAGGGAGTATTTAAAAAAAACAAAAACACGCACCGGTACGTTATTGATTTCTAAATGACAACTCTTCCGGTTCTCTTTCATGTCTAAAAGTAAATTAGTTTTCAAACTCAATAAACAACTCATACACTATTTGAACTTTTTCGTATTTGTATTAATATTTAAGTATCGCGTATTTTTCAAATTTCAGTTTTGTGACTGTCTTTGGTCCATTCATTTCTGAATGGACCAAAGACTTGAATTTATTTATTTTTATTTGTATAAAGCAAAATGGAAACTATCTTAATGAAAGTGAGCATAGAGAAGGTTTTTTAAAAGTTAGGGAAATCTATAGAGTTCATTAAAAGTAACTTTTAACCAATGGCGTAACTACAGGGTGGTGAGTGGACAAATGCCACGGGCCCCCAGCTGGAAGGGGCCCCCGGTCAGAGGAGAATCCTTACTCCTGACATTTATTACGCAATTAGTAAATAAAATTGAATATCCGATGAATTTGCCATGGGCCTCAAACGGTATAGTTACGCCACTACTTTTAACTACGGTAATAAAATAAATAAAAGTAAATAATGTGGAAGACACTCTTTCAAAGAGTAGTATTGCACTCTTCTCCCCGATCCCGTGTAGACGTTCCTTTACGCAAAATAGCGCTTGTGGCGCCACGTACTGTCAAATCAAATCAAAGAATCTGTTTATCGCCATTTTTGTGATGGCCGCTGATATTTATAGATCGTAGGGTGTTGTTATTCCACACCAACTAAATGAATTGAAAATGGAGGAAACGAAAGTAATTTATTACATAGACGATGAAGAAACGCCGTACCTAGTTAAAATTCCAATATCACCAGAGAAGGTGACGTTGTTAGATTTCAAGAATCAATTGAACAGACCGAACTATAAATTTTTCTTCAAATCAATGGACGATGATTTCGGTGTTGTGAAAGAAGAAATAGTTGATGATAACGCGCATCTTCCTTGTTTTAACGGTCGTGTTGTGTCGTGGCTAGTGTCCGCTGAAGGCTCCAACCCATCAGACGGTGCATCTCAGTGTACAGACAGTAATGCAGGCAAAGGCAAGCAAAACACCCATGGTGTACCTTCAGCACCTCTCACTCGGGACACTTGTACTGACACTGACAGTACGATCAGCTCTAGACCAGGTCACAGAGCTTCTTGTGACAAATATAAATATAGGGGACTAAGAATCAATGGCCATTCCAAATATGGGAACCATGGTCTTGAATACGAAACTGCTTCAGTGCTAAGCTCCGACCTTGACTCTACAAGTCTTTTCGATAGTCAGTCTGAAATCACTACGACTACTGGACGGCATACTAATGCTTCAGTAGATCGTGCTCTTACAGAATGCAGTAGTGTCTCACATTTACAAGTCAGCTCACGTAAAAGACCGCAGAGGAGACGTAAAAGGCCACAAATTATGTCCAGGACATCATCATATTCGTCTATAACTGACTCTACAATGTCCATGCACATTATTACTGTTACATTAAATATGGATACAGTTAATTTTCTTGGTATCTCTATAGTTGGACAGTCCAATAAAGGTGGTGATGGTGGTATATATGTTGGAAGTATAATGAAAGGTGGTGCAGTTGCATTGGATGGACGTATAGAGCCTGGAGACATGATACTGCAGGTAATTAAATTCTTATAATTAAAGAAACTGGACTAACAAATGCTGATGAAGAGAGAATAGGCTTTATATTTGTTATGATTAGCTTAACCATAAGAGAGCCTTTAAAACTCTCAACATACCTATAAACAGCAGCCTCTAATATTTAGTCTCCATCTCTACAGTCCTGGGTTTGATCCTGGTTGCGTCCATGTAGAAAATGGACTTTTTTGTTCCGGGTCCAGGTGTCTCAGATATTCCATAATATGGGGGCCTTAGCATCTTGGCAGTCTGAGAGATATACATTGCTGTTGTCTAATACTTATTAGTACTTATTTAATTATAGTGACTCTGGAAAGTAGGTATACTTATTGCTTATTTATATATGTGTCTCTGTAACATAACTCTGAAATATGATTAAGTTTTATTCAGTAAGAAAGATAATTAGATTGCATATTATGGACAATTGATTGGAAACACTACAAATGTTTGTGTTGTTTCATACAACATGTGGTTTGATGTTGTGAACTGCCTTTTTTACGAACTACCACATTATTGAAACTACCTTGTATATGTTTCTGTTTTGCAACATAAAAAAAAATAATTGATAAGATGCTGAAATTTTGTAGGGAAATCAATCAGAAATAATATAGAGTTGTGATTTTATTATGAGTTTAATACTATAAGCTGTTGCTTTAATCAGATTATATTGCTGAACATGTTAGATCAATCATTTTACTCAATATTTTTGTTGTCATGTTGATAGAGATGGATGGAGTCATTCTGTTTTAAAACAAAAGTTATAAGTACTTATCATATGGAGATATACAAGTGAAAAATAACCTTAGAGATTTTTATTGAATTTGGTATTTATTTTAGATTTTTAACACTAGAAAAACAAATGACTGCAATTTGAATTAAAAGTTGTATATAACTTTTTGAGAATACATATTACATTATAGCATTTTGTATCATACCTGTGCCATTTTTATAGAAATAACATAAGTATGAAATATTTTTATGTTTTTGATGAGTTTGGGAGCTGCTGGTAGTTTAAAATAGCACTTGTTTATGTTATACACCACATCAAAGTATTAAAAACTTGATCTGTTTTTATTTATTTATTTATTTATTTATTTATTTATTTTTTAAGAATTTGTTGTATAATATGTGTTAATTTTATATATTTCTTTGTATTTTTGGTTATAAAGAGGTTTTAAATAACTATAGATAACAATAACAAATATGCTTATAAAAACTTAAGTTACTACATAATTAATATCTTATGTAGTAGATGTGTAGATGAGAAAAAATAAAACAAAATTAGAATAATAAATTGGCTTTCCTAAATATATATAAATCTAATTGATTTCCAGGTAAACGATGTGAACTTTGAAGACATGACCAATGATGAAGCGGTAAGAGTCCTCAGAGAAGTGGTCCAAAAACCGGGACCTATTAAACTGGTTGTGGCCAAGTGTTGGGACCCAAACCCTAAAGGTTACTTCACAATACCTAGGACAGAACCAGTGAGACCGATAGATCCTGGTAAGGATAATTATCTGTAATAATTATTTCTTGTAGAACTTTCTGTCTTTGTAGGGGTTAATCTTCATAAATATTGATCTAATCATAAACATTTTCTCACTTACGGGAAACTACATCATACACGGGTGGCATAGGCTATTATTTACATGGGCCAGGTTCTCGGAAACCATTTAGTTTGTTATAAATGTATAAATAAACATTAAACAAAATCACATGCATTCTTTGAATTCCAAGATGAGTAGCTAAAGCCCCCGTATAATGGAGTATCTGAGACAACGAAGGTACACCCAGAACTGAGACAAAAGAGAAAAGTCCTTGTTTTTATATTGAGCCGACCAGTATGGAGGTTGTCTAGGAAATACCTGTGTAAATAACTAATAATTTGGTTTTGTTTTGAAATTGTCATTAATCATTAAACAGTTCTGTATTGGGTTACTGTATCCCTGTATGGGGAGGTAGTGCTAAAACTAAACTATTAGAAGTGGAAAGGGCTCAGAGATTGCTGCTTAAGGTTATGTACTATAAAAATTTCAGATTTCCAACTACGCAATTATACCAAATAGGTAACCTATTAACTGTTAGAAAATTGTACATCTATCATACAATTTTGAGAATGCACATGGCTCTAGAATATGACCCGAATATTCGGACAAAGAGAAGACAAGGAAATGTTGCTCAAATTCCTAAAACCAGGACAGCTTTTGCTAAATCTCAATTTCAACGTAGAGCGATTACCCTTTACAATAAAGTAAACAATAAACTTACCATTTATCCGATGAATAAACATGACTGTAAAGTAATAATAAAAAACTGGCTCGTAACGCTTGACTACGACGAAACTGAATTTTTGTTACAGACTATCACTTAATATATATTTTATTTTATATAAAATGCATACCTCATTATAAACTTGTACACAATTTATTAAACAAAGAAACACACACACACACACACACATACACATACACACACGAACACACACACACATACACACACACACGCACATAGAGAGAAAACTATACACTTACTAATTAAAATTAAAAAGTTGTAACTATTTCATATTTTAAGTCTTTTGTTAATACTTTCTGATAAGGAGGAGCGAGATCTCCTGGAACAAGCGCCTGCTTTGGCACTTAAAAGGAGGTCTCAACCTATGTACTGAAAATGTAAATGTTTTGGACAATAAATATTATTATTCTTATTATTATTATTATTATTATGTAAAATATCACAAAAAAAAACGGTAAGTGTGTAAGTTTAGGTTCTTATATGTTAAAAACATTAAATATTATATCTATTTTAAATAATGCCTTATCAGAAATTATTCGAAATTTAATTTTAAATTGTCTAAGAACAATGGCGAAGTCCCATATAGCTTTGGACCTGAATTTTTAAAGTCCCGTTCATGAATGAAATAAACTTGTACTTGACGGTATAAGCTAAACTAACAAAATCCTAATCGTCTTTTTCCTTTAAAAGTTGGGATTAAAAAGATATGGCATAAAATACTTTGTGGGGTTATATATTGCATCTTTGCTTTTTCGTCGAATGGACGTTAAAATAAATAAAAATGGTAACCAGAATACTCCGTTTAATAAACTAGATTAAAATAATTACACATCGAACAAGATCCAGACACTTATAATAAAAGAAACATTTATAACATATGACTAGACTGTGTGGAGTAGATCCCTTTTCCTTTAATTAAATCATTACAACTGAAAGTGACAAATAAGGGCAATGTACACATTGAACTGTCATTGTTATAACCGAATCGATTGCCATTCGCAATCCAAAAGTAATGCAAATATCAACGTTAGTCGAAGAAACATGCTTAGTTGTCAAGTTGAATATTAACATAAATATCAAACTCCACGGACGAACACACAACAAACAAACCAAACCAATCATCCGCTATCATTCCACCATCATCATCATAGAATATTCATAGATGAAAACAAGCATGTCAAAATAAAATCAACCAATCGATTATTTAGAACAAAATAATCGATACGTTAACCTTTTATCGGATCAACTGCAGAACTGACAATAATCTTCTTAAATCGGTTGTGGTATCTTAGCTTTCAATTTTTTTATTTCTCAAGTATGCAGAACGTAATTTAAACGAATAAAATAAATATTTATGAAAGTATTCAAAGACCGTATTTCATATAAAATATTATATATAGATTTTATATTGAATATATATTTGACGTTCATTCGCTCAGTCGGTACGCATCATTACATCACATATCCCACTTATAATTAGCAGTAAATGGCGACAGATAATATTCTATAGAACATGTTTGAAAAACTCGCAATTAATTGAGAATCGCTTCTGACATCGTTGATGTATGTGATCGATTTTTCAAAAACCTTCCAAACTACAACCCTTTGACATATTGTGTGGTTTTCAATTAAAGAGAACGGAATCTATTCTATACAATCTTTTTTTGAATTTATATTCGATTATTAAATGTATTAATGGTACTTTAAAGGCAATAGAATTAATTGCAATGTACAGGAAACGATAATATCCATTAAAAATAGATGACCCTTTTATTGTCCAGCGCAAAATTCATGAAACACTTCCAAGATATAGTTTTAGTATTAAAGTACTTCTGCGTAGACCAGAACGTTTCTTAAGAAGATTTTTGCGTTTTGTTTTTGCACTATCATCAGACGTTTTGTTATCTTGATAATTATTAGTAACATTTAATATTTTAGTTTGGTTCCCCGACATAAAATACACCATTTTGTAGGAATAAAATCTATTATTCATATATTATTTATTTGTCATATCGCCATCCATATACGGTTTTGTAAATTATAGGGTCTGATTTCGCCATTCTTCTTTCAAGATATATTGCAATCTTTTTCAAAAGTATTGCGAATGTGTTAGCGATTTATTGAGTTATATATCGTTTAAAGCTTACGGAACAAATGATAATTGTATTCATTAAAAAACATAATAAAAACTTGGTAACTTAAAGTAATATTTTTGGAGATGTTAAATCTTTACATATTGACGCTGGAAAGCAAACACATAGTAACCTGCAAAACCAAAATGGACATTTGTAGTGAAATCTTTATATTTTTCCAAAATAAAAATTCTTGCTGTATAAATTGACTAAGGAACACCCTATATGGATGTTTATAGGAATTATTTATACAAAAAAAAGTTTTTCTGCTCTGAAGAACACTTTTGGTTTTGCGGTTTGCTACGTGTTTGCTTTCCAGCGTCGATGTAGGATAAAATGTTAAAAATCCTTTTATGTTGGAAACAACAACAGGTGCTTGGGTGGCACACACTCAGGCCCTCCGGGAAGCATATCCCCCACCGCCGCCATCTTTGTCCGCGTTACCCGTCTCGTCAGTGTCAGAGAGGGCGGCGTCCGACGCGAGCACGGCGCCCGCGGGAGGCGAAGCCCTGTCCGTACACATGGACATGGCGCTGGTGGTTAGGGCGATGCTTCGGCCTGATTCCGGTGAGTTCATTGTTTATGTATAAGATTACCTCTGTGTTAACATTAAACCCCCCCTTTAAGGGGTGGGGGGAGACTTAATATTCTAGAGCCGATCTCTTGAATTATTGGGTAAATATTAAATGGTTCCAAAATTAAAAACCTTCTCACAAAAAGAACTGTTTAAATAGAATTGAGAAACTTATGCTTTTGAAACTAGAGTTAGCACATTGTAATGTTAAAGAAGAACAGACATCATTGCGCTGGGGACTTTTACATCCCCACAGCAAGAGCCTTATGGATGGTTAAGGGACATGGGCCATGACCCTCTGTGCTGGCCCATTGCGGATTTGAGGTTATTTACGAATGCAAATTAACCAGAACTTAAGGCTTAAAGTGCCATCTTAAAGTGTAGCTAGAGATAATAATTTTTTGGTCACCTGCCCCTCGACCGAACCATGCGAAAATTGCTTAACAACAAATTATCCACTATGCCAAAGGAGAGCAAATGAAACTTATTAATATTAATTTCTAATATCAAATGCCTTGCGGGGGGTGTTCAAATTCATCTGTCTGATAAATTTGCCATGGGCCTCGAACGGTTTAGTATAGAGTATGGATTTTAATATTATATGTAATGTCTATTATTTATGATGATATAATTGATGATGATATATATTAATGATTCAGGTTTGGAGATCCGCGACAGAATGTGGTTGAAGATAACTATACCCAACGCGTTTATTGGCGCGGACGTCGTCGACTGGGTACTCCAACACGTCGCTGGCATCGCAGATAGGCGGGACGCTAGGAAATACGCCTCTCACATGCTTAAGGTAACAACTTATACAACAAACTAGCTTTTGCCCGCGACTTCGTCCGCGTGGTAAAGTTACTTTGAGCAGCATTTCTAACAAATATTTATTCATAATATCATGTAAAATACCTGAAATAAAGTTTCATCCCTTATTTTATCCCCTTAGGAGTGGAATTTATCAAAATCCTGTCTTAGGGGATGCCTAAGTTATAGTACCTTTATGCATGCAGACTCAGCCCGATCAGTTTTGAAATTGACAGTTTCATACAAACTTTCATCCCCTATTTTATCCCCTTGGGGGTAGAATTGATCAAAATCCTTTCTTGGGGGATGCCTAAGTCATAGTAGCTTTATGTATGCAAAGTCTCAGCCCGATCAGTTTAAAATTGTCAAAATTTAATACAAACTTTCATCCCCTATTTTATCCCTTTGGGGGTAGAATTAATCAAAACCCTTTTCTTAGCGGATGCCTACGTCATAACATCTAACTGCATGCTAAATTTCAACCCGATCCGTCCAGTGGTTTGGGCTGTGCGTTGATAGATCATTATGTCAGTCGGTCACCTTTGAGTTATATATATATAAATGAGATATTACACCTATTTTTGAAACGTTTATGAGTATCAATTCATTCTGGAAAAAAACAGGAAAAAAATGTTTATTCAGTCAATTAACAGGTACCATAAAAATACATCTAAACTTTACATTATCAAATGCTGGACGCCATTTTGCCCTGTAGTATGGCGTCAGTTGGTGTTGTAAACAAACGCGTTAATATTGGTTTCTTACACTTCTTATCGTATTCAAAATATCAATATTTAATATTTTGTAATTCAGCTGAAATATCGAGATTTGTAGTAAAAAAAAATCCAAAGCACAAAGAGTTATTATTGCTAAATTTGTACCCTTTACAAAACTGTCTTCAGTTGTTTTAATAAAAATAACTTCTTTATTCCGTCATTAAAGTATTAAAAAAAATGACCTATTGTTAATCTCGTTTTAAACTTATTGATTTCAATTACTAAGACTTCGCTGTCTGACTGTTCGTATATCACTAAGCTGTATCATGAACCATGAAAGTTAGATAGTTGAAATTTTCACAGATGACATAAATCTGTTGCCGCTATAACAATGAATACTAAAAAACGGTATTCCGTTTTTTCAATATTAAATAAACGTGATTTTTCTGCTCGTTTTCGCACTTGTCCGGTTTTTTTACACAGTCATCATCCATGCAATAAGTACATTATTTTCCTCTATGTTTGTTAGGCGGGCTTCATAAGGCACACGGTGAACAAGATAACGTTTTCCGAGCAATGTTACTACGTCGCTGGCGAGTTGTGTGCTGAGTTGGCTTCGTTGAGATTGCGAGCACCTGACGCTGACAGTCTAGCTTCTGATACGCTCGCGCCACTGCCAAATCCAAAGTGAGTATACCAAATGAGACGTCCATTAAGTAATAATAATAAAGATAACTATAAGATTGTTATTCTCCTTTTTGAACTATTTAAATTAACTAATTAAAAATAACAATAAAGTTTAAAAAAACTGAGAGAGATTGCTGTTTAGCAATAAGGCCGGTATTTCCTTACCTTCTCTGCTTAATATGTAGTTTTTATTTATTGTAAACTGTATTATTCTGAGTGCAATAAAGCGTTTATTTTTATTATTATTTTTGTAAGTTTATCTTGCTAGCTATAGTCTGTGGTTTTCAAGAACCAAAACGTGGGCGGTCATCATGGAACATCGTGTGACGTCACATTTCAATAAACTTAACCTCAACGTCTTTATTGCAAGTGAAACCGGTTGTTATCGTGTTACAATTTAAATTAACAAATAAAAAATGTTTTCCTAATAATTAATATCCCTTTTTTGAGAAAAATAAATCTGGTAGTGGTTTAATATTTTTCCCCAAAAAGTCAAGAAGCGCTTGTTCTTATTTACAAAGATCATTAGTAATGTTTTATTATTTTATTATTGTAATTATTATTATATCGATGTGTAAAATATTCTATTTTAGTATGATGGCGCCTGGATATATGCCGTACGCTGGCTCGTACGGTTACCAGCCCATACCGTTTAAGTATACATCGTGTGTTACCAGTGAACACACAATATACGGGTGAGTGATATACCAGTTTTTTTTTAGAATATGTTGCTACAAACTATAGTTAAACAAATGCTGGCATTGATAACTATTTTTTTATAGTATAAAACAAAGTCGCTTTCTCTGTACCTATATCCCTATTTATGCTTAAATCTTTAAAATTATGCAACGGATTTTGATGTGGTTTTTTTCATAGATAGGGTGATTGAAAAGGAAGGTTTTTATGTATAAGTAGCTTTTGAACGCAACTTCGTCCGCGTCGTAAAGTTACTTTTACTTTTAGGTAGAGCAGCATTTCTAATGAATGTTTATTAATTATATCATGTAAAATAACTGAAATAAAGTTTCATCCCCCATTTTATCCCCTTATGGGTGGAATATTAATAATATATTGAGGGGATGCCTAGTAGGGGATGCATGCAAAGTCTCAGCCCGATCGGTTTAAAATTGACAAAGTTTCATACAACTTTCATCCTCTATTTTATCCCCTTGGGGGTAGAATTGATCAAAATTCTTTTTTAGCGGTTACCTCCGTCATAACATCTACCTGCACGCCAAATTTCAACCCGATCCGTCTAGTGGTTTAGGCTGAGCGTTGATAGATCACTATGTCAGTCAATCACCATTGAGTTATATATATTGAGATACAAGGCCACGCGGTCGAAACAGCTGGCGGAAAGCTAGTAATTATATAAAACAAATATTTCAGGTATAATCGCGAAGAGAGTGTACTTTCGGGTAGCGGAGGTTCCAGTGCTGGCTCAGATCATCTTACCGCAAAAGAGCATAATAGTAAGTTACTAATTCAAATATGTTTATATTATGATTATAATAATAATCTTAAATCTTTATTCCAGTCCAAAATAATCATACAATTGAAATAACTTAAACGTAAGTAGATATGCAGTTAAAATTTGGTCTTAATTTTTTTTATTATACAAGTCAATTATTATGCAAGATTGAAGCAACTATTGCTTGTTTTCGATAATAAGGGCGCAATTTTTTTAGCTTTGATTATAATAAATACTTTTTTAAATTAGCTTCATTATTATCGCGAGTTTTGACTGCTGCTATAACCTCAAAACTTTATTTACAAATTATGCATTTCCCTAGCCTCCAGATGAAAAGATGTTAAGATATAATTTTATTATAAGGGAAAATTAATTTAAGTTATCACTATTGGTGGGTAGACGCCTCCTTTAAAAAAAACATGTGTTAGGTCAATCAACGTTTGCAAAGGAAACATGATTCTTTTATTTCATTGAAATCGATGGACCCTCACTTAAATTTCTGTGTCTTATAAGAGTTTAATTCTATTTTTTTTTATTCTCTCTAGCGGGTCGAGAAGCGGAAGCCAAATCCGGTTCAAGCGGGTCCGGGGCTTCAGTGACAGCGGACGGCGGTGGAACCAGACGCTCACACTCGCACTCTCACTCTAGCGGATCCTCGCGCGCTGGAGACAGGCCCGTCCTCTTCCTCTAGGTGAGTCAGATTTAGCTGGGACGTTCCTTTTTTATTTAGCCATTAGTTCCATTTTAATATAATACCTTTTATCTTATCTTAAAATAAAATCTAATTATTATATTTGATCAATCTTGCATTCACAATGCTATACTGAAAAATATTCTTAATGATATATGCTTAAAAATTCCATTATGTCCCTGGAACTCTAAGATGGAACTCGAACCCAGGACCTAACAGGGCTGGCGAACTTTTCAAGCACTCGTTAGTTTTACGCTACTACAAAGCATATTTTCATCAATATTCAGGCAATCCACCCAAACGGATAAAACATACATCTAAAATCTCTAATAGCCAGGAATATAATAGACTTTTTGAAGTCTAACGGGCTAAAGGAGTTACTATAGATCTGGCGGCGAGTCACAATAGATCTTCAAGGTCGCAGTGACTACAATTCCTCAGGGAACTGCATAGCCCCTTACAGCAATAAATAATAATAATAAACGGATAAAAGAAATATTCTTACAAATATTTAAACTTTCAATAAAGTTTTGTTCTAATTATTATAATGTGGTTAGGGTGGTCGCTCGAATTCCCATCTTATAGTGCCAGGGAGAAAGGCCGAGTGGTTCGCACGCCGGTTTCAAGGTGTCGCCATCTCTGAGGTCCTGGGTTCGATCCCCGGTCGGGTCAATGTAGAAAATGGATTTTTCTATATTGTGTCGGGTCACGGTGTTGTGTTACTTTCGTTTGTCTCAGATACTCCATAATACAGGGGCTTTGACTACTCATCTTGAAATCTGAACAATGTATGTGATATTGTGTAATATTTATTTATTAAGAATAAAATCTAATTTTCAGTCCTCTCATATTTCAGCGTTCACTCTACTCATCCACAAGATTCATTTCACTTACACTCGACTTTCACGCTGCTCATATTCCATTTATCAATTTTGGCTAAAAATTGCATTTACTCCATTTGACTCCTAAAAATTTACTCCTCTCACATACTCCTTTCTTTTTATTTGCAGCATTAACAGCAACATTTCTCTAGCGTTATCTCGCTCACACCAACAATGTTCACCCAAACAATTTTTTAAGTAGTTTTCGTTAAAAGATTTTGATCAGTAATAGCATTGTTAATGGAAAATCGATGAAATATAAAACAAATTTTCATCTTATCGAAAGTTTAAAAATATTTCTTCTGGCTGCTTGGATTTTGCCTGAACATTTATGAATACACGCTCACTACTAGTGAGCGTGTATTCATAAATGTAATGAGTAATGAGTGCTTGAAAATATCGTAAGCTCTGTCAGGTCTCGGGTAGTTCAATGATTGTAGGTTCGAAGTACATCTCGGATCCCTGGGGTTGGTAGATTTTTTAAGTATTTTCCATTTAAAACATAAAAAATACTAAAGTTAGTAATTTATGTTTATTTACAGGACCAAAAGAGGAGCCTACGTAATTACTGCCAAATACGGTTAGATATGAATACAGTTATTTTCAGACATATAATACGTTTTGTTAAGAGGAAGATTTCTAAAGTTACATCGAGAATTTGACGTTCGTAAAAATATCTTGTAAAATATACGTCAAAGCAAATGTAATAACGATGTATCAAAGCTTTTGTTTCATGTCTGTCTGAGTATAACTGTATCTAATTGTATACATTTTGTATTGTTAGAAGTTTATACATATATAAAAAAAAAATAACGTAACTTATAAGCCATACATGCCATTTTATAAACTAGTATTATAAGGTCATTGTCCAGTGAAAAAGCATAGCTATGGATATATTTCGCTTTCGTTTTTTCGATGACTTGACGAAAGAGGCTTTTTATGCATGAGATTAGTCGTTGATTTATTTATTATTCATATGTAAGTTTAGGTAAAAGCGAATATAATTAATTATAAAAGATAAAATTTATGTTGAAATTGGGAATATTTCTCTATTTTTATGTGATTTTTTTTTTCATAAATTTTGCTATATATAGCTATACTATATATAATGGTTATTATGTCCAACTATATATGAAACATCTCTATAGCTTTGCTTAAATGGACACCACACCTTTATTATTATGATATGAAAAGTAATGGAATCGTAACTGGATTTTTCTATATATAAAAAAGACTAGGTAAAAGGTCTAACGAACAATAAAGCCAAATAATATTTATTACCCAAATAAATATGGTTAGGCATTCTTAAATTTAATGGGTACAATTTTTTATTTATGAATACTAGATTTTGTCTTTTAATATTTGGATTATTTTTGTCTAGATCTAAGTTTTAGGTAATTTATTTCAGCAACTACTAAACTGAAAATACTAAAACTGAAAAACAATTGTAAGTAAACAAAAAAAATCAATTTTAATAAAATTGTTTTGTTATAGCTGATGTTTCTATGAAGAAAAAAAATATCACAACTTACTTTGTTTACATTTTAATAACTTTAATTATTGCAAGGCAGACATTATAAATACAGCCCAAATATCCGTACGAGTTCTAACAATTAAACTATTTAGAATTTAGTAGTTAATCAGGATTATCATCTTGTTTTATTGTAAAGGGAACTTACAGGTGTTGTAAATATATCTTTTGTAATAATAACATAATATTAATGTATATTAAACAATATTATGATCATGCGTTGAAAACTATGTTATTCAGTTCATATATATTATTGGCTCGATTATCTAGATCTGTATCTCCATTTGATGAGGCGAAAGATAACAAGTAGTGTAAAATGCAGCAGAATACACAATATCTAGTGTAAAATGTTTTAGCATTCACATCCCTTTCAGAAAGGTAAAATTAAACTTCAACAAAATTCTAAATATAACTTGAGCTTTCACTATCAACATACAAAAAACAGTGTTTATAAAATACTAAAATATGAAACAAACTGAGCGAAACACTGGATTCTGGCGAAATCCACAAGGGCAACGCCATTAATTAAAAAGAAGAAGAATAACATACCAGACATTATTAGAAAATACCCTAAAGTATATAGTATAAAATTCCGTAACAAATATGTTTTTTCTTCCTCATTAAAATGAGATACGATTTTAGATGACTAAGTCATATATTTCTAGTTAGTTAACTACAGTTTACTGTATTTGTCCTATTTATCAGTTTGATAGGCAAATATGCACAAATGGTTGACTATAGTGCTGTCGCTAATGTATCTTTAATACAAATTCCTTTCGAACGAAATAAAAAATATCCATGGTGAGCACTGTACGTGTGCATATTTCGTTAAGTATTTATTATTTCTCCTTGGTGACATTAAGAATGCATTTATTAATAAAAAAGGTTTAAACTCACCATTTGTTGCATGTTTCTTTTTAAATAATATCGACCAACGAAAAAGTTTAGAACTTATTTCTGTATTTTTAATAAGATTTTATTTTTACGAAATCTAAAAATACTTTAATGATTTCAAATTAAGGGATTGAATAAATTGTTTATATAAATATATTTTTGAATATGTGCCATTGTTCTTAACAAACGAAAATCTTGTTTTTTTTTTTACATAAGTAGATTAACCATTTCTTACCGGTTTACCGGTTAATATTAAATATTTATTAACGTACAACATTTATTTGCGTTTTAATTACTTCGGTTGTATATTTTTTTCGTAAGAAAAATTTTAAGTTCAATTTCCACTTGCATATTGATGTTGAGCGTAGAGTAATAATTACTGTTAATTATTAACCGTTCATTCGAGTTGTAACTAAAGTTAAAAGACCAAGGCAGAAACTTGATACTGCCCAAATCATTGCCAGGATTTTATGTTGCTATGTTTGCAATGCATTATTTTTCTTCGACCCATCGTAACCTATTATGTATGAATTTAAGACATTTTTCTAAAGCTCATATTACGTTATTATGATTTAGCGTATGCTTTAAAAAATATAAAATTCACATTGATAAAATTACTGCTGAAAATCATATGATTTCTCCAGTGGTTTGTCGCAGGCATTCTGAATTGATGAAGTTTGTTTCACTAAAATGCGAGCTTGTGTACTAAAGAAACATGTCACTTAACTTCGCCGTTCAAGCCAATGATAAACAATGACAATGTGAAGCACATTTGCAGGTCTGATTGATAAATGAATATGCATTTTATATGATTAATCTTGTGCTAATCAATGATATGATCCGTGCCAAATAATGCATATTCTACAAAATATATCAGTATTTGATTGTAGGTACGCCTTATCGCCATAGCAACAAGCATGACTAGACATGTAACTATGATGTTAAATTCATACATATAATATTTTTAACGAAATCTATATTATTATTGCTTATGATTCTTCTTACGAAATAAAAACTGTTGGTATATAATATAATAATTGTTTTAAGAAACATTGGTCACAATAGTCATAACCAAACGTTTTTGTAAATGTATTATTGTACATACATTGTAAATTATTAAGGATATGTTTGGAATAGGTTATTCATATAATTTTAACATGTTTGGCTTCCAACTTAGTGTTGCTACATTCAAGTTATCGGATTTTCTCGGCTTACTGTCTGGATGGTTGTAGCATATTCTTATTGTTTCCTTCAACAACACTGAAAGTCTGTCTTTAAGCTATCTAAGTAATGTATAACTTAGAACAATGTTTATTTAATTTTAAAATTATAAAAATTGTAGAAAACAATATTTGTTTATCGTGTTTATAAACGACTTTACATAAGTGATTGATTAATTAGAAACATTTTTATGTCGTTTTAACATAAAGGTTGTATTAAAAGAAGTATTTTTATTTTTAAACGTTTATTCAGCATTCAGTAAATTGTTTTTGATTATATTTCTTTTTTCATCTTTCGTCTAAGGGTCATAAGAATCTTGTAGATTTGAGCAAAGCATTCTATTTTGTATGCATACTTTTCACCTTGACGCAGATTTCAGAATATTTCCAAACAAAATTGGTAATTCAAGTTGCTAGCCTCATTTTGGACCCATTATATTTCGTTTTCTGCGAACATGACAATCAACAAAGGAA